TCGTGCCACCGGAATTCTGCTGCAGAGCACCAAAAAAAAAGAGGGAGAACACCAAAATAGTTTGGAAATATCGCGTTTGGGGGAATGCTTCGGCGGCGGCGGGACTCTGAGAACCCTTTGCGGGGTCAGAAAAATGTCAAGGGAAGGAGGCCTTTGGAAGGCGCCGAACTGGAGGGGGGGGGGGGGCGCCGGCCGAGTGCCGCGCGCTCCCTGCATTGCTACCACATATTCAGCACTGCGAACAGCGCGGGACACAACCGACCATGGTAATGTGCAGTCAACAATGCGAATCCGCCCCCCCCCCTCGCTCCTCGTTTGTGACCGGGCGCGCGCGCCATGCGCCTTAATTGTCTCGTGTACTCGCGGGGGAAGGGGGGGGGGTTAAGGGTCTAGCGAGGCAGCGAGGCCCGCAACAGGTTCAAGATCGGGATCCGGGGTGAGCAGTGCAAGTGCAGTGCAGTGCAGTGGCGTGGCCTGCCGCCCGCTTCCTCGCTGGGGAGCCTCGCTGTGATTCGATGGTCCGAAATTGGCGCCTCTCTCCCTGTGAGGGCGCGGGGCGGGCCTGAAAGGCAGACAATCATACGTGGTCGAGCCATTAATCGCAATCGCAATCGCCTGTGCGCAGGCAACCCGGCGCGCACCGCTGCGTCACGGGCCGGCCGCCGCCGCCAGCCAGGCTGAATGGCTCGAGAGTCGTTTTCGTCGCGCTGTCTCTCTCGCACTCGTGGGGCGTCCCGTGTAGGTGCGGGAGAGACAGAGCGACGAAAACGACTCTCGGAATCAGTGTGCTGACTGACTGAGTCCATAGCACTGCACGGCCACCGGGAGCTAGCTCGGCAGCAAGCGGATACTGAATCACTGAATCTATCGCGCGGCGAGCAGCCCGAGCACGGCTATTTTCACCTCAACGACCACGGCCTTCCTCGCCTAGAGAGCCTCACACCTGCGGACCGCGCCGCCTGCGGACGCGCGGCTCGCCGACAGCACGCCAGCACGCCGCCTCTGACCCGCGCCGCGTTCCTCCGTCCAGAGCGGCGCCCCTCCCTCCGACTACCGTATTCCTCCTCGGCTACTGTATTACACTCGATTCTCTGAATCATTCCTCTCTTTGTCTCTTTTCTTCTCTCTCTCTTTTTTGCTGTTGTTTCTTTTTCGTTATTATTATTGGTCGGCCCGGGGCCGGGGCTCGCTCGGGCGCTCGGTAGGTCCCGCGACGAAGACCGTGCGTGACGAGATTTGAAAAAAAAAACAAAAAAAACATCAACAACAAAAGCCGAAGCACTTCGGAGCAGCGATTTCGCTGCGCGCGTTTCGCTTTTGGAATATTTCAGTTTTGAAATCGAATCGTCTGGCGGGGCTGGGTACTCGTGGCGGGCTGTGTATGCAATAGCAATTGTCCGGCTAGCCGGTGTGTCTCGCAGTCTCGCGCCTGCCGCGTCTAGCCATTTGGCTGCTTCTTCGGAGAGTGACGGAGTCAGAGTCCGTGAGTCCATCGCGGCGGTCAAGTGGCGGCAGGTGTTCAGGTTCAGGCGCCGCGCGCACCGCGTTTGCCCGGGAATATCAGACGAAAATCGTCGGCCGTCCGATCGGCATCGGCAGTCGGGCAGGCAGGCGCTTTCTGGACTTTTACTCGCAGATGGCGAAACAATGACCGCTAAATGAATAACTTTACGGCGCGCTCTGGCTGCAGGCTGATTCCGAGAGTCGTTTTCGTCGCTCTGTCTGTGTCGCACCTGCACCGAGCGCCCCATGAGTGTGAGAGAGACGCAGGCTCTGGAAGCGACCGGCGAACGACCACAGGTGCGCGGCAGTGTGGCTGCGGCGGCGTACAGTGGGCCGGGCAGCTGCCGCCGCATGCCCCATGATGCAAAGCGGCAGCTTGAACCTCTCTAATATGATGCCCTGATACACCTGAACCGCCTGCCGCGCCCCGCCCCGCCGGGGTCGAGTTCTCATCGTGAATCTGCAGACTGATTCCGAGAGTCGTTTTCGTCGCTCTGTCTCTCTCGCACCTACAGGGGATGCCCCATCGAGTGCGAGGGAGACAGAGCGACGAAAGCGACTCTCGGAATCAGTGTGCTGGCCGGCCGGCTCGGCTTCACGCTCCGACGCGGCCCGCTTTACTGCCGAGCCGAGAGGAGAGGGCTGCACTTTGAGCGGGGCCAAGTCTGCATCATGGCTACACTACAAATCCATTGGCAAGTTTTCTTGCCGCCCCACTGCGTGTCGCTCCGAACTATTGATATTTGTAGTAAGATTAATTTATTGTTGTCGATTATGTTGGTACTACCAGCAAGTTGGTAGAAGTTGGAAGTCGTGATGTTCTTCTTCTCCGGAGTTTTCTTCATGGTGTTGTAGTCCTTGTCTTGTCAGTCATCTGTGTACCTTGAGCCAATAAACATCTCTGCCTCTACAAGTTTGTCGTCAGTCAATCCGCCCTGGACACGCCCCAAAAACCAAATCTACACGAACTGAACGCCGAATTTGGCCTTCTGATCCCGGATCGCCATCTGACAGTGTCAAATTTCAGCCCTCGACGAAAACGAGTCTCGGACTCGGTGTGCAGCCCGGCCGGGCGCTGCGCTGCACTTGACTGCACTGCACTGCACTGCGCTGGCCGCGCTCGCTGCGCAAGGCGATGCGTGCGGTGAGTGTGGAGGCCGCTTGCGCCGCTCGGCGCTCTGCAAACGACTCGCCATACGGCCTTCTATTATATGTAAAGCGGCAAAATGCGGAGCGCCGAGCGGACGACCTGCCCGGCCCCGCCCGGCCCCGCCCGGCCCCGCCAGGACGCCGGAGAGCATGCCCATAATGCATTATGCCGCCGGCCTGCCCGGCCTGCCGGGGTAGTTAGGCCAAAGGCCGCACTGTTTTCGATGCCGGCCCAAATCGCCCCGCCGTGCCATTCCCTCGGCTTCCTCGCCGGGCGCGCGATTCAGAGGAGCGGCGAGTCGCTCTGTCTCTCTCGCGCCCTTACGGAGTGCGCCATGAGTGCGACGGAGACGGAGCGACGAGTCTCCCGAAATCACGCGGCGACGCAGCCCCACGACGCGACCGAGGGGGCCACGGCACGGCCACCCCATACCGCCTTGTTGGCTGGTTAATGGTTGTGCTGGGCAGCCTAGGCAGCCTGGACAACCCCAGCCACCAGCCAGCCACGGACGGGATGGGGCCCGGGGCCGCCAACCCATTCATAATTTGACGTCTGTTGTCTGGGGGTTTCGGGGCGATCAGGTCGCGCGGGATTGAAAAGAGGGCGGGGCGGGGCGGCGGTGGTGGTAGCGATTCCCAGAGAAGCCAGTCACCTCACGGCAGTACACTGTACCACAGTGGTGTGACGTGACTCGGCGTTCGGGCTTCGGCGGGCTGCTTCGGGCGACGACGACAACGACCACGAGGTGCGAGGGAGGGGAAAAAGTGGAGAAAACTATGAGAAAACGCCGCGAAGATCACCGCCGCGACACCGCGGACCTGACGTGACATTTTGAGTCGGCTTGACAAGCACGCCAATCAACCAATGCCAGGACGAGTGTTTGGGTCTGCGACGCGCCAGCGCGCCAGTGACGACAATTAAAGGCCCCGCCACACTCTCACATGCACACACACACGCACGCCAACTGGGAGTCCCAATCAACTGGCCGCGGGGCTGGATTTGATTTATCTCCTTATCATAATTGCGCCGCGACTCGCGCTGGCTGCGTGCGACTCGGCGGACTCGGCGCGGCGGGCGGAAGGCGAGGCAGGCGGCACCGCGGCCCCGCCAGTGGCAGCGTGGCAGCAGCAGTGTGGCAGTGACATCGGCGAGGCGAGGCGAGGCGGCACTAGGCGAGGAGGCAGGAGGAGGCCGCGGCAGACGGACAGGGACAGGACAGCAGCAGTGGCAGCGCGCGCCTCGACTCGAGACTCTCGACTTGGCTTGCCAGGATTAATTACCCGACACCACCCCATGCCGCCGACTTGCTGCTCTCCCACGACACTCCCGAAACAAAAAAAAAAGTTGGAAATCCAATCGTCAAAAATTAAATCGGAAATGCGCGCGCCTCGGCGGCCGTCCGTGCTGCGGCGGGTCGAGCCGCGAGGGAAGGCCCACGGCGCGGCCGGCCGGGCAGCCGGGAGCAGCGGCGGAGGGCCCCGTCCCGTCAGAGCACCTGTCCGTCGTGCCGGTCGTCCCGTCTCGTCCGCCTCCGAGACTCCGAGACCGTCTGTCGCTCAAAGTGGCGGTGGCCCCGTCGCGTTGAACGCCCCGTCGGTAATTAATGATGGCCGCCCAGCGTCCGGGGTGCCCGCGGGCTGCGCTCTGTCTCCCTCCTCGCACTGCGTGCACTGCGTCCCGCCGGGGTGCGAGAGAGACAGGGCGACGACATGCTGTTGAATCAGACTACTGTTGGGACGCTGCCGGCCCGGTACTACGGCCGGCACGGCCCGGCCTGATGGGGAAGGGGGTGCTTGGAGGCGACCGACTCCCCTTGCTGCACCCCGGGGCACCGCGGACGACCGCGAGGACGCGCTGCTCCGGGGAGCGGAGGGTGCCGCCGCCGCGCCGGCCGGAACAGGCGCCCATAAGTTTCAAATGATGTCATTCATTATCGTAATACAATAAGGGCAAAATAACGAAACGTGTCCCGGGCTGAAGGGGAAGGGAAAAAAAGATGATGAATCAGTGCGATGAAGCACGGCCGAGGCAAGCCGAGCAGGAGAAACAAGAGATGATGGAATACCGCATTCGTCACGGCGTGGCGTGGCGCTGCTGCGATGAGCAGAGTGCAGGGCGGGGCCCGCGGGGCCGGGCGGGGCGCGCCGGTGCCGGTAGGACCCAGGCTGTCTGGTCGTGGCGGGGCGGGGCGGGGCGGGGCGGGGCGGGGCTCGCGGATCTTAGCAACAGGTGCGCAGCGTCCGACCGGAGCGGTGCCCAACTACCCCTTGCAATGCGCAAGAATGCCGAGGCCTTCGTGAAAATGGGGAGTCAACTCGAAAGATCACCGCAAGAAATAAACAGCAGGAATGTTGATTAAACTTAATATTTATTGTAACCACTTAAAAATAGTTTCGGCAGATTAACAGAAAGAACGAAAAGTTTTTCTCGTAACAATAAACACTAACTTTTCAAAATTCTGAAGTACAATGCAAAGACAAGGAGACAATTGGCATACACGATTAGAGAAGTAAAAAGATGGATTTCAGTTGCTTAAGTCAGTAAACACTCGTGTCAACATTTCAAGGGAACAAAGTTCTCCCCACTATGTTTCAAACATAACATTCGTAAAGCTTAAAAGTGGCCACAACGCAGCAGTTCGAGGCCTCAGGGTGCATGTGGTCATCACATTTGGCGATGTCTTCACTGCGGGGCTGCGGCGGCGCCATCGTCTTCCAGTCACACCGGTCACACGGCGGCCGGCCCCGCGGCCGACGGGGCTGAAGGGTTGAGCACCTGGTCCCAGGAGACGACGGGCGCCACGGGACGGAAGCCGAAGTCGGCCAGCAGCGAGCTCACGGCCACGGACATGCGGTCCGTGGGCGTGGCCACCTGGTACACGGCGTGCTGCAGGAACATCCACACGTTCTGCGCCTGCGGGGGGTACGGCACCTGCGGCACAGAGTTTGAGGCACAAGTCAGTCGCAGTCGCCATCGCATTCGCAGCATTCGTCCGAAGCCCCTTTCCCTCCCCGTCGCGGGGCCGCGAGTACGTTGGGTGGCCGGCCCACCAGGCGCTCCACAGGCTTGGCGCCGCGCCGTCCGGGCGACACGAGCGCTACCCAACTGTCCGAAGGTTTGCCCACGCTGGCAAGGCAGGCTGACGCTGACGAACCAATGATTTCCTTTTAAATACTTGTGTTCCTCTCACCTGCAGGGCGTGGAAGCACTTGAAGCAGAGGTCCACGGCGCACAGGGCGTTGGGCACGTAGAAGGCGGTGTTCTCGTCGATGGCGACGAGCGCCGTCTGCAGCTGGTCCAGCGCGGGCCCCACCACCACGGGCACGGGGCTCACCGACTGCCCCATGAGGCGCATCCGCATCCAGTGCCGCTCCAGCGCCGCGTTCACGTCGCCGTCGTGCTGCGCAGGACATTTAGGTAAGGCGCCAGTCTGGTGTTTGACAACAGTCGGAACTTGATTTCGGAATGACGACAAACCTCTACGTGCAGTAGGAATCCATCCTGCGCTTCTTGTCTGGTTGGCCTCCAGATTTCCGAGCTTTCGCCCGAGCCCTTGCAAGTGGTGACTGGCAGCATACTGGGAAGCAGCAGCAACGCACCGACTTGCCGACCATCCACTGGTGGAATCAGAATTTCATCAGTGTCATTAAATTAGAAATCGTGTATGATAATGATAAAATAAACACAGAAGCAACGCTCATTACCTGTGCCAACATGTCTTCTCACTGTATCCAGAAGTGGAATCTGCTTTCGGTAGTCTTCTGCCAGCATGGTAATGACAGTTTGAGAGAAATTTGGCCAGTCACACATCAAACGGCCTCCAGCATCTTTGAAGAGCAGATCAAAATCAGCCTTGATCTGGAATAGAAAAGAGGGAAATGATAATCATGGGATGAGTCTCGTCACGATCAAAATAAGAAAAATTGTTGTGGTAGAACTTACCAAAGTTTCTCCTATGGGCATTCTCAGGACGGGGTATTCATCTAGGTAGGCTGTTGGCACATGTCCTGGAGACAGCACTTTCAACAGGCGCACTTTCCAACAACCTTGCCACCGCTGTAAGGTCATTTCTAGATCTTCTGCTGACAACTCAGTGTGCCACCCTAAGCTCTGCAGCCACTTGGAATTTTGCATTGCTTCTGCATGCTCTTCTGATGCTGAAGTAAGAAGCATTAAAGAAATAAGCAAAGCTTGCAGGTTTTATCTGTACAAAAATGTTGAATTACAAGGAGTTCAGGATTACTTGATTGGAATGCGGCTACTATCCCTTGCTGAATATTTTGTCTCCGCTCTTTGCTTTGTCCTCTACAGATGACTCCGCTTTTGGCAAGTTGTCTTCGGGTGTTGTAGTACTTGGATGTTAATTTTCCTTTACCACCAGGGCGGTCACCATACGAACGATCATTGCAGAAGTAAGTATCCTTTAAACGAAAATGGACCAACATTAAACTCTGTTAATCATTAGGCACGTAGATAAAACGAGATGAAAAAGATACTTTTTTGAGACAGAACAAACCTCATTTTCTCCAGGGAAAAGTTCCACAATGGATTCGGCAATCTCCTGAAAGCGCTGGCTGGTGATCCGTTTGTTGAAGTCCTCCCGCAACTCCTCCGCGATGACGAGGTCGGTGAGCGTTTGCCTGGCGGGCCCGTCCAGGCAGTTCCGCTGCCGATACAGCGACAGGATCATCTTGCCCTTGCTGGTGCTGTTGAGCAGCCCCTCGAGGTCCAGCTTGTCGGCCCGCGACCGCTTCCTGGAGAAGCTGGAGCCAAGGCTGGAGCCCACCGCGGGGAAGGCCATCTGCGCGGGGCTGTCGTGGAGTGCGTCCGCGTGCAGCTGCTGCATCTGCTGCATGTAGGCCGGCGCCACGAAGCCGTCGGACGGCATGGAGCAGCTGTCCTCCAGGTGGGGGATGGACGGCGAGGCCTGCGCCCTTGCCTGCGCCACCATGAAGGAGGGCACCTCGGCGAAGTCCTGCAGCGACAGGGAGATGCGGCCCTGGAGCTGGAAGCGAGGCTTGCGACCCACGTCGCCGTCCTCCGCGTCCGCCGCGGTCGGGTCGTCCTGGGGAAGGACCAACCACAACAGGTTAGGGCAACGTACGGGGCGTTCCGCGCCGGGCCGCGATCTGCAAGCATTTGTATTTACCGGGGGCTCTGTTTTGACCATCAGCGTCTCTCCTTTCTTCAAGTACCCGTCCGCAACCAGCCACCCTATGAGAAAAATAGGAAATAAAGTATAAAAGGAAAGGAACAATTTAATCCAAGCAAAGGCGTTGGCACCAACCTCCAGACGTGTCGCCGTCCTCATACGTGATTCTCCCCTCCAGGAACACGGACACCTCCTTCTTGCCGCTGTCCGGCGGGCCGGGCTGCGCCGACGGCGAGGGCTGCGGGGGCAGGGAGTGGACGTCGGTCAACAAGAAGCACGGTGACGGAAACGACAAACGGCTCTCGGAATCAGTCTGCAGTCTCGCTCGCACTTTTGGGACGTCTCGTTGAGGTGCGAGAGAGGCAGAGCTACGGTACAAACCTCTTCCGCGGTGCTCCGTCTGGAAGCGGACGGGGTGGACGGTGCTGAGTTCGGAATGCGTCTCGCTGGTGCCGCCTGCACATGGTCGGCTGGGGGCGGGCTGGCCGGGCTGCGCGTTGGACTTCCACCCCCGCTCCCAACGCCGCCCCCGGCACCCTGCCCCCCGACGGCGGCGGCGCTGGGGGCGGGGGCGCCGAGCTCCTTCCACGCGCGCCACCCCTTGAGAAACTTGCAGCGCGGCCCGATCAGCGGCACCAGCTCGGTGATGACGTTCTCCTTGAAGGAGCGCAGCGCGTCCAGGTCCACTTCTTGTTCTGCAACGCCAGGTCGAGCCGTACAGCAAAGGGGAACGAGCAAAGTATGCCATCACGGCAATAATTGATGCTCCCAGACCCGAACCGGCATAAAATCATTCGTGGTCTAGCCTCTCGAGTCAAATTCTTGAGTTTGCCTTTGCCGCCCGCAGGGTAGGCAGCCCATTCGACAAGACGGGACAGCGAAAGGGGGGGGGGGGGAGTAGCGTCCCCCTCCCCCCTCCCGAGTCTGCCGAGAGGGTGAAAGGCTCGCTGGCTCTCCTGGCTGCTCGGCCAAAAATCGCGGCGGGAAAAGCCTCCAACACCCCGCCCTCAAATGTAAAGGCCGTTTCATTTGTCAGGCTGAGAACACAGTCTCTGAACCGCTAATACTGCCTTTTTCAAAGACTCGCAAGACCTTAACCTAGCGGCGGCGGTGCGGTGTTTATGGTTAGGCGTCAACATACCTCTGCAGCGGTCCAACAGTTGTGGTACTCCCCACCGCTTCAGGAGCTCCTCCACGGCCGGGTCAGACATGTTTCCGATCTTGATTTCCACCTCGTTGGGCCTTTTCTTTTAGCTCCGAAAGGATGAACAGTGATCCAACGTCGATTTTCAACTAAGTTGGGCGCAGCTCTGGGCAACGACCAGTGAGGTGTGCTGCACGAACCGATTCGGTTTGCCTTCGGCATCCTTCGGCTTTGCTCGGCCAACAAGCGAACTTGCTGGCTCAGCGTCGGCCAACGCGTTCGTGCTGGGTTCGTTGCCGCGCCGTGTCGAGCCGCTCCAAAGCTATGCTGCGCCTGCAAGAGCCGTGGATGTAGCCAAGGCCACCGGTCGATAGTGGCGTCCCCACCCACCGCGTTGGCTGTGCCAGCACAACCCCATGAGTTGTCAAACAAATTTAAATTGAGGATAGCCATCCTACCAGGCAACCCGCTAGTCACCTCTTCCCCTGGAGAGATGACACTTCCACCACCTGGAAAAAGGGGTACATCACAACGAGTTCCCCAAACCTTGTTCTTGGTTTTACTGGTGTCGAACAGGCATTCCAAGACTAATACCAAACATGTGTGCTGTATGTATCTTGCTTTCACACGTCACAGGTGCTTAGGTAAATGAGGTGTAGCACCTTGTCAAATGAAGTGGTGATTTAGGTGCATGAGAAGGGTGCAGGTGTGAAAATAACATCACAAAAACTGACGAAAATGAAAATTTATTAACTTTGGCTAAATCATACCATACGGTAGAGATCCTGTTCTGCAAACAACGATGACCATCCTGACAGTGTTATAAAATGTCAAACACTTGGCAAGGAACATTTGACAAAACATGCAGGCCAATATAATGGCAACACAATTTTAAGTACCTCACACTTTCATGAGAAAAATGATGCAAGGAACGTGTTTTTCAAAATCCACTTGCCAAAGTATTCTCAAAATAGTTATGGCATAAAGCAAAGGAATTCAGGATGAGTTGACTTACCAGAGAAATGAAGTCCTACACTTAGAGTCACAGTAAAAACTCAAAATGTAAGTCTTGCACCTCAGCACTTCCCCACAAACTGATCTGACCCAAATTTTGGTGAAGTGCTAAGTTCAGTCCTCACTTGAACTGGCACTGAGCAGTTGGAAATTTTGGTCTAAATAAACAACCCTCTTCCTAATCAGCCCAGTAAGATGGCTTCAGTCTTGAACTACTTTACGTCTTCATAATTGAACTTGAATCTTTTTCTTTCTTCAAACTTCAACCAGCAAGACGATTTTTCGCCCACTCAGGGCCTCACGAGCTTCAGAAGTCAACTTGACTCGATTTCATTCTTGCCCCAGAGAACGTGCTATTGTGCTCAAACTTCAAACTTCTAACTTCATCCAATACCTCTTGCTTCATAACCTTACAAAAATAAAAACAAACAACCAGGTTAGTATGTGCCATAGGACAAACTTTATTCTAGACTAATTACAATCCTTCCATGAAATAATGGGACTTGGTATAAAACGAACCAATGAACAGAATGCACAGGATGAATAGGAAATGTGATGCACTCTACAGAAAAATTAAATGCTGAGTAACTGATGATTTGATTGTGTGTATTGCTAAAGAAAGCATACACCATTGAGAAAATTAATTGAAGAACATTCATCACACAATGTAGGCTTAAAATGAAAGACTCGCATTCATTACTTAAATTTCCAGCTTAAAACTTCACATCAAAAAAATACATTTTGAAGACCAACCTAAGATAATAGATGCTTTTATAGGGAGAAAACCCTGTCATTCTATAAATTAAAAACACAAAAGAGAAGGGGAAAAGGGAATGGCGATGGAAGGTGCCTATCTAATAGCGGTTTCTAATTGTAATCCATTCCCCATCTACTATTCTCATATTACTAAACATAATCAGTACGAACTGCTAAGTAAATTCTTACAACAGTGCAAGTTAAAATGTCAGTAGTTTAACATTTAAACTGAAACATTTAGGAGAAAGCAAAATAAACTGGAGTTCCACTTTTACAGTTGCTTGCTGCACCGGGGCCCTTAATACCGACCTGAAATTGTTGTAACCCACAGTTAGACAAAAATAAAACCATGAGATCGACAAAAGCAGAAATAAAAAGGGAAAAAAAATCATTTCTTCTGACTTAAAAAATTTCACCAATTTTAATCCTCCCCACCCACACCCAGAGTTGATATTAAGCCCCTGGGAATCAAGTAGCAGTACCCCAGACAAAAATGAGGAGTGGAAGGAACTTGACAGTTCAACTCATCATTCAAAGACAAAAACATTTTTAAAAAAATAATAATTAGAGCTGAATTTGCATTTGGCCAGGTCTCCCCCTCTTTCCATCCACCTTAAATTGTTGGACAATTAATGGCAAACAACACCTTGTGGGGGAAAATTGAGAAAAAGCGGCCAGAGCGAGAAGAATTGGTGAATAAAAATCCCGAGGTAAACGAAAGCAATTTTCTTCAAAAACAGGGAAACAAAAGAAATAGTTCTGATGTGCTAAAAGTGAAGTAGAATAAATTTCAATAATTAATAACTTCAGTGCCACACTAATGACAAAGTTAGCAAGACACATAAAGTGTGCCACACATGCCCTTCAAAGAGGACAGAAATTAAAATTGAATATTATGAGACTTCTAAACAGCACTAGCACAAGTGAAAACTAGCATGGCAAACCAAATAAATTGAACGTGCAGTACCACAAGTAATGCTTGCCTAGGTAATGGTTCAGAAGAACACATTTACCTGATACACGCGGTACACCTCTTCACAGAAGGATTCCTTTGAATTGGAAACCAGAATTCTATCCACGAAAAGTATCAGAAACTATCAGGGTGAGTTGGACAACTTACGTGGAGAGTAAGAGCGAGAGTGAGAACGCTCATAGCGCCGTCTCCTGCTGTAATAGGGGGATGGTGACCTCTCTCTGTAGCTGCCTCGGTAGCCTCCGCCCCCGCCGCCGCCTCCCCCGCCGCCACCGCCGCCATAGTAGTCGCTGCAACAAAGACCATAAGATAAGGGTGGCTGCAAGAGGAAGATCTAATGCACGGAATTAGACATATACGTACCCTCCACCCCCTCCTCGGCCACCACCGCCGCCGCCGCCCCTGCCACCACCACCCCTACCACCGCCGCCGCCGCCTCCGCCACCGTCGCCCCCACTGCCGCCACTGCCTCCCCACCTGTCAGGGGCGCTGCGGTAAGTAGGTTTGCCCATGTAGATGCCGGGCGTAGGGGTGTGGGCACGCTGTGTGATCGAGTAGTCTACTCGGATTCGCCTTCCATCAATTTCCATTCCTGAACACTGTTCCTTGGCAGCTTTGGCATCTTCGTGACTTTTGAAGTAGACGAACGAGAAACCTCGGGAGCGACCAGTCTAAATAAAGATAAAAGAATTAGGTAAATAAACAGCAACTCGCACTGATGAAACGATAATACAGCCTTTTCTTACCTTGGCGTCTATGACTACTTGAACCCTCTCAACAGGGCCGTACTGTGAAAATATGTGATGCATTTGCTGCTCAGTTGTATAGATGCTTAATCCAAAGACACCTAGGCAGCGGCTGGGAGCGGGATTATCCTATTGAGACAGGTTTATTTAGTGTCGCATTCAACACAATTCATTATTATTATGACTGAATGAGAAGCAAGACAATCACTTACCCTGTTGCCAACATGCCTACGCCTATTGGACATAGGACTCCGTGAGTGGCTTCGGTAGAATTCTTTGCGACGGTCACTGTATCCACTGTAATAACGGCTACTGCTACCTCTGCCAGGACCTCCACGAGGACTGTAGGAGCGGGATCTTGAGTGAGAATATTTGGCACGGTATCGCCTAGGTGAGCGAGACCTTGTTCGAGATCTTCTAGTGTAGGACGACATCCTGCGTGACTTGCCAGGAGATGTTGGGCTCCTGCAACAACAATTTTTGTATAAAGCTGTGGTCTCTAAGACTTAAAATGAATCATCATTGGCATAATTGATTTAGAATAATGGGAGGTAATATAACTGAAGAGGAGGGAACTGGTCTTTGAATCAGAAACATTTGTCCTCAAAATAATTCAGTGTCTAACATGTGCGAAATAAAAATCATCACTTCAAGACCAGAAGGTGCTAACAAGTCAGAATGAAAAAAGGCATATGCTTGTTGAATGTAAAATTAGGTATGTAACAAGAAGGGAACTGGTCTCTGCAATCAGAAATATTTGACCTCAAAATAATTCAGTGTCTAACATGTGCGAAATAAAATTCATCATTTCAAGACCAGAGGGTAAAATCTCATCAGAATATAAGAGCATATGCTGGTCAAATATAACATTGAGTCTCCAATAAGAAGGGTACTGGTCTTAGCAATCAGAAACATTTGTCCTCAAAATAATTCAGTGTCTAACATGTGCGAAATAAAAATCATCATTTTAAGACCAGAAGGAGTACATGCCTAGCACTTAAGTTAAAATTTTCTTCTACTTCTTGCAAAAAAAAAAAAAACTGTAAGTAGAATTTACCTTGATCTAGAAAAATCTCTAGCCTTGCGAGCCCCCCGATCCCCTGACAAGGAACGACTGCGGTCCCTCGATCTTGACCGACTGTGTGGCGAGGGGCTCCGCACAATGGGTTTGGGGCTGTGGTTGGATTGGTCAGGACTACCCTATAATGAGAAAAAAACAAAAAAAATTAGTCACAACAAAACCAGCCAATAAAAATGCACGTCATAGTAGAAACAAAAAATAATGATAAAAAACTCAGAAAGGACTACGAAAAATAAAACAGCAACAAATTCAAACTTCTGACAGGTTTGAATCAGATATGTTAAGATATCAGCAACCCAACTTGAGTTTCAAGAGTAGAACATAACCCCACTAGAAGTAACGCAAGCAAGCGGCTCAGACCGAACGGAGGCTGACCTGAAGCCAATCACAACACGATCCACACGAAAACAAGACTTGCAGGGTCCTCCGTTCGATAATAGGTCTGCCCAGGGGCCAAAGCGCCTCGTACGGTGTCTCAGAGAGTCGTCGCGCTCCACCCCAGCCAAGTCAACAAGCACGTCTCCAAGGTAATGGAAGGGTTCGGGGCTCGGCCCGGCGCAGGGCGGCCGCGGGGCTGGGGGCCCTGGGGGCTCTCCAACAGGCACGCGTCATGATCGTGAGGACGGCCCGGCCCCTCGCTTGGTAAACGACGTGCGGCGCTACGCTGCCCTGCGCTGCCCCGGGCACGAGGGCCAGTCATGACGCAATCCTCGCCCGGCCCTGGGGTTCATATTCGCGCCTCGCACGGACCGTCGGAGCGTCGCAGGCCACAGCGGCGTGAGGACGAAAATAGACGCCGCAAAAACGTGGAGGCAAGAGACACACGCCGAAACGCACTCAAGCGGAGACCGGGCGAGTAGGCGCCAAATAAAACCGAACTGGCGATGACCGAGCCGCGGTGGGACGGCAACACGACACTAATTACGGGTACACAACGGGGTGCAGGTAATCAATAATAAGACGGGGAGCCGGAGCCGGGCCGCGAGATGAACGCGACCGGGAACTGGCGATACAATTAGTTTAGGACATACCTCGCGGTCACTCATCCCTCGTGAGTTACTTGAACCGGCGTCAGGATAAAGAAACTCTGCACTCCCACAAACGCTGCGTCAAATTAGTGCCTCAAAGGCAAATCTCAAACACGATCCGGGTACCAAACACCCGACGCCATGCACTGATCTCTTCTTCCTTCGCTTCGCCTCGAGCGTTTCCGGATCCGTTGGGAGGCACTAGCGCTGCCTTGTGACAAAAACAACGCCGTTTTCTGTACGACGAAGACGGCGCGAGTTTCAAATAATTACGCTAGAGCTGTTCTTTTCAACGTAAGGTGACAATGAAGAGTAATAATGAAGACATTGACAGATTTCGTTAGTATAAAAGGTAACAATATTAACTGGATCGTTGGGTATGGATTGTTGTGGACCATAATCAAAATTCCAGCAAAACTTAATTTCTCATAGCTATATAAATTTTTCATATCTATTTCAATTTTATAAAAATTATATATTGTTAACAGTTTTTAGTGGATATTATTCCTTCCAGATTGAACGAAAGAACCTATTCCTCCTTTTCGTAGCCTTTCACTTCCGAGTCACACAATGTTCATCTCATCAAATCTCATGAAAGACGCCGTTTCGGTGCATGCAGTTGGTACGAGTGAGACCATGCTGCCGATGCTGTCGGCTTACTTCCGGCTGCTGCCAGTGTTCGGCCCCAAAAATTTATTTACCCCATATTGCAGAGTTTGAAATTTCCTCTGGTGAAAATGCCGGAGGAGACCACGCGCGAAGAAGTGGCCCACTTCAGGGCCCCTGAAATTCAGCACAATTCTACAGGATGGGGTCCCTGCGATATGCCAGACCAATTTAAGGACATGCCTTACCAGCCTTTCTCGAAGGCAGACCGTTTGGGCAAGGTAAATGTTTTTGTAATTGTATGAGTTTATCTTACCGGTGCAGCTGCAGTTGTCAAAGTTTGAATGCTGAGTATGCAGGCCTCTGTAGCAAATTTGGTTCGTTTGTGTATTGTCATTATGCCACTGACATCTGTACGTCATAACCTCACTTATCCCCGTCGACACGTATGCCATTTGCCGATTTATTCAATGAACTAATTGAAGCATTTACTTCACAACATTCAGTCCCCTGCCTCCAGTCCAATTTCGCCCTCTCGAACTATTTTTTACCATTTGGCTTTGTTAACATCTAGGCATAGTGTTTAGTTGCACCATCTGTAGTTGACATTTTCCTCTGAAAATACTGTAATGTTTGATTTTAGCCACAATAAAGTAGAGCAAAAGTGTGCATTGACATCATTCTTTTTTGTGTTTCAATAAGTCCATTGATCATTCCAGTGAATTGTTGAACTTGTATTTCATCAGGTAGATGCATTAGCTCAGCACAATTTCTCACTTCTCTCCTTCTTCCAGATTTCTGATTGGACTGGTGCAGCTTTCCAGGACAAAAAGTACACAAGTAAGCTTTGCTCTTCATCCCTGATTTCTTCTGATGTTGTGTTGTGTTTTCTTTTGACTTATTTCTTTGAATCCTCTCAGGCAAGTATCAATCTCAGTTTGGCGCTGGTAGCCAATATGCTTACTACCATGATGAAGATGAGAGCACCTTCCATCTGGTGGATACTGCGAGAGTTCAGAAGCCACCGTACCAAAGAGGCCGATTCATGCGCAACCAGCGCAACATGCGCGGACGGGGTGGTGGCAGGGGTGCCCAGAATCAATTCCAGATGCTCGGCAAGGGCTTGAAGTCTAGGGAACGGTTTGTATTTTATTTTACTCAATGTCTTGTTTCCACACAGTATTCAAATGTGAATAAATGTGTCACACTATGATGCTGAATGTGCTAGCCTGACCATATTTCCTAATACTACAGAGAACGCAAGGGCCAACATGGTAAGAGATTCATCAGGAATCAAGGCATGCGTAACAATAAGAACCAGCCACCCATCAAAAATCGAGATGCATCTGTGGCTGTCCGTCCTGATTGGACCACAATTGAAGAAATGGACTTCCCCAGGCTTGCTAAGCTTTCTCTGCCTAATGTGAAGGAGGCTGATGACACGTAAGTCTTCTTTGCACCAGTATGTTGGGCTTCAGACTTAGTCTCTGGCCTGTTTCTTTATCACATCATCTTTTGTTTATCAGGCTGTGCTGTGGGTCATTGGAATACTATGACAAGACCTATGACCGTGTCAATGTCAAGAATGAGAAGCCACTTCAGCGAATTGATCGTGTGTTCCACACTGTAACCACAACCGATGACCCTGTTATCCGTAAATTATCCAAAACTGAGGGTAATGTGTATGCTACTGATGCTATCCTTGCCACTCTCATGTGCTGCACCCGTTCCAACTACTCCTGGGATATTGTTATTGACAAAATTGGAGATAAGCTCTTCTTTGATAAGAGAGACAATACTGAATTTGACTTGCTCACCGTGAATGAGACCTCTGTTGAGCCTCCTCAGGATGATGGAAACAGCTTAAACTCTCCCCGTAATCTTGCTTTGGAAGCCACCTTCATCAATCACAATTTCTCACAGCAAGTTTTGAAGACTGTAAGTTTCACACACATCATGCCAATTTCTATTATTTCTTTTTTTGTAAGCCTGGCGCTAATATTTATTTACGTTTTCAGAATGAGGCCCGCTTCAAATTCAGTGAGCCAAATCCATTCATAACTGATGAAGAAGGAGAGGTTGCTTCAGTAGCTTACCGGTACCGAAAGTGGGACCTTGGTGGTGGAGTTGTACTAGTGTGCAGATGTGAGCATGATGCTGTCATGACCGGTCCCAATGGAGAGACCCAGTTCATCACTATCAAGGCCCTCAATGAATGGGATTCCAAGGTTAATTTTAATTGTTCCATGTACAGTAATCAAAGCAATATTTTTCACTCAAAATAACAGTTTTTTAATTGTCATTCATTTTTATTGCAGCTTTCTGGTGGGGTTGAGTGGAGGCAGAAACTGGACACCCAACGTGGTGCTGTGCTTGCCAATGAGTTGCGCAACAATGCCTGCAAGCTTGCAAAATGGACAGTGCAGGCATTACTTGCTGGATCAGATCAGGTCAAGTTTGGGTGAGTTAAAGATTTTTGCATCCAGGAGTCTAAGGTGTTACAAAAACTTGTCTCTTTTTTCACATGGATGTCACCACAGCATTTAATTATGTTCCATTTCAGGTATGTTTCTCGTGCTCATGTCCGTGACTCATCAAAGCATGTTATTCTGGGAACTCAACAGTACAAGCCCAATGAATTTGCTGCACAAATCAATTTGAATATGGATAATGCTTGGGGTATTCTCCGTTGTATTGTTGATCTTGTCATGAAGCAGAAGGATGGAAAGTTCCTCATCATGAAGGACCCGAATAAGGTACCGGTTATCTCACATTACATGAGTTATCAAAATGAGTTAAGGCTATCAACTGAAACTAATGGTCTCTGTCTCATCGCAGCCTATGATTCGTCTGTATGATATCCCTGACAATACCTTTGACTCAGAAACTGAAGATGCCGATGATGATGATGGTAAGTGTGACATTACCTTTTAGACAACAATTCTCTTGCACCTGTTTGCTTAACATGTTCCATTTTTAATTTTCAGAACCTGCTGTTGAATCATTCCAGCCGCCATATAATTATGCTAACAACCAGAGGGTTTGAGTTCTGTTTTCTTTTTTTTTTTTAAGAACATCCTTGTTACTCTGTGGGATATTTTTAGAAAGAATCATCAACCTATTTTGTATTATTGTGCTGCTACTGTAGTGGATCTGTAAAATACATAAAAACATCTGCATCAAATCCATTTTTTCACTTCTTTGGTACTCACATTTATCAGCATCTTAATTAACTCAGGTGAATAGACTTTCAAATATTATCATGAATGTGCAATTAAATAAACCTCATAAGAAATGTTTTCAATTATTTATTATTACATACTAATAAAATATTTACATTAAGCAGAAAAAAACAAAACAATTAAAACATCACTACTGGTAGATTCAAACTCCATTACTCTGATGTATAAAAGATGGTTTTACATGAAAGACTTATATATGAAAATATGCAACTATTTCTCTACATACTTTTAGAAAAAGAAATAATATATCACACTGCCTAAACAATTGGTGGGTCAAGACCTATTGATAGCTCCTTGTCTGCAAGAGCCACATAGACTTTCTTCCAACCTCCACGTGTGCTTATTCTGATACTAACACAATTGAGCTCTGTTAAACATAATCAGTACAGTGACCCTGGGCACACACTTAGTACATTCAAAAGGGTCATGTGATAATCTAGCCCAAACCATCAGACTTAAAACGGATTACTTAAATTTAATTAAAAGAAAAATCCTTTACACTAAGTTGATTCCCATTAAAGAAACTACTTAAGACACTTAAGACTAGCAAAAAGAAATTGGTCCAATTTCTCATAGTTACTGCTACATTGGACTCCTGCTTTGGAAAAATACTTTTAATCAGTTTCAGATGGGTTGACATTATCCTTATAATTGTGGTCTGCAAACCATTCTGTGTGTTCCTCAAGGTAACTGTTAAGAGTCAGCAAACAAAACTGATTAGAGACACAAGATAGATCTTTCAATAAATGAACACGCTCATTGTTCTCTGATGACTTTACTTACGCCATAAATGTTTCCAAGTGAGATGTCAAAACTTTCAACTTGCTGCTTGGCATGTTACCTGTATACAACAGGTCTGGAAGACGAACTGCAAGTGAAAATTCATGAAAGTTATTGAAAGGGCCTGATTATAATGTAATTACTAGCAAAATGTAATGATGACAAAGTACAAAGAGGAGAGAAATTTATAAAATAGTACAAACCAAACAGCCTTGCCAGATGAGTTGCTCCATAAATTAATGATGGAAGGATTGGAGAGTCTTCATTGGTTGATGAGGGTACAAGACGCCAGGTCATAACTTGGGATAAGATTGCATTATTTTGAGGTGATATCATGTCTGGCATTTTTGGTGGGCTTGAGTTGGACGGTCCAGTTTGGGAGACAGCAGGAGCAGCCAAGGGTGATGCAATACTGCTTTGAGAGCTATTACTGGCCAAACTGCAATTAATTTTAAGACATTAAAAAAGGTAACATTTACACTCTGTGGACAATTTTTTATGAGTTCACAGTTCTATACCTAGATATTGGACACTGAGCAGCTGGAGCATTGACAGCATCACTAGTTGAAGGGCCAGGAGAGGTAACTTCAGGGGCACTACGGTGAGATGATCGCAGACTACGCTTGCGGCCTGATAATAAAACAATAATTGGACCTTTACATGAACAGAAGAGTGAATAAACATAATGTCTGTACAAAAGGATAGAAAAACTGACACATACTTTGATCCACAGTGGGGCTCTGTTCTTCATTACTGGTAGGAGATCGGCCTGGCGGACTGGGAAGAGATACTTTCACTGTATTTTTTTCCTGCTCTGTTGCAGGCGCTTCCTCACTGATGGGTTCTGCTTTGACTACAGGGACATCTTCACCTTCACTTCTGATAGGGAAAAAAAAGTTAAATATGTTTTAAAATAATATACAAATACTATTGAATAACAATGGTGAAGATGACACCTACTCTGGTTCTTTTTTTGGTGTGGGGCTTCTAAAGGGTGATTCAGATTTTGTTATTTCAGCAAACTGAGCTTTCTCGTGGGAGTATAGGAGAAGATCAGCAAGGGTGAAATCAAAATAAACCCGAAGTCCATCAGCTACTTCTTTGCAAATGGTAAGACTGCAAGCAAAATTTAAAGGAATAAAAATGTTCTACATTTAGACTTTTTTTTTTGTGAATAGCTTCACTTACTTTCTGCAAATAGAGTCCAAGTCTTGTGATTTATTGCTATGCAGATATTTGTATGAATAACGTTGGCTTTGACCATTTTTAGAAGCTCCAGTTGCAGATGCAGCCGCACTGTGACTATTGCATAGTTGATTAACTGCACAATGCTTCACAAATCCCTCGAGAATGGTAACTACATTGGGCTCTGCAGGCAATTGTAAGACCTACAAACAGAGGATGAAAATAATAAATTATTTGAATTTCAAACAGCTGTCAAAGACAAGAAAAATTAAAAAGATCATACCTTGTTCAGATCGTTAATGAGAGAACAATCATGTTCTAACAATCGTCTTAACCCTGTTGGCACTTCCATCGGAATTCGTTCCTCAACCATCTCCTCATCATGATGCTCCTGTCCCTCAGCCTCTGAGGATTCATCGGAACTGTTTTCATCCCAGGCATTATTATCCTATCACACACAGGAAAAAGCATAAATTTCAGATCTTCATTTTTCTGTTAAGTATTGAGAGAATCATAAATGAAAATACCCTTTCTTCATCATGGTCACCATCATGATCATCCTCATCATGACTGACAGAGTCCTGGTCAGAATCTACACAAGCACTGGTTGCTGAGCCATTGCTGTTACTGGTGGCACTTGCACTTGTGCTCACACGGCGCCTCCCTTTCTGTCTCTCAAGAGAATCATTTACTCGATCAGAAAGTTTCCTTTGACGCTTTGTTCTGTCTTTACGGTACAGATATGCACCTCGTCGGTAATTAGAACACCTGACAGATATACAAACACTGGTCAAATTTCTTTACCAAACATTGCAGCGGGACAAGGAAAACCTTTACATTGTATTTGAAATTTCTTTACAACAGTTTGATGTACAAGAAAAAACTTGACAGAATTGTGGGTAAGGAAACACTCACAGCTGCAACTGCGCCTTTTGAGCAAGATCTTTTTGCAGCTGTCTATTTTCTTCTGTGTCTTTTAAAACAAAGTCCTCTGTGACACAGCGGTCCCAAGAGGAGTTCCATCCCTGATAAAAACAAACAACAATTAATTTAGCTACCACACATTGACAAACAGTCAAAGATTTATAGAAAAGATCTAACTTACTTGAAAATGGATGAGGAATTCAATGGATTTACGTCCTCTCTGATCTTTCGTAACTTTGACTTCCAAGACCTTAAAAGCAACGGCAAATCAAGTGAGGTAAGTGATGAAATACATTGCTCCTTTTCACAAGCATACAATAAAATCTCTAGCACCAGCAAAATATTAAGAACATCGAAGGTATGTCAATGTAATTTACGTCAAAAAACATTAGACAACATAACGAGCTCGGAGAGGTTATGTTTCTTGATACCATTGTCAGAACTTGTTTACAGGTCGGAATGTCACAGATGAATCAATAAAAGGTGGCATATACTACAGGAGGGCAATGTATGTTATCAGAGCTCACATTCAAAGAGCATTGATACTTCTTTTAATAAACAAACCATCACAACAAATGACTATCATAGGATTGCAGCTCTATCAGACTGCAATATAGTGGAGAACACTTCCATGTCTGTGAAAGATTAAGGTAAATTAAAATTTATGTTTACCTTGGAATCATACAACACTTTGGCTTTCGTTGGATCAGGTTCATAACATAAAACTCTCTCTCCTTCGGAAAATTTGAATTTCGGACCACGAGTGGACACCATTTTTCCGCCGTGAACGACAAGCAGGTTGGCCACTACAACCACTTACGAGGAAGAGAAACGTTACGAGTAAGCACCAAGAATTTTCGTAAGTAAGCGAGACTTGGAAGTGACAATTAAAAACAAAATTAGTTTTTTCACTTTCAAATCTTACCCTGCGCTGCAATGGAAATTCTAGGGAAATTCTTTTTATGCTTGAGTGTTGTGCCTAGAAGGTATGAGAAACGCTTCGTTCGTGTTCGTCTGCTTGCAGACAACACAACACATGATCTTATTTTTTAGCTTTTCTGATAATTAACATTCAAGTTGGTGCAGAATTATCACTGGAAATAGATTTAGAGTGTAACAGTATTAGGACAAATGCAGATATTTATTCGAAGGATTTTTAGATGGTAAGTTTAATTGAAAACAAACATGCCTTTCTGCTACTTATGTCAAAAAGTAATCAGCCATTATATTATTTATAAGCATAATATACATTTCAAGTTGATAATCCATGATTTTATCAAATTTAGAAAGAGCGGTGTCTTTATAGTTGAAGTCTACTTGGCACAGATCAACAACTGATTATCTTACTCGCTGTTTCTTGGGGTGCACACATGTAGGAAGGGACTGTGACCACTAAGTAACTATCCATTTCCTAACTGTTTCAACCTTTTCCAGGTCATCTATTGGTATTGCTTCTCCCTTAAAAATCTCGACCATGCATCATAAAGCAGACGTCTCTTCCCAGGCTAAACATGTCCACCTGTCAGCCAATCCAATGGAGTTATCATTCTTTTCATGGATTTGTTCGGTTGCTCCCGCTTTTCCTGTCAGAGCCCAGAATATTAAGATTTTAAGTGAACCTAGTGAATTTTACGATGCTCTATTGCGCAAAAGTAGCACTGCCAAACACAGAATTGTTGTGTCATCCCTTTACCTAGGAACGGGACACTTAGAAAAAGCATTGGTGAGTTTGAATTCTCTCCTCCCTCCTCTGCTCTTTACAATGTGATCTTTTGACATTTTGGCTTTAAGGTTGAGTCCATCAGACACAGAATGGTTGACCTGCAAGGGCAACTCAAAGTTACATTCTTGCTTGATCACTGCCGTGGATCTCGGGGAAATATAAACTCTCGATCCATGATAGCGCCCTTACTAGAGGAGCAACCAGATTCAGTGCAGGTAAAAAGGCTGCTTTTCTATGAATTTTCTTCATGCATTTCTAATATTTTAGCTCAAGAGTGCTATGTGAAATGGTATTTCCAGGTTTCCCTGTATCATACAATAGCACTAAGAGGGCTTCTGCGGTCAATACTTCCCCAACGATTCAATGAAGTAGTGGGCTTACAGCATATGAAACTCTATATATTTGATAATACTATTATCATAAGTGGGTGAGTAAAGAGATCTGTTGCAATTCTCCATTAAGTGTCTAACATTACTGACAACACACAATCTTTTCTTATTTTGCAGGGCAAATTTAAGTCATGACTATTTTACTAATAGGCAAGATCGATATGTTATTATTGAGGATTGTGAAGATTTAGCTAATTTTTATGTAAACCTTGTCCATAAAGTATGCGAGTTCTCTTTTCAACTCCTACCAAATGGTTCAACAGAGCTTCATTCTGCATGGCCACCAGATTGTCATCCTTACAATGGAGACAAAAATAAGTTCATTGACAATGCTCAAAGACAAATTGAGAAAATTATAAAACCTACAACAATTGAATCAAAAAATATACCAAAAAACAGTAAGTAACAGTTATGGAATTAAATTTTGTTGAGTACTACTCTTTAAATTTTTATTCTTTAATATTAAAGAATTTCTTATATGTGCAGCTTCAGACACCTGGGTCTATCCTCTTGTGCAAATGGGTCAGTTAAAGATCCACCAGGATTCTGAAGTGACTTTGGATTTACTCCAACGGTCACCACCAGGTTCTCAAATCCATCTTGCGACTGGTTACTTTAATTTGCCTAAACAATACATGGACATAATACTTAATAAATCTGAAGCAACATACCACATTTTAACAGCACACCCAACTGTAGGTCAATGCTGCTACTGGTTTTTTTTTCTAATTTTGTTGTAGTAATAACTTTTTTTTTTAACCATGTCCAGGCAAATGGTTTCCTGAATGCACCTGGCCTCGCAGGGGGAATTCCTGCTCTATATACTCAATTAGCAAAGGACTTTTTTCTTCGGTCCTGTGCATTGAAACAGCACAATCGGGTGCAAATTCAAGAATACATACAACCAGGGTGGACATATCATGGAAAGGGTCTCTGGCTGACTCTACCCGGCCAGCAGTTTCCATCCCTCACTCTCATTGGCTCCCCTAATTTTGGTGAGTATTTTTATTTATTGGTTTCACTTCACCTGTCCACGTATGACATTAATTTTTTTTTCCCCCTCTCCATTTAAGGATCAAGGTCTGTGGACAGGGACCTTGAAACACAGATAGCAATTGTGACTTCCAATGAAGAACTACAAAGCAGACTTGCAGATGAAAGGAACAGATTATATGGAAAAGGGCATGAAGTCAATAAGGCAACTTTTACCAGGAATGATAGACAAGTACCCCTGTGGGTATTTTGCATATCAAGATTTTTCAGACGGTTATTTTAGGCACAAAAAATAAATGCTTCAAATTTAGTTTATAATGATCATTTATTGTTACTTATGTAACACACAAGAGATTTTTCAATAGCTTTTAACAAATTACAACAGACAAGATCAATCAGTTCATGGGTTAGTTCATTGGTTCAAAAGTAACCAAATGAACACAACACCAGTAAAAATTATTTGACATAATATGGCACCACAAAAAGTCACATACATGGAATATAAACCAATGGAAAGTATCAAATATTTACACAATAAAAATGGATAAACAATCAGTTACAACAGCACTATGAATTGGTGAACTTAGGAGCTCGCTTTTCAACAAAGGCTTGCATGCCTTCCTTCTGGTCGTTGGTGGAGAAAGTTGCATGGAAAATGCGTTTCTCAAAGCTAAGTCCTTCATTAAGAGAAGTTTCAAAAGCTGGAAAGAAATATTATTTCATATTATTAAGAGTCAGCAAACAAGCTGTCAACATATCTTCAATCTTTCTTAATCAGCACAAACTGATAAGAATGAGATGACAGCAATAGTCAAGCTACAAAGCATCTAAAAAAATTGTTTCATAAAAATTGAGAGACTAGAAAGAAAGGAGGAAGCAGTCTAATAATGCCTTACCCTTTTTGACAGACTCCTTGCACAGAGCAATGATAAGAGGAGAGTGGGAGGCAATCTTCTCTGCCAGCTTAACAGCCTCATCAACAAGCTTATCAGCTGGGAAAATTTTGCTCACCAGGCCTGGAAATTACATTATGTTTATAAGATCAGTGCAGGTTTTTAAGGAAGTACCAAAATCAACTTGAGAACTTACCCATTCTTTCAGCCTCTTCAGCTGTGAAAGGGTTTCCACTCAAGCAAATTTCCATAGCCTTGGACTTGCCACAAGAGCGGGCAATGCGCTGGGTACCACCAGCACCAGGGATGGTTCCAATTGTCACTTCAGGCTGACCGAATCGTGCTTTGTCTCCAGCATAGATAATGTCGCACATCATCGCAAGTTCACAACCACCACCCAACTAGGCCAAATAATCAACTATTAGAAAAATTAACCAAAAAAAAATAAAAAAATAAAGTTGTACATCACTGATTACTACTCACAGCATATCCGTTAACTGCAGCAATAATAGGTTTCTTGCATGCACTAATTTTATCCCATTCCTGAAGAAGTCCAACATTGACGTTGGAAGCAAATGAGGTATCCTTCATTTCCTTGATGTCAGCTCCTAAAAAAGCAGAGATTAAAGTCAAAGATGCAAGCAAAAATTTACAGCTAAAATCATTATTGCACTCAAGAGCAACAACCTGCAGCGAAGGCTTTCTCGCTTCCAGTAATGACGATGGCACCTATGCTTGGGCTTTTTTCCAAGAGGGTCACAGCTTGTGCTAAGTCACTCACTAACGCATCACAAAGTGCATTGAGGGCCTTTGGACGATTGAGACGCACAAGACCAACATTCTTCTTCTCACCGACAACAGATGCCTCAACCAACTCATACTTAGGAATGTCTGAAACAAAAATTATTTTTAGCAATAAAACGACAAACGTTGTGACTTATGTTGTAAGATACTGAACACAAGCTGATCGCAGATTATGTCCATTGAAGCACAGGGGTAAGACAGTGCAAGGAATTTAAGTTCAATGCGTTCAATCCAGACCAATACAAAGTGTCTGGCCAAACAGTAAAAAAAAATTAGGCAACACCTAAGCGACTTACCGAGGCTGCTAGAAAACCTCAAGGTTTGGTAAATGCCACGTGTTTTGCCGAGGCCTTGAGGCTGGGTCGACAGCAAACCGGCAGCCAGACGATAGGCTTTGGTAGACAATGCCATGGTAAATGGCTTTCAGATCTGCCGTTGCACGGGCTCGATTTGACGATGTAACCTGCTCTGTCCGCTCTGTCCAGCTCTGTCGCACCGGCTGACTCGACTGGCGATAGCGACGGAGAGGCGACAACAACAGTAGGCAACAGGTTTCAGGCCGGCCGGTGCTCTTTGCCCCGAAATGATTAGCGAGGGAGTGGAGTGAGAGGCGTGTGGATGTGGAGTAACTCGCTGCGTCCTTGAAACAGCTGCGCTACGTCACCCCACTCCACTCGTCACTCTTGGTTTGTTTTCGTCCCCCCCCCCCCCCGGCACCTCCCTTCTCCCCTTACCGCCCCTTACACCCACCTCCTCCACAGCAGCTTTTGCTTTATTTTGACGAAAGGAAAATGAGCAATGATGAATGAAGTCTAAAAGCTTGGAAAAGGAGCGCTGCTCGTGTCGTGGTGCTTGTCTGATTTCAGTCCATGAGGAGGGAACAGTTGCCATCAAAGTGTGTGAGAGGCATTCCCATGACTTATTCTGGTCATTTCGCGAGCTAAAATGTTTCCGATTTGACATACTGCGAGTATTTGCATTTTCTAGTCTCGAGAGCAGAGCGGGTGTTCCCCGGTTATCTTTAAAATCAAGCGCTCTTTCGAACAGGGTTACCACAAATTGTGACCCAAAATTAAATCGCTTGTAAAGCGCTATTCGATTATTTTCAACTGTATAAGCTTGTTAGAAAATATATTTTTTCAAATAACTCTTCAAAAAGAGAGATTCAATTTTGTTTAGATTCGATTATTGATCGCCTTGATATATTATTCTGTTGGTATTTCTGAAACTGAATTCTCTCTCTCTCATGTTTATGCTGGGTCAAGCCAGCAAGAATACTCTTTTTTCGCTTGAAACATGTCTCAATTCTCATCGATTTCACGCGTTTGTGGTTTGAAATGACACTTTGGTTGCATAGATATTCGTTTTCGTCACTGCATTGTCAAAGGTATGTGTGCAACCTGCATTTAAGTCAGATGTAGCTGTTTCGCCATCCGACGTCCAGCAATCCACTGCTTTTACATGATGTAAACAATTACTCCAACCACATCATATTATCCAATTTTTACGATACTACTTTTCAAACTCTATTCAGATTGTAGAGAATGCTATGTTCTCTATCCTTGAGCCTTGTTGGGGTGCATTTCATCTCATATTTTGGGCTATCTAGATAGTGGGTGCTTTGGTTTTTAATGTCAGCTTTATTCCTTGCAAATTTTGAGACATTTAAATAGTTAACCAGTTGAACAAGGAGCGTTTCTTTTCGTTTACTCCTTGCCCCGTTTTATTTGTTTCGAAGGTTTCCCTCAGAATCGGAGGTTGATGTAACGTTTGTAGTGCACTATGTCGTTTTCTTCATATTTTGTGTACCCTTTTGTAAATTATATCAATCTTTTCACTCTTTTTCAGGTTGACAATGTGTCTTCTCTTCCATATTTACATCCTACATCCAGCAATATAGTAATGGACAGTTCAAGACCCTATCTGGAGCTACCACTTTCAATGCAGCATTCAAGTGTAACTGGAAGTAAAGAAAGAGTACCGGAAAATGATTTCCAGCAAATTTCATCTCAAACTTTACTGGACTTCCTACCCTCTTTACATAATGTCCCAAAAGGGTACGTAGTTTTGGTGTTTACTTTAAGTCAAGGAGCAATGTCAATGATTTCAAATTAATTCCTTCACAAATGGAACTTTTTTGTTTGATTTCAGAGGGTTGGATTTGCCAGAGTTTAATCTGCCTTCCAATGAAAATATGCAAGGAGGACTACTCTCATCTTTTAAAGTGAATGACGGCTGTAATCTTTTGCTCAACCCATTTGCCGACAGTCAGCAGCTGGGCCATGGGTTATTATATGGACAACGAAATGAGATGCAAGTGAATGACACCTCAAGCCATAGTGGGAACATCTTAAGTGATCCCAATTATCTTAATATGAACACAAGTGCAGTACCTCATCATTCTCAAGGACCTGAAATATCACTATCTTCCCATATTTTTAGTAAGAATGTTGAAAGCCCCACAGCAGTTCCATCAAATTTCTCTAGTGCAATGTTGCCTTTCAATTCGTCTTATGAAGATAGCCAATTCAACAAGAATTTCGAACAACTGGAGGCTATTACCAAACATATAAAATCTGATAATTCTCCTCTTGTTAAGGAGGAGGGTACGATTGCCACAAAATCTGATCAAAGTTGCAGTGTAGAATGTGGCGACAGTGTGAGCCCTGTATGTGATATTGGAGCACCAAGAGTCAATTCACTCATAAGTGACTCTAGTGAACCGAATTTAGGCAACATTTCTGATGAGAAATTGAACTTGAAAGATTTGGATCATATTGACCTACAGCAACTTAACAGTGAAGAAGTGAAAGTGGTTGAGAGTGTTGTGACTTGTGCTTTCTGCCCAAGATCATTTAAAACTCAAGAGCAACTAAGTAAGCATGAGGCTCTGCACCCTTACCAGACCTCTGCAATTCAGTGCTCCAAGTGTGGGTAAGTCAATTTTTTGAAAAAGTTGACTGAATTTTCATCTGGTCAGAACTTGTCTCTATACTTGTAAAAACTATGTTTCAGAGAAATTTTGGGAAACTACATGTTGCTTCAGGAACACAAACAGTATGAAGATTATCTGAGTTCTTGTGACTTATGTGGACAACTTTTTCCCAATGAAGAATGCATGATTTGTCACATTAGAAATGCTCACAATGATGTTGATGATATTTTTGATGACGAGAATAATGCATCTGAAGATCTTCATGGCCCACCCAAGAATTCTACCGAAGCTCCTACAGAATCTTTTGAAGAGGCACTTTTTAATCAAAGGTATACTCTAGGAAAATCCCAGAGAAGTAAACAAAAAGACATATTTTATCACCCCAATTTATGTTTATGTTTTTAATTTGTCCGTTTTGCTGCATGGTTGCATGCAATCAACAGTAAGATTTATTGTTGTTTTTTTTTCTTAGCTCTGTTCTGGAAGACCAGGCTGAAAGTAATGAAAAATATGATCTGACACCACCACCTCCGGAAGAACAGGTAACTGCTGATGACAACCATGACAATGAAACCAATGAAGAGTTAACTCCAAGGTTAGAATACATAAACAAATTGTTTTAAATTTATTTGAATTTGGTTCCAAAATATGATGATTAATTTTATTTCCTTCAGTCACTTTGAAGAAGCAAATGTGGATTCAAACATACAGCCTACTGCTGTGTTGGAGAACATTATTGAAAGGTAACAAATGTGAACAAATAAAATAATTCCAGAAATAAGTGACACTGAAACTTGAGCTAAACCTGAGACATATTTAAAATTGCAGTTCTAATATGGAAGCTGATGGCCCCTACTCTGAGGAGCTAGAAAACACTGTTGAGCAGTCTGTTTGTTTAAATGAGCACCTGTGAGTAAATGCAGAATATTTTCTTTTCTTAAATTGTCAATTATTATTTAAAATTAACAAAATTTATTTTCTTAATAATTTTGTAGTCCCGAGACTGCTCCTAGTAAACCCAAAAAGACCAAGTGTCGGTATTGTTCCAAGAAATGTTCAACAAGGAAGAGTCTTGTTCGTCATGAAAGGAGTCACCCCTATGCAACAGCAGCCATGAAGTGTAACCTTTGCTTGTAAGTGTTTCTGCACAGTCTTTTTGTCAAGCTTTTCCCTTGTTGAGATATTGTAAAAAAAAATTTTAATTCAATTTTACAGAGAGGTTGTTGAAAACTATAAAGCATTTAAAGTCCACAAAAAGAACCTGGGAACCCCAGTCTCATGTATCACTTGCAATCAAGTATGTCCCAATGAAAATTGTCTGAAATGCCATGTTCGAAATGTGCACAATAACTTTGTATATGGTGCCCCTCCTGTGTACAATTTGGATGATTCCAATGATGATGCTTATGAGGTTGAAGGTGAAGAGGAGGAGGAGGGAGATAGTGATAGCGGTGCTTTATCAGCTCAACAATATTCCGTGTCAAAATATACTGTAGGGTATGTACAATCTGTGTTGCATCCTGTCTTATTGTTAGTTTAATTTGCCTCAATAATTTAATCTGCAGAAATTTAAATCATACTTTTGGTTATGTCACAGGGATCCTGGTGCTCCACTTCGTATTACTATCAAACAAGAAAAAGAGGAGACATATGTTGCCCCAGTGTCTCCTTCATATTCTGCACCCACACCTCCAACACCATCCACACCATCTCCTCAAGGTGCTCCTACACCATCTCCCCCTGCCTATGTCTATGAGTCAGAACCCTCAGACGATGCAGATAATGATCAGGAATATGAGCCATATGCATCTGATCATTCAGTGGAAATTCAGAGTAAAAAACATTTACGGAGGAAGACTGCTCTGCGTTCGTCCAAAAAGTCTGGTGTACATTTCTTATCCTCAAGTGAAGAAAGTGATCATGATGAATCTGCTGATTTTAACTACAGTCCCCAAACTAATTCAGAGAGTGAAGAAAATTCTGATGAGGACCCCGAGTGGGACCAAACGGAAAACTCTTTTGGTAACTCCAAAAAGAGGACCAGAAGAAAGAACCCCTTGAGCGATGATGATTCAGATGTGGACCCTGATTGGGGGCAACAAACTTCTTCTGCAGGGAGTAAGAAAAGAGCAAGACGGAAAAAGGGCCCTCTCAGTGATGATTCTGATAATGATTTTGATTGGAGCATTCCTCAAACTTCTTTTGCTACCTCTAAAAAAAGGAGTGCTCGGAAGAAAAGTTCCTTGAGTGATGATGATTCTGACTATGACCCCGATTGGAAGCAGGATGATAACTCCTCAGGAAGTACAAAAAAGAAGGTGCCAAGCAGAAAGAGCAGAAAGAAAACCATTCAAGTTGCGTTTTTTGTGCCAGCCATTCCAGTTCCCAAAGTAAAGCGCCCAAGGGCACGCGGATTAGGAGGCCAAAAGGCTCAAGATGCAGCTGCAGCACTTGCACAAGCTGTTGAAGACATGGAAACTATTGTACCAGAACTGAAAACAGTAATTAAACCGGTACGCCGGTCTGTCACTAAGGCATCCTTAAAAACTTATAGTGAGATGTACGATGATGAATATGATTATGATCTTGTGAATGTGAAGCCAGAACCGGACGTACCTGGAGACTCTGAAACACTGATGCAAAATGAGCAAGATCCAAATGTACCAGCTGCTCAAACTTATTCCGATAGTAACAATCCTTATGAGTTTAATGATGAATTAGATGTCTCAAACTCAGATATTTCAGACAAACAAAATAGATCCAATATAGATAGCCTAAATAGTGATCAACAGGAAGAACAAATTGTAGTCAAAGCAGAGCCATATGACTTTCATGATGACGATGAGGATAACGAAGATGATGATCCCTCGTATGGAACTGATCTTTATTTCAGTAAGAAGTTTTGCGAGCCAAATTTAAAATATGGAAATATTAAATGTCCTACAACAATTAAGACAGATCCTGATGCTGATGAAAAACCAAAAAAAGAGCTGAGATATGTTTGCAAAATATGTGGAAGAGCTCTTCAATACAGGTCTCACCTTGTTAGGCATTTGCGCCGAGTTCATGATGGGGAAGGTGTTGAAGAAGTGATGCGGCGCTTAATGAAGTGCAGGTTCTGTGAAAAGCCCTACTCTAATGAGCTAAGTCTTATCAACCATGAAAAACTGCATGATGGGACCAGCAAAATGAAGTGCAACAAATGCGAGTAAGTTGGTAAAGCCATTTAACAGACTGTAATTTTGAAATAAATCTATAAGTTTTAACTGACATTATTCTTTGTAGGGAACGTTTTGATGACAAAAATGCACTCCGAAGACATCAACGGAAAATGCATTGGGAACACCAGCCTGTGGAATGTGAAATTTGCAAAAAACAATTGTCAGATAACACTTGCCTTAAAGCACATATGAAGCATATGCATGGAGCAGAAGAGAAAAAAGTAACTGTTTTTACCTGTGAAACTTGCGGCCGGCAGCTGCATACAAAAACAGCTTTTCAAGTAAGTTTGTAATGAATGATTGGAAAAGTCTGAACATCTTATTGCTTCTTGTACTCAAATTGTGTTAATTTTATAATTGTATTTCTAAAATTACAGAACCATGTTGCAAGTAAATGTGGGACAAACCTTCTCTTTCCATGTGAGACATGTGGCAAGTCTTTCTCATTTAAGGGTTCTCTAAAGGCTCATCAGCTTCTTCATACTGGAGTCAAAAGCTTCTTGTGCAAGTAAGTGTAGAATTTTTATCTATCTAAAATGAAATGTAAAACAATTTGATAATTTTTAATTCTTTTGTAGATTTTGTGGGAAAGCTTTCCATCAGAAGGGAGAAATGAAGAGACATGAAAGAAAGCATACTGGTGAAAAGCCATTTGTTTGTGAAGTTTGCGGCCGAGCATTTGCATATCGTGAGAGCTTGCTTGGTCACAGTGCAGTCCACACTGGAATCAAACCGTTCCCCTGCAAGACCTGTGGTATGAGGTTTTCATGCTCTGGGAACCTAGTCAAACATAGGCGTTCAAACAATTGCAAAGGATTCTCAGAGCAGGGTGATATAACTGTTGTCAATTTGGAAGGAGAAAATACTCAAGAAAGTACAAGTGTCAGTCATGCATTGGCAGTAGATAAGCCTGCTGACCTTTTACCAGAGACAGCCACAAAGCCACCTTCTGTGATTACTGGTTTATCGAATGAGAACCGTAATTTAGTTGGTGAAAATAGCAGTGCTCCTCAAATCTCTCATAGCTTTACTAATGAAACTCACAAGATAAAGCAGGAGCCTGTGCAAACCCCCATCGCTGATATTGCTCAGCAAATTCACCAAAGTGCTGTGAACAGTGTACAAACATCCACCTCCAGTATTGTGAAGCTGCCCCCAGGAATCTCTGTGAAGCCTGCCTCAGCACTTCAATCAACTCCAAAAGAAACTAAACCCCTTCCTGATGTGAATGTTTCTCAGTATTATCAAAATTCGAGCAGCGTGAATAATCGACTGATGGGCCATTTAAATCCTATGTATGATAGACACGAGAACAATGTGGCAACTCAGAATAACTACAACTCTCACAATTTAGGTCCCTCCTTTAGTGAGAACCATTTCAGACAATCTAATCAAGTGAATGTTAATGACAGGAGATATTCGCAATTGAGTTTAGAAGGCTATGCTGGTCGCCCTGAACAATATTTTGACCATCAGTCCTTGATGAGGCATGAAATGAACCGTCAAGTTATGGAGAGAGCTGCTGATAGACAAACACCAAGATTCTTAGATTTGCGGTTTAGTGGTGTTGACAGCAGGAATGCAATGCAGTCCTATCATGGGCCAACCCTACCTCACACCTCTACTTATCCCAATATTCATTCTGGACATTTGGGAAACTATGCTGCTGCACATTCAGTGAACCATTCAGCTAATCCTGCTAATATGTATGGGAGCAACACAATGATGGCAGGGTCTGTGGGTTTCCCTGCATTCACTGCAAATAATCATATGGCTATGGGATATGGCCATAATAATCCAATCCCTGCACATGCTGTTGCTCATGCTGGTTCATATCCAACATCACATATGAGCCATCTAGAGGCTCTTTTTGGGCATTTTAGCCAAAATGCTGCGAATAATAGTTTGCAGCGTCTTTCATCTCAAAGTGCTGGGTCTACAGCTTCAAGCAACCCATCTTTACCAAGCAATCATCGTGTTTAAATTGTGAGATGAGATGTGCTTTGTCTTAAACTAGGTCCTAGGATATACCAAAGAAGACCCCTTTAGTCAGAAAAATATTATGTAAAATGTTTGTTACCTTTTCTAACAACTATTTAATAAGAAATCAAGTGGCTGCAATAGGAAGTCATAAAAAGCTTATATATTGTATCACTGTTCTTTTAGTTTACTTATCATGTATTCAAAGATATTCTGTTAATATTGTGTGCAAGTTATTTTTACGAGGGCACTCAGAAAGAATACTTCTTATATGTACCATGTTTTATTGATATGATTGATTATAAATATTCTATTTGAATTCAAACCCATAGTTCTGTATATATTTGTTGCAGTAATTTTAATTTTGAGCTTGTGTGATCTTGATTGTTATCCACTTAACGTTGATGCATGATATTACCGCACACCAAGCCGCACACAATTGTGAATGAATAGGATCATTAAATCAAAATTAGCAGGTTTTTTTTTTCAGATTGTAGAAAAATTGAACGTTCTGAGTAACTCACTGAGAGGAAGTACTTCATTAGGTATTATCGTATTTAATTTTGTATCTTGTTTTCATGGTTCTTTTAAAATGTGAGCAAGATACATTTTTGTATTATCTTGTTTTTTGTTTGTACTGAGTACAATGTTTTGTGCGAGAAAATGTTAAATGTATTTATTGTTGTCGAGGCTTACAAATGAGGTGTACTTAAAACGTTGGAGTGTGGTAGATTGCCAATTTATCTCATGTAATGTGTATTAGAGGCATGGTAGGCAATCCAAGTGCCATTATGACAAATATTGAGACTGCAATGCAAAGCAAATAAAGGCAGTTAACGATTAGGTTCTACCTGTCATCAAATCTCTTCTTAAAAGTTTCTTAATTTATGTTTTAGATTTAGTGTGTAAAGTCTAGTTTAATGATAAAACAGGGTTATTCTTAGAAACTAGCAATTACAAGTTCCTTTAACTGTGGAATAGCTGCAAATAAGAAATTTATGTGTGTCTAAGTTACACTAGAATCGAAACACAAATCAATATGCACTATACTGGCAACCAAATATCTGTGTAAATATATGCTATTTTCATGTTTTTACTTCATTGTATTTGTGAATTTTAATGAATTCTATAGATTTTTGACGTTACCTTCACTGGAAACCGTCTTTTTCTGTACAAATTCCCAGAGAATAAATTTACGACCCTAATTTTTAACTCCTAGTCGTCATTTCGTGATTGAGCACCCCACAGAGCTGGAGCGTCAATGGCAGTGCCGGAGTGCCGCACCCTCCGCCTCGGCTGGGTGGACCGCCACCACTGCCTCGAACGTGAGGGCAGACGCAGCAGACGCAGCAGACGCACGCCTGGGAACATTTCCCGACCTCGCCGTCGTCGTTTTCGCGGTCGCGGGGCGTGGCGGGGCGGGGCGGGGCGGGGCGGGGCGTGGCGGGGAAGGGCAGGGCAGGGGCGCACCGCGGCTGCAGCCTGCTGCTCCCAGTTTGAGCGGCTTCCCACAATAATGGATGGACAGCAGTCCTTCACCGCGCGCGTGGCCGGATCGGGGATTGATTGACGCCACGCTTGAAAACAAAATGAACGAAAAGAAAACCATCCGAAACGCACTCTCTGATGGGCGGGGGTCCAAGCCGTCGCCTTGCTTGCTTGAGGCGGCCGGAGGGGGTGGAGGCGTTGCTCACTGGGTCGGCGCCTGTCTGTCTCATTATCGGCTGCAGTGGCGTGGCGGGGCGCGGCGGCTAGCGTAAGACTGCCCGACGCAAGTGACGATGAGCCTCGCGGGGCGTTGCGGGCCACGGGCCGCGGCACGGCCTCCGTGGCCACTGCCAGGCACTGCAGGGCAGGGCGGGGTGGAGGCCGTAGGCCGTGTGATTATGAGTCTGGTGGCAATGAGTGAGTCGAGTGAGTCGCCCCCTCCTCCCCGCCCCCGCCATGCCGCCCACGCAACCGGGGTACATCACGATTTTGTTTCAAGGGCCGCACCGCGTCGGGGAAAGTGTATCCACGCAAACGGGGAGCCTCGTCTCGCGATGAAGTCGAATTCGAGACAACGACACCTGAGGCGCAGCGGCCGGCATAGCGCCTGCGGATCCGAGGGTAGGCCAGCCCGCTCAACGCTGCTGTCTGCCGGGCCGGCCTACCCTGCACTTCGCAGGCGGCGATCCCGCACGTCTTGTCTCTTCATTCGAGAACTTCAAGTCCCTGCCGCCGTCGGGGCGCTGTCCCCGTCGGCGGGTCCTCGTGGCGGACACCATGACGCCGAGCTCCTGCGGCTCTCGAACACGTTGGCGCGCGCACCGCGCACGCGAGGCTGGGCGGAACGGGGAGGGGAGGGGGGCGGCGTCGCGACGCTTCGCGCTTCGCTTCGCGGTCCGTGGCCGGGCGGGGCGGCGGGGCGTCCGGGCGCCGTCGGGGACGCGGACGGGGACGGGGACGCCGGCGTCGCGAGCCGTGGGCCCCTCGGCGTCCAGTCTCGCACGGACTTCTCCAACGAGAAGCCGCGACCGAGCAACGAGGAACGGAGCCCCGCGACGGCGTTGCGACGGTGTCGGCGGCGTGCGCGTGTGCAACCGAGGATCGAGGGCTCCTCAGTGACCATCCCCCCAGTGAGCCACCGGCCGGCCCAGTCCCAGTGGACTGCCCCGGGCACTCGTTGTCCTCCAGGAAGCGCCCCGCGGCTCCGCGTCGAATCGCCGGCCTGACTCACGGCTCTGCCGGACCGCCGGCCTGACACGCTTGGCGTGGGGCAGTGCTGCGCAGTGCCCAGTGCAGCCCGGAGGATGCGTTCCGGGCCTACGGTGCGATCAAGATAACTGCAACCCGGCAGCCGCAAGGAAGAGAGAAAGAGGGAGGGGCGTGATTCGCAGTGTCGCAGAGTGCCGCCGCCAGCATGGGGTGTGACGGATACGCCGTGCTCAAGGGGCTGGAGTTGGTGAGTCCATTATTCTTTCAATTACGGGTTGCGGCTACTTTCGCCTTCCAAAGATGCCTCTACATCGGACGGAAGTGCACGGCGCCTACATTAATCTTCCTCGTGCGCCACGACTTCTTGCTCGTGGACTTCCCCCTGCGACGTTGCGCGCACTCGTCGCATCGTGTGACCGCGTGGGTGGTGTGACTGACTTCCTGGGACAAAATGACAAAATCCAGCCGAAACGAGAAGGTCACCCTTCAATGTTGTGCTCGCTCAGTCACACGCGCTTTCGTCGCCCTGTCTCTGTCCCACTCACGGGGCGTCCCGCAGGGGTGCGAGAGAGACAGAGTGTCGCTGGCCCAAACAACTGGACGCGGCGTGTATGCCCCACACCGTGAGAGAGTCCAGAGCGGCCCGTGTCATGTCAAGTCTGCGTGAATCACCGCGGGCATGACTTCAAATTCGGCCGCTCGGACCGCCCCACCCCGCCACCGCGTCGCGTTGACGCGGGGCCGCAAAATGCGCAAAACGCGCAAAGTCGTCGTAAAGAGCGGCGACGAGGCGAGAACCATCTTAATGGAATCTTCACACGTTGCCGAACAGGCCGATTACGCTCGCGGCAAAGACTCGGAAGCGACTGCGGCTCGGGCGACATCGACTTGTAAGGGACCGCCTTGTTTTTCCAACGCCGCTGGCGCGGGTATTTGAACCCGGGGCCGCCTGCTCATGACTCACATGGTGCAACTGCGCCTCGGCCGCCTCGCGACGGATGCACTGTGCATGCCTGATTGTGCGAGGTGCGACCGGCAGGGGGCCTGCTCTAGAATGTCTGTTAGTGTGTGTGAGTGTGTGTCCGAGCCAGTTGCGTACGGCGGGTGGACATACCGCGGCCAGGCGATAAACAGCTTGTCGGCGGCGTGCGGGCGGCGGGCCGCGGCGGGGCGGTTCGGTTAAGTCACAGAGACGCCACACACGCGTGCGCGGCGCGCGGCGCGCGGCGCGTGATGTGAGGCAAGGGCTGCACGCGGCACTTTCTCCCAGCGGCTTAACTGGACCCCCCCTTTGGCAGGCACGGGCCCCCAAAAAGGGACAAGCTCAGGAAAAACCCTATTTAGACTTTAAGGCAATGGCAATGTCCCTATTTTGAAAAAAAGAAGGAATTTTCCCCCAAATTATGTCTTCCCTTTTTTGTCCTTACTTTTTTGTCCCGAAAAAAATTTTCCGACTTTGGGATTTGAACCACGAACTCGGGGTTTGGGGCAGGGTTTACCCATTGTCTGTGCAACGACAGTTAGTCAGTGCGAAAGTAACTCCTCTAGAGTGCTAGGACCGTGTTTTTTTGTGCCCCGGGATTGCCCTTGAAGGTGTTTCAAAGTACCCCAAAATTTTGGAGTTGAGGACGTAAATTAACACATGCGGGGTTTTCAAATGAAAAACACATGTTTTTGAGTCGCGCCCTACCCCCCGGGGAATTTTTAGGACAAGGGCCCTATGAAGACTTTTCCCTTAAAGGATAACACATGATGGAATACGCAAGGGAGGACATTTGGGTAAAACCCTCTTGAGGCCCCAATGCCACTGCGACATTACTCGGGACTCGTATGACACAAGGTGACAAGTTTGGAGACAATCGGAGACACTTCAAAGACTTGCTCCAAGGACAACCCTGGGCAAGATAAAGCCAAAGGACAAGGGACAAAAAAAACCCCGCGGGCGAAAAAAAAAATTTTAAAAGAAACTGCTTGCGAGGACAATCCCGGACATCGCAGGGCTTTTTCTCAAATGCAAGTTTGGACACGTAGGACGGGGAGACAAGGGGGACATTTTTGAAAATTTTCCCTTTGACAACGAGGACCCCGCAGGAAAATTTTCTCGAATGACAAGCTAAGAACGTAAGGAAAAGGGAAAACAAGGGGAGAACTTTTTCGGGAAAATTTCCTAGGGCAATTTTGGGGACGGGCACTTAGGGGACAAAAAAAAGACGCGACGACACAAAGGGACCACAAAGTAATGGAAAAATTTGGACAGGGTGGAAAAGGGGAAATGCCCGGGTACGACTTTAAAAATGCAAAAAGACACACGAAAGCACAAACGGCCCTACTGCATTTGTACCCTTGTTTTTGGGGCTGTCAGGGTGGGGCAACGGGCGGATCCGCCTAGGGGTGGGTTGCATGCATCCTGCGTACTGCATGGCTGCTGCTGCGCTCATCCTGCAGGGCGCGAAAATCATGAAAACAAACTTAAAGGCGTGTGGCAAGTGGCTGACCGTCCAGCCGGATTTCGCCGCCAGCCCAAGGACGTCGCGGACGAGGAGGACAACCCAGACGCGGCGCCTCCGCCGTATGTCACTGTGACAGTGTGACATGGAGGCCTCTGTGTGTCATGAGGCCAAAACTGTGTGTGTGTGTACATGTGAGTGTGACCCTAGCCGCTCCGCCTCACCTTGCCTTGTCCGCCGCGGGCGCACGCGCACTCGCGCGCACATTTCTCACTCTCACAACGCACTCCCTTGAATTTTGAAGGCACGGCATGCAGGACGGCAGGACCTTGCCGCGGTGCCCGCGCCGCTCGCGGAACAAAAGCTGCCAGCCGCCGGCACACTGCCGGGCCGGGCGTCTGGGACGTCCAGGAGGGAGGAATCGGAATCGGTCGCATCTGCGTGCCTCGCCAGTGCCGCTTCCCTTCCGACGGGGACGCCCTCATGCCCACAGTGTAGGGGTGGCGGCCGCGGCGCTGGCGGTGCTGGCGGTGCACGAGTGCAGGGCGGATCGGTCCGCGGAGTGGCTCGGCTTGACGGCGCGGGCGGTCACAGCCCGCTGCGTCTCGGGGATACCGACCCGGAGCAAGGCCTTCCATCTCTCTCTCTCCCCACAGCCCAGCCAGGCGGCCTGGAGCGGCCTGGAGCGGCCTGGAGCCCGAATGCACACGACGGAACGGAGCGGAAGCGTCCTTCCACCTTCCATGAGGCGAGGCGCCATGTGCCTCCGCGTCTCCACGGTCACCCGCCGCCGCCGCCGCCGAACGTGCGTCGCCGCGGCCTTTTCTGTCTTTTCTTGTTGTTTTTGTTTTTTGTTTTGTGTTTTTGTCCCCCTCGGTCGTTATCTCCGGCCACTTGGCTACTTACCGCGCGCCGCGCCGATGCGACGGCCAATTGCCGCATGTCTCCGCGACAGGTCAAGCCGCACGCGCCGCCACGCGCCGGCCACTCGAAGGGAATCAAAAGCAGACCAAATTCAGCAACAAAAACAACAACGACAACGAAAAAACACAGCGCCTTACTCAGGAGTGTGCGCGCGCGTCTGAGTTCGATGGACCAGCGCCGCCGTCCGAACAGTGGGGCGACAAGTGGGCCGCAAGGTTGGAACCTTCGGCACCCTCGGCATTATACCCCAGGCCGTAATTGCGTCGTCCGGACCGAGGGACCGCTCTGTCTCTCTCGCACTCATGGGGCGTCCCGTAAAGGTGCGAGAGAGACAGCGACAGACACGACTCTCGGAATCGGTCTCATGCTCAGCGCCGCGCACTGCAGCGCGTCCTCCCGCACATGACGCACACAACGACGACCAACGCAATTTATTTTGGTTTCTTCTTTCGTCGAAAGAAATTCATCGAAGTATTTGCAGGCTTGTCGTCGCCCTCCCCTCCCCTCGCCGGTTGCCGGGCGCCGCCAGGCAGCCCATTGTTGCCGATAGGATTTCCCAGGGTGGCGCCGCGCTGCCGTGGCGCCGCGCTGTCACACACGGCCGGGTGCTGGCCGACAGAGATGGACAGCGATGGACAGAGATGCAGCACCGCCTTCCAATCCGACCTTTTCTTTTTTTCGCAACGTCCCCTCCCTCAGACTTTCTTGTGATGTCACCGTGAGGTCACGCGCCGTGGCCACCAAGCCAAGGATACGCGCAGCTAGAACCCAATTCGAACTAATAAAGTTTTGTATTCTTTTCGAAATGAAAAGAAAAGAGTCTTGGTATCGAGACGGCCGCCGGCAGCGTTTCGACGCGGTCGCCGCGATTTTCTCTGGTTTTGCCTTTGGTGCTCGCCGTGCTGCCCTGCCAGGCCCTGCCGGTGCCGGCCGTCATTATGCAGCGCAGCACGGGAAGTGGGTTATCGGGGCGTCGACGCGGAGCCGAGCGCCGAGCCCTGCCGGCCCTAATCAGTGCCAGGCGTCCTTGGAGGACTCCAGGGCGGCCGGACGTCCTTGAGGGACTCCAGGGCGCGGACGGGCCGACGTCCCCGCCGAAGACCGGGCGGGGCTGGAGGGAGGGAGGGAGGACCGACACGAGCGACTTGCAGAGTGCTCCTTGCACAGCTACTGCTCTGGAACACACTCAAGACAAGCGGGCGCGCGGACGGCCTTGGCGCGGCTTTGGCGACCACAACGACGGCGAGGTGCGGCGCGGCGTCGCGGAGGATGGTCGCGAGATGGGCCCGCCGTCGTCGTCCTTGCCTTTGTCCAAGGCGGCGGCGTGTCAACTGCTCGATAAACAATATCCAATCACAGCGGCGCGGGGCCTGGCGGGGCGCTGCGAGGTGTGCTCGCGTTGCCACTCCCGCGCTTCGCTTCGCTCCTCTGCCGCTCCCGTTCGAGAAGTGCGTCGCGTCCTCGTCCTTCCTTCCTGGAACGGCCTGCCTCGCCTGTCGCAAACGGAGGGAGCGCACTGGGCAGCCACGCGGTCCTGCACACTGATTCCGAGTCATTTCGCCGCTCTGTCTCTGTCGCACTCGTAGCGCGTCCCGAAGGGCTGCGAGAGAGACAGAGCGACGTGGGGGCCTGCCTCGCTGATTCGGCCACTGATGAACGGACGCGGCCGCATCATGCGACGCCGTGACTCACATCAGGGCCTGTTTCGGCCGCTTACTGTACGGTAACTACTTCGCAGAACGGGCTCTGTTTTGACGCGGTCTCTACTGTGCGGTTGCAGGTGACGGCCATCGTGTGCATGGTGTACAAGCGCGTCTCCGACTGGGAGGCCTTCCAGATCTTCTTCCTGCGCCAGAAGTTCTCGGACGAGTGGCCGCTGCTCAACACGGTGACGTGGGACAAGAACGGCTCCATCTTCGCGGACATCACCTACGGCGCCTTCGTCATCGCCACGGCCGCCCTGCTGCTGGGCTACCTGGCCGGCCAGCTGGACAGGGCCAAAGTGCTGGTACGTCGTAAGCCATTCGCCATTCAACAGGTCCCTAAGCAGCGCTGCAAAAAAAGAGCCGGGTCCCTAAATCCGCGGTTCTCGGTGCGTCCATCGCCGTGGGACCTTTTCCCAGCGGGAAGGGGAAGGGTTGCCTCCGCGATGCGCGAGGCGGGGCGCGAATGAATGAAGACACGTTCGCACGGCCCGCGGCCCGCGGCGGCACGGCGTGGCATGGCGGCGGGCCCATTCGCCTTGGTGTTTGCCGTGAGTCACCGCCGCGGTGCAGTCCGCCGTCACGTACTAGGCACCCGCATTATCGACGAGCACCCATCCAAATTAAACTTGTTGTTCCAGGAGAACTTCCTGCTGGGCCTCGGCGCGCTCATGTTCCTGGCGGCCGGCTCGCTGGAGCTGGCGGCGCTGGACCAGGTGCCGCAGCACCTCGTCAAGAACGCCGCCGTGCTGGGCGTGCTGTCGCTGTTCGGCGGCCTGCTCTTCATCCTGGACCTGCTGCTGGGCAACCGTCGGCGCAAGCGCGGCGCGGCCAAGCCCGTCATGGCGGCCAAGGACCACCGCAACGGCCACGTCAACGGCGCCGCCACCTTGCAGGCCGAGGAGAAGGCCGCCCTCAAGGCCATGGAGGCCGGCGAGACGCACATCAAGCTGCCGTCTGGAGTGCAGCGCGGCCCCGAGAACCACGAAGCCGTGGTGGGCCAGCTGCGCGCCTCGCTCAAGGACGGCAAGGAGCACGACGAGGTGGACGCCAGCGCCACCGCGCCGCCCATGACCCCCAAGAAGGAGGCGGAGCGGCCCACGGCCACGGCCAACGGCGTGGACCGCGGCCACCACCTCAAGTCCAGCCTGAAGCGCGCGGGCGACGCGGAGCGCGGCTGGCGGCGCGAACGCGAAGACGAACCGCACGGCCCGCTGCACCTGCAGAGCCAGAAAGTGAGCTCCAGCACCAAGGCGCAGGGGCTGCGCTTCCAGGCCGACAAGGCCGACAAGGCCGACACGGCGGACAGCGACTCCGACTCCCTGCACATCCCCAGCGTGTCCTTCCTGCTGGCCGAGCGCGACAAGAACGGCGACCGCGAGCGGGAGCGTGAGCGTGAGAGGGAGCGCGAGCGCGAGCGCGAACGTGAACGCGAGCGTGAACGAGAGCGAGAGCGCGAACGAGAACGCGAGCGACACTACCCGGAGCGAGACCGGGAGCGCGAGCGAGAGCGCGAGCGGGAGCGTGATCGCGAACGGGAACGTGAACGCGAACGCGAACGAGAACGCGAACGAGAACGTGAAAAAGAGCGGGAACGTGAGCGCGAGCGGTTCGAGCGTGACGAGAGCCGCAGCCGGTACACGTCGGGCGCCACGTCCCCGGACGGCTCCGTGTTCACCGAGGCCAGCGGCAACGGCAACTCCCGGCGCTACTTCTACAGCGACCTGCCGGCGGAGCGCGGCGCCACCCCGCACCGCGCCGCCTCCATGGACGACCTGGAGCGCGACTACTACCGCGGCGCCGAGGACTCGCGCGACTTCCTGGAGATCGAGAGGATGTACCGCATCCAGCGCTACGGCAAGCAGAGCATGTCCACGCGCTCGGTGCCCAGCGGCGCGCTGCCACCGCCCACCACGGCCGCGCCGCCGCCGCCCCCAGCCGAAGAGTACCGCCACCGCCGCGCCTGGTCCAACGGCGGCGACCGCGCCTACGACGACGACCGCCGTTACGCCGCCGCCGAGCCGCCGCTGTCCCCGCCAGTGTCGCAGAAGCCCAGCCGCTTCCACTTCGGCCCCAGCGCGGTGGAGTCGCCGCAACCGCCGGCCTCCCCCGCGCCGACGTCCGGCCGCGGCAGGTCCGTGCTGGCGTCGTCGCGCAGCCTGGACTGGGGCGGCGCCGCCCCGCCGGGCGCCGTGGGCCGCACCATGTCCGAAGACCCGGACGAGCTGTCGCGGCGCTGGCGCATGAGCGGCGACCTGCCCCGCAAGCCCTTGATGTCCTCCAGCAGCAGGGACGAGTCCCGCGCGCAGACGCCGGCCTCGCCGCGCGACCCTGGCTTCGTGCTGCACACGGCGCACAACTGGCCCGAGGTCGCGCCCAAGACGCCGTCCTCGTCGCCCAGCGAGCCGACGCAGCGGACCAGGGAGCCGTCGCCGCCCACGCCGCCGTCCCCGGGGCCCGTGGCCGGCGCCGCGCTGCCGTCGGGGAAGTACAGCAGGAAGGAGGACTCGGGCTACGGCGTGCCCAGCAAGGTGCGGACCCCCGTTTACAAGGGCAGCGAGTCGGAGGTGTGAGGCGGGGCGCGGCGGGGCCGCCGCATGGCAGGCCGGTGTGAACCAAACCTCGTGCCGAGTGCCGGGACGGCCGGGGCCGGGCCGTGCCCACTGCCGCCACTGCCCAGGCTGTGCCCAGGCCTCGGGCCGCGCCTGCGCCTGTCGCGGACCTGACGAGACGACTGCAGCGCTGCGCCTTGTGGGAGCGCCGCCAACACGCCTTACTCGAGCGAGGACGGCGGACACACGACCCCGACGCCACGCCACGCATAGCTCAAGCTGTTGTTGGAAAAGACCACAACCCGCATCACGTCCCGTTTACGCGCTCGATGTTTTCGTTAGTCCCAAAGTATCGCCATGTATCATTATTCGGCCGCGCCCGCCTCTGTGCGCCGTGTATTTAAGCCGAGGCCTTGCTTGCCGTGCTTGGCGACGTGAACTGCTTATTTTGATCTCGAGCGCGGACCGCCGTGGGGACCGGACCGGGTCCGCGTACAGTACTTACAGTGGATAGTACCTTCCCCCACCAGCCGGACGCCGCCAAACCGATGCACGGTGACTCAGAACGGACTGCTTTTCCTTCTGGTAGTGACTTGGGTTGGCGGCCGCCCACTGTAAAAACAGTTCAGTAGTCTTAACGACTAGTCTTACTTATGTTGACTGCAGGATACTTTCCCAGTCGGTACGAAGGAAATCAACTAAATTCAAGTCAACTCGACTGAACTATTTTGGCAGAGCGGGACTCGACGGGACGCTTGCATCGCCTGCTTTTGTGTACTAGTGTACTTGCGACGGGCTAGACTGAGACGCGCACGCCGCCCGACGCCGCCATCGTAGTTTGTTGTTACTCCACGCAAAGTGCCTGAACGAATTTGAAAGCCATCATCTGTTTATTTGCAGGTGCACGCTTGAGGCCGCGCCACGCTGCGCTGCCGCGCTCGCCCCGCACCCCAGAGGCACCCCCACCACACCCCGCCACCCCGCCTCGCGATGATCTCACCTGCACAGCGTCACGACACTCGCTCCACTCCATTCCCACCCCCCAGTAGCGCTATTCACAGTGCAGGTGTCCGTCTCTCGCTTTTTTTGTGTGGCCCGCTGTAAATGTGCCTTGATTTTGATATTTTTTTTTTCAAACGCGCTGCTCGATTTTGGTCAAGTCAATAATTGCTGGTGTGCGCCCTTGCCGCGTAATGGTCGGTTGGCGTTCCTCACGGAGTGCCATTCGTCGTCACGTGCGAGTCGATCGAGGAGTCGATCGAGGAGTCGATGGTGCTGCCTCGCTGCCTCGGCGGACAATCAAAGAATTAAATCGGCCGCACGCCTTTTGCGCGCCGCGCATTGCGTCTCGCCACATTTTTAGACATTGTTTATTTTTTTCCTGTCTCCCACTGCCCCAGAGTTCACTGATGCCCAGGGAGGGCGTTCTTATTGAGCTCCATCCTCCCTCTTCTAGTGGCCTACGAGAGCAAATCATGGCAGGTGCCATTCGTCATTATCTGTAATTCAGTGTACATAGACTTTTATTTTAAACTTAGACTGTTTTATATTTCCTGCGTTATTTTTTAAGGACAGTATTTAATTTGAAGTCCATTGATGGTCTGTCTGCACCATTAGAATAATACCTTCCACCCTATCGTTGTACGTCTTATAGTCAAATTAATTATGAAATTTCCTTATCATATTTTGCAAGTACTGTTATTATAGGATTATAATTTTGTACTCTATATAATTCATTGAATACGCGTTGTATTGCCTGTAGCACTGATATAGAAATAAATTTACATCAATTACTAACTCTGCGTTCTTCCTCAAACCTGCCGACTCGACGCACACAACAAAGCATGGCAACAGGGCGTCTTCGTGCCCGTGCGCACGGTGTAGGCATGGCGTATGGCCCCCGTGCCGTTGCCTCCGAGGAGCTGCCTCTCTAAATGTGGGATAATTTCTTTCCCGAGGGACTCGCCGTCCTGAATGGCAATGCTGCCAACTGCCTTTAACGGCCACGGCGTCCGCGGCGCCGCGGCGACGCTCTCCAAGGCCGTCCTCGTCAAGACCGTGGCAGAGTGACAGGGGAGGCTAGAGGCGAGGCTAGACTCTGGGGGCAACGGGCTCGACGCTCATGACGCAAGGGCGAGGGTGAATTTTTTATTTTTCAAAACAAAAACTCACCACACAAATAATGAGTAAATCATAAGGCAAGCTATCTCTCGGCTTCATTCACCGCCATTCAACGTCCACCAAAATCCAATTGGTGTCGGAAGGTAAACTTTGAAGAAAAGTACATTTATGAATGGACCTGAAATTGAAGCTAGCCATGACAATAGCAAAGAACGGGGATTTGCCGTAGTCTCGGTCTACACGTACACTTACACAAGCACGCACACACGCACGCGGCCGGCGGTCTTGGCCCGGTTTGACCCCAGAGGCATTGGCGTTTTCGGAGAGGAGGGATCCCTTCCAGTGGCACACGCCACTCAGGCTTTTGTTGTGCGGCTTTGGTATTGTCTCGAGAAAAGTGCGGGAACCGTCGGCGGGGCCTCGCAGCCACATGCGGCCGTGCAGGCCGTGCAGGCCATGCGGGCGGGGACCGGCGAGGTCGGGGCTGTCGGGGAGGGGGAGGGAGGGAAGCGGGCCGACTGTTTTAGGGTCGCGGAGGGCGTCTCAAACGTCAAGACAAAAAAAAATTAATTTTAAAAAATATATCAAAAGTTTAAAAAATGCTTCGCTACAGCCTGTAGGGTAAACAGGCCCTCCCTCGCCACCAAACGCGAGGGCCTGTTTCTTGTGGGTTTTTGAGGAATCCTTCTTCCCCTTCCTCACACATTTGCGGGCGGCCTTGAAGTGATGGGAGCGCTTATTTCTCGGCACAATGCTGAGGATGGCGTGGCGTTGCCGCGCCTGGCCGCCACCCGGCTTTCTCACGCCGAGCCACTCCATGTCCTGCTCCTGCTCCTTCTCCGCGGATTTGGATTCCGCGTCAGTCCGCTCAAAGAGTGCCGAAGGCTCGGCCGAAGGCGACGACCCGGGCAGCGCGTAATCAAGGTCCCCCGCTTCGAAGGGCCGTTTCAACGCTCTGTCTCTCTCTCTCTCTCACCCGTTGGGAACACCCCATGAGTGCGAGAGAGACAGAGCGCTGACAGTCGTCGTTTTCGTCGGGAGGCCGCCGCCGCCTGCGAAGCCCAGGGTAGGCCAACCCGCGCAGCAAAGGCGCTCGGCGGCTCTGCCTACCCTCGACTTGACAGGCGCTCCGGAGTCCAGCCCCCCAGACCCACCACCGGCGCGGACTAGCTGCAGCCTGCCCCCGCGGTATAGGCAGCCCTTCCTTCGCGGCGCCCGAAGCACAGCCAGGCGCAGTGTCCCCGCCCCACCGCCAAGCGGCCTCCCATCCGTCTGGCACGCCGGCTGGGTGGCCTACCTGGCGGGCGCGGCTCGCACGCTGCAGCGCTCCTGGAAGACGGTGGAGGAGAAGCCGCACCTCCGAGGAACATTCGCGTGGGCTGTTAGTCCACGGGTACTTGGATTCACGCATCTTGTGGTCACAAAAGGAGCATCCCGGTGCTGCTATACTCTCCCAGGATTACAATATCGCTCTCGGACTACCGCCAGATGACAGGCGTGAAGATGTGCATCGCCCGGCGTGTCTGCCGACTATCGGCGGAACCGTTTGAAGGCTAGGTCAGGCGAAAAATCGCGGTGACGTCATACCCGCGTGTTATCAGTGCGAGTGGATTTCGCTGCGCACGATTACCATGCCGCCAGGCAGGCAGGCAGGTAGGCAGGCAGGCAGGCAGGCAGCAGACAGACAGACAGACAGCAGTGCGCTGAAACCGCACGTCGCTATTAAAAGAGTCGCACCAGGAAAGACAAAGACCTGTTCTTCGAGTCACGTGGAGTCCGCGCGGCGACGCCTCAATGCGGTGCAGTACTATCAGGACGAGCAGGACTGGCAGTCGCTTCATTTATTCCTTCTTTTCTTCCCCGCCGCTTAATTGCAGCTTGATCTTCACGTGTGCCGCGTTGCTGGAGGTGGAGATGGAAAAGTAGCTGGAGATTGAGCAGGAGATGCAGCTTGAGCAGGCAACCGCGCACTGCTCATCAACCTGACTTCAACCCAACGTCAACCCGACGTCAACCCGACGTCAACCCAACGTCAACCCGACGTCAACCCGACGTCAACCCGACGTCAACCCGACGTCAACCCGACGTCAACCCGACGTCAACCCGACGTCAACCCGACGTCAACCCGACGTCAACCCGACGTCAACCCGACGTCAACCCGACGTCAACCCGACGTCAACCCGACGTCAACCCGACGTCAACCCGACGTCAACCCGACGTCAACCCACTGTAGGCCTAAGTCATCCGGGCTGGTCATGGCGGAGCGGCGCATTCGGCGCATCCTGGATCTCGCGGGGAAGTCCACTTCGGCGTCCCGAGCCTGGAAAAGTTCCTGGGCGGCCCGGCTAGCGCCAGCTAGCCTGGCTGGATCGCCTCGCTGTGTGCGCGGGGCGCAAACTCGTGTGGGAATGTGCACTGATGCGCAGATGAGTCGAGGAGGAGCGCGCGTGTGTTATACCTGTTTGCATGCGTAATGCGTATATGTGTCACGAGTGCAAACAATTGTGTGTGTGCGTGTGTGTGTGTGTGTGTGGTGTGTTGACTCGAGCTGTCCTCCAGAGCGCGCTGCTGGCACACTACTATACCGGCTCGGCGGCGGTGGCGTCGGCGCGTCTAGGCGAGGCGCGCCCAGCCAAAGCCATAGCCGCCCGGCCCGGCCCGGCCCATGACAAGAACGACACAAAACACCAACAACAAAAAAGTCAAGGATGGGCCGGCGTGCGGCGGCAGGACCGCGGCAGGACGACGGATGGCGGCTCGTCGGCTAGGTTTTCCTTAGGCTAGGTTAGGACACGGCCGTGACCGATATCGGGGGACCGGCCGCCGACACGAATCGAAAAGCCTTCCGGTGGAGCGAGCGAGTGCGAGAGAGAGGGAGCGAGGCGCGCGGCGCGGCAGCCGCCTTTGTGGCGTGACAGCGGCTGGCTGGCTGCAGCGCTGCAGCACACGACACCAGAGTCATCGACTCCGGGACCTTGGTCCGCGAGATCATGAATCAGTGGTGCATCTGCTTGCGGCGCATCTCGCCTCGCGTGGCGCGTCAGCGCGCCACAGTGGCACGGCGGGCACGGCGGGCACGGCGGGCACCAGGAAACCTCGACCAGGAATCGCCCGCCCACCCATCAGCCCGCCCCCACACTGTGGGACCCGCAGCGCCACCAGGCACTCGCCGTGTCGTGGCCGGCCCGGCCGAGGCCCCGGCACAGGTCCGAGGAGATTGGTCCAATCGTATAAACGGCCGCTGTCTTATTCGAATCCTTCGGATTCGGCTCCGGCGGCTCCAGCACCCACACGAACGTGCGGTCCACACTGATGTCCAGGCTGATTCAGAGAGTCGCTCTGTCTCTCTCGCACTCGTGGGGCGTCCCGCATGAGTGCGAGAGAGACAGGGCGACTCTCTGAATCAGTCTACTGGCGCTCCAGCAGGCAGTGTTTGGCGCTCCAGCGCTGTAATTCGGGGTCTCCCAGTGTACCGACGCCATGCTGATGCCGACGGCCGACGGCACCGACACTGCCAAATGGCACGGCGCGCGGGGAGTCCCGCGACGACCGCCAATGATGGCGCGGCAACTTAGGGAACTTCAGCGGCCACTCCACTCGAAAACAGCAACTAAAGTTTCGACGAGTGAAGCGAAAAGTAAAGCTCCGCCCAGCCGCCGAGGCACCCACTGAGTGGCTCGCATTGCGCCGTCCCCGCGGCCGTCCGTCTCAGTCTGGAAGCCTCGCGGGCGCACTGGAAAAATCTCAATGGCGCTCTTTTCCCCTCTGGGCGGTGCGTATTGCTCTGGCCGTAAACCAGTGCGGGGATGAGTCCCACCGCCCCGGGGCCCCGGGCGTGCAGTGCGCTGCGTGCCAGTGTTTACGGAAGTGCCTGGCGACGGCGGCCCGGGGCGGTGGCGGTGCGCGCGCCGCCGTCCCTGCAGACTGATTCCGAGAGCCGTTTTCGTCGCTGTGTCTCCCTCGCGCCTAGACGGGGCGCCCCGTGAGTGCGAGAGAGACGAGACGAGTCTGGTGCCCCCGCCGCCCGGGTGAACCACTGGCGTGGGAACGCGAGGCCTGGCATGGCCGGCGTCGCGGTGCAGGGCGAGGACACCAAGGCCGTGCAGCAGCACCACCCGTTTGGCGAGCGAGTAACCAAGAGGCGCAACCTGTTTCGGAAGTCCGTCTGCGGCGGGGCTTGGGGCGGGCCGGGGCTTAACCTCACGGCGTGTCGTTCCGCCAAAGGTTGACCAGACAGGAATGAGAATAATTTGATAAACGCTGCGATTATCGTTATTGTTATTGATTGGTCGGGACGACACGGGAAAGAAAAAGTGCGCCAAAAGCACGGAACAAGTCTGGCCGACGGAACTTCCGTGCTTTTCAACTTCGGAACGTCCGTGCTCGTTTTTCGTCCCTGTTCCGTACGTGCTGTATTCTTCTGTACATTTTCCTTGCCGAAGGAAGGTTTACAGTGAAGGCGAACCGCTAAAGGTCTGTAGAGGCCTAACAGCGTTGATGATGATGATGATGGTGATGATGGTGATGATGATGATGATGGTGATGATGGTGATGATGATGATGGTGATGAGCGCGGCGAGCTGAAGCGCCCAGCGAGTACCGCCGCCGCCGTGCACGCCTGCCGCGCGGGCCTGCCTACCCGGCGGTTCGCAGGGGCCCGGCCGGCCGCAACAGCCGCAGCCAGCAGACTGATTCCCAGCGTGCTGTCGTCGCGCGGGTGCGAGAGAGACAGAGCGACCGGCAGTCGGGGGCCGGCAATGCCGGTGATGCCGGTCACGTCCTAGCCGAGCCGCCATTGGCAGTGACCGCCCTGCCGCCCTCGTGCACGCCGTGCCGTGACGTCACCGTGACGTCGTCGGTGACGTGCTGCGCGTGCTGCCGCCTGTCCCAACCGAAACGAGAAATAATTTACCTCGGTGCGCAGCAACTACTCCTTGAATCCCCAGCAGCAGCAATCCCAGCACTCGCACTGCTAATTCATTTTCTTTTCATCAGGGCACCGCGACGAGGCTTTACGAGGAAAAAGAACCGAAGAGATGAGCCGAGTCTGAATGACGCGAGCAGTGGAGCCGCTTCCAATGAAATGTGATTTTACATTTTACAGGCTATAGTCGAGAACAAAAGGCGCGACGCGGCCAAGGCGGCCGGGCTTCCCGACGCCCCACGTGCAGTACAGGCTCGGCCTGTCTCTCTCGCACTCATGTGTCGTCCCGCGGGGGTGCGAGAGAGACAGGCCGACAGGCTGACGCTGTTCCATGACTGCCCGGTCATTTTCGGCAGAGACTTGAACGCCGGGGCTTGTGTGTAGAGTCCGTCGTCGTCGGCCGGCCCGGGCCGATTCAGAGGCTCTTCCGATCGAAGGAACAAAGTGGAATTGCGCGTTCTGGTTCGGGCCGCGCAGCCGCGCACCGACACTGACGTCGCGGTGGGGGCACAAGGCGTTGCTCCTGCTGGAGGGGGAAGGGAGGGGGCCGCGGTGGAGGGGGTCGCGCTCTGCGGCGTTCTGCGGCGAGGAGGCGAGGATCGGCGGACAATCCTGCGGCGCGGACTCCAAGACTCCAAGACTCGGCACTGCGGACGGCACGCCGCGCTTCGGCATAATTGGACACTAGAACGATAAGGTGAAGACGCGCCACTCTCACACACAGACAAGCACTCACACCCACACACACACACACGCATCCACACACTCATACAGCACCCAGCGCGGCGGCGGCAGCAGCGCTGGAAGGCGGCGGCGCGGCGGCGTCGAAAGCCCTGTATAAATATTGCGCGGTCGCGTGCAGCCGCTTTAGTATCGTGGTGGGGCTCGGGCGGTGCGGTGCGGCCGGTTGTGTTGTGTTGCCTTCAGTCTGCGTGCGCGTCCAGTGTGATAACAAGTGAACGTCGTGCGCGGTGTCTTCGCCAGCCTTCCGTCAGCATGGCGCCTCTGACGGCCCTCCTGGTGGCCGTGGCCATGGCGGCCTGCACCTCGGCGATGCCCGCGGACCCACTGCCGTCCCTGCAGCACGACACAGGTGAGCCGCCCTTCTTCCTTTGCTGTTCAAAAGGCTTCTGTTTTGGTCTCCAGCTGAGGAGCAAAGTCAACAAACTGCCCGTGGTCGTGGTCTAGCGGAGTTGTTAATCTTTCGCGAACGACGGCAGCTTTATGCAGTGGCTGAATTTTATGGTTTGGTTTCGCACTGCAGCCAAACGAAAAAAAAAGTAAACAAACAAAAAAACGCGAACACCGGCATCGATTCATAAAATCCCACGTGCTCCCGGAGTTTTCCAAAGTCCTCCTGGACGACCTTGACCTGAAGAGACCATGGCGCGGCTAGGACACTACTGTGGACGGGAAAAACCGCTTCCCAGGCACCCTAAAGTAATTGAAGTGTAGGCACCAATCCTGACCGGGCTATCATCCAAACATGCAAATAACAAAGCCGGAGACGAGCCAACGGTCACGTCCTGGACGCCGTGCTGGACGCCGTGCTGGACGCCGTGCTGGACGCCGTGCTGGACGCCGTGCTGGACGCCGTGCTGGACGCCGTGCTGGACGCCGTGCTGGACGCCGTGCTGGACGCCGTGCTGGACGCCGTGCTGGACGCCGTGGACGCTGCACGTGCACAGGCGGTTTTGGCCCGCCGCCCATTCACAGCACACAACGCGGCCGGCGAGGCGCGCCGCGCGTGTTCTTACTCCCGAATGACTTTTTCCATTTTTAAAACGACTTTATCGTCTGGTGATGTAACGATGCGGCTCCCATACTACTTTGTGCAGTTTACGACGGTAATCGCCCATTTCAATTCCCGCGAATGAAAAAAAAGGAACAACAACAACAACAACGCAAAAAGCCGAGAGTTGTGAGTCCAGCTGGCAGCGGGCAGTGCTGCCTGGTACTGCGCGGTACTGCGCCAGCCGGCGCGGTGCGTGTGCGTAGCCCACGAGGAAATGATAAAGTTATGCATGCCGTGGCGTGCCGTGGCGTGGCCTGGCGTGCCACGCCTCGAATACGTTTGCGGCCCGCGGGGCTGACGGCTGACCCGACCCGCTGTCCGTCGTGCACCGACCTTGGGGAGGACTGTTTGGTCCAGGGGCCGTTTGTGTAGTCCTGGGCGCGCCTCTGGGGACAGGCAGACAGACGGACAGACGGACAGACAGACGGACGCGGTAGATAAAGACGTGAGGGTGACGCACGCCACGCACACGCGGCACGAGTTTGTCGCGTGTCCACACCGGTAAAGCCGTGGCGAAGCAGGCGAAGTGGCGACACTCTGCATACACAGCGTGCACGCGCGCGAAATACAGGAAAAGGATTCAGTCCATCCCATCCGTCGCGGCGTCCGCGAACGGCGCGGACTTTGTCTGCTCATTTTGGCGGGAATGGATGGGCGCGGCGTTTGGCAGGGTGGCTCTAATTGTGATTGGCCGAAAGGCTTAAAGGCCGAAGGGACCAAAGGACGCAGCAAGTAGTCAATGCGACGCACCTTTCCTAAGGCGGCCCTTGACTTGCGTTAGCGCGCTGCAGCCGATTGGAAGGGCCTTCGATTGGAGCAGGAACGGGAAGGGGGAGAGGGAGGGGGAAGGGGGCCTTCGCCCTCGCCAGGCCCTTGCCGGTTTGGCGAGGCCCACGATATCAGTGCTGCCGGAGCAGTAATTCGTTTTCTCAGGTTGGCAATCAGGCAGACTGCCAGGCAGCCTGGCCCAGGCTGTCCAGCCTCGCTCCGGGTGCTCCGGGCGCTTGGCGCGCACTCTGGCGGCGAGGGAAGGAAGCGTCGCCTCTGATTAGTTTAGTGGGAGGACGTGCGGAGCAGTGCGAAGCGCGAATGGCTGCGGGCGCGAAGGACGATGCCTTGATTAGCGGGCCGGGCCGGTCAGGCACCTCGAAAACAAAGACAACAACAAAAACAAAAACACTAATGACTGCTGCCGCCCTGCCGCCCTGCCGGCAACGAGGCGTAACTGCGCCAAGCAGGCTGCCCAAACAGAGCAGAGTAGTGTCGCGGGATCGGGATGCAGAAAAAAAAGAGGGGAAAAAATTGGCGCCCACTTTCACGGTCTGAAGGACAGGCCGGCCGGCCGGAGGAGGAAGGTGTTTTGGGGCGAAAAAATGAAGCGAAATATGGGTCCAGTGGTTGGCTAACGCACTTTTTGCCGATGAACTTTCATCATGTCGAACATGCTGGCCGATTAGATGAGCAGCAGTGGGTCATCTCTCTCTCCCTCTCTCTCTCTCTCTCTCTCTCTGTCGCTCTAGGCCGCCGACAGGCGCATGACGAGCGGGCCAATAGGAGCGTCAAACAGAGTCTTCCCCCCCGCGGAGGCGGACTCGCGGGACTTTCTCGTTAAAACTGCAAAATACTTGGCATTGCGTGGCATTGAGAGTGATGCGCTCTGACGCAACGCAGCGAACGCACACTCGCGCCTTGCAATTAGATAAGTCAGCCTTTCCATTAATTTCGAGCGAACCGGCCGACCGCGCCATTCGTCACTACACTGATGGTGCGGCGACAAGGCGAAGGTGACAGTTTCGGTGCTCTTTGGCGGCGGTGCAGCGGCACAGCGGGGGGTCGCGGTGTGTGCACAAAGTTAGCAGACTCGGTTGCCGTCTAGTCAGGTCGCTACAGTCCTCGACTCATGACAGTAGTGTTGAAGGTTCGGTCCCCACTCTTTCCCCATGTGCCTCTTTCTTCCCTCCTGCTTTGCCTGCAGGTAGATCCGCTGCCGAACGCAGTCAATGCATGCAGTCCCTGACAGCACCTTGTCGTTTTTGCCCGCAGACGTGGTGCGCCTGGCGCCGCCCAACCGCCGCATGTTCCTGGTGGACGTCATCCGGCCGCCGCTGCCCACGCCCGACGCCGTGCTCACCAACGAGGTGGACACCTCGGCCGACAGCGACCTGCCGCGCCTGGTGCGCGTGCTGGTGTCCGCGCCGGCGGAGGAGGCCCAGCAGGCCCAGTCGGCGGAGGCCCGACCGGACGCGCCGCCCTCGAAGGCCGACGACGATGACTACCTGCCGCGACCAGCGCCGGCTGATGGCGTCGTGGGTAAGGCCGAGGTTCAAATACCGGTGCCCACCACGTTTTTTTGTCTTCCTGTTCGCCTGGTTTTGATGTTGATGTTGTTGTTGCTGCTGCTGCAGGCCTTGACGTGGACACAGAGGCGCTCACGAGGCTGCTGCCGCCCGCCGAGGACCAGCAGCCCTCGGCCGCGGACTGGGGCGCGGCCCCCGAGGACCTGGAGAAGGCCGCCCCCGCAGCGCCAGCAGCGCCCGCTGAGGACCTCACCCCGCCTGCCGTCGGCGGCGCGGACTTCTCCGCCTGGACCAAGCAGGCCGCTGAGCCCCGCTCCGATGCCCCTGCCGCACCCGCCGAGGCCGTGAAGGAGCCCTCGGAGGAGCTGCAGCCGCCGCAGTCATCCTACGCCGGACTGTGGGAGCTGTTCGAAGGCCTCAAGATGGCGCAGGCCGACGAGGCCGTGGCCGAGGCCTCCAGCACCGCCAAGGAGACCGTGGACGCCAAGGAGCTCGTGACTGAGCTCGTCCCTCCCAGCATCCCCGCCGCCGGTGCAGTGGACTACTGGACACAGCCCGCGGCCGAGGCCAGGTCGGACGATGCAGTGGCCGAGACCACCGAGGCCGTCAAGGACGTGTCCGAGCCCGCCACCGATCTCGTACCGCCTCCGCCCGGCCTGCCGGAGCTCTCCGAGTGGACCAAGGTGCCCGCCAAGGAGGCCGCCGCCAGAGCCGACGTTCCCGAGCCCGCCGACGCCCCAACACGGTAAGGACGATATTATTGCGTTGAGCTGGTCAGTGTTTCTGGTTCGTCGCTCTGCTCAACAGAACCCTTTCGTTGTGCAGAGACTCGTACTCCCCCGAGAAGCCCTCCTCGGGCGAAGCCGGGACCGACGACTTCCTTTCACTGGGCGCCTCGCCGCCCGCGTCCGACGCCGCGTCCGAGTTCGCCAAGGACCAGAAGGACAAGGACTCGTACCTGCCCGGTGCTGGCGAACTCAGACCGCTCAGCGAAGGCCCCGTCTTCGACGACTTCCTCGCCATCGGCGAGCCGCCCAAGGAGGACGACGCCAAGGACTCGTACGTCCCGCAGGACTCGACCGCCACCGAGAGGGACTCCTACATGCCGCAGGAGTCGGCCGCCGCCAAGGAGGACACCGTGGAGCTGACGCCGCCGGCCGAACAGACGTCGGCGCAGAAGGACAGTAAGTCAGGTAGCGACCACCTGCATGACCACGTGCATGCGGACGGACTCGTACACGAACACGTTCACGACGAGGTGCACGCCACCACGCCGAGACCCTCCTCCGACGAGGGTGACCACGACCACGGTGACCACGGTGAGGAGGCGGACGACGACGACGACGATGTGGACGGCGACGGTGTGGTGAGTGCCTCTCGGCCTATTTGGCAATCTGCACGGCGCACTGCGCGGGACTGACTGTTCTATTTTCTGCCTCCGTTTCCGCCTTGCTCGAGGCCTTGCAGTGCCTCGCACTGGTGCACACGCATGGCTCATGACTCCTCCTCCGCGCCGCCCTGTTGCCCTGTCTCTCTCCCTCTCGGCCAGTTTAGCTAATCGGCACCCCTCGTCCCGTGACTGGCGCGGTCGGCTCTAACGGTTCGGTTTGTCAACCCCTTTAGAAAACGTCGCAGAGCCAGGACTTCCGGAAGAGACGCCACGTGTGCAAGCTGTGCGGCGGCTACGGCAGAGCCCCGGTTATCTCAGTCACCATTAATAAAGGGTGAGTGCCGCCGTGGCCGCGTGGTCTCCGGCACCGAATTACCACTCTGTAACTCTGGGTTCAAGTCTCAACTATTGCCATTCATGTTTGTTCTTATTTTCTTGAAGATACGGCGGCGGCGGAGGCTACTGCGATTCGTGTGGGCGCCCGGTGTACCAGCAGCCTCAGGTGGTGTACAAACCCGTGACGGTGTACAAGCCCGTGCCGGTGTACCAGGAGCCCTCAGGTTGCAACTACTGCAACCAGCCGCCGCCGCCACCGCCCCCCTGCCACACGTGCGGAGGGGGCGGGGGCGGGGGCTACTCGCAATCCTTCTCGCAGTCATCTTCGCAGTCGTCCTCGTCAAGCTTTTCGGGCGGATGGTACGTCCTTTTCTTTCATTTCTTCAAAGTAAAAGCCGCTTTGTGTTTTGAGACTTAAAGACGTCGGTTTTGATTTCAGGGGCAAGAAGTGAGAGCGTCCCTGCCGCATCCGCGTCCCCGCGCTGCTGTGCCTGTGCCCGGGGATATCCCAGTCATCAATCACCCAGTCATCGCCATGGTCTCATTAAGCTCATGTTAATAAACTTGTACAGTTTTACTTTTAAGTGCCAAACCAAAGTCGTGAGTTTCATTTATTACCGACACCATCCACCCAAAGCACGAACGGAAAAACCCATGCTGGATGCAGCACCGCCAAACAAATCATATTCTTTGGTTACTAGGGTTACACAGAACAAGTGCTAGACGTCTCATTTTGGAAGTCTGGGAAGGCTCAGTTCTTCACCTCACTGCTCTGTGTGCAGATCACGGAAGTTCTGAACGCGCAGTACCAATACTCGATTTGTTGGGTGTGAGACGGACGAGGACCAAACTAAACCTGGCAATCCGCCTAACACCTACACGTCCATTCATTGAATTTTTAACTCGACAACTTTTTCATAGCGCTAGAATTGCAATATTAATAGTATTGTATGAAACTTATTTGTACACTGGAAATGTCGGCGTGACAGCCAGTCGTCTTCAGCCGCTATCTGTGACTGGTTCATTGAGATTCTCACTAAAGTTCACGCCTTCTGCATTTTCCAGATGTCAAGTGAAAGTGAACAGCATTCAAAATTTTATATCATCAGCATTCATTCAAGATTTATTGCCTTTCCATTTTCAATTTAAGTCTGCAAATTGTACACGTCCAGAACATTTCGACTGTGTAATGATTCACTATTTTATTGGCGGGTGGTCAAATATGAGGTGGATCAAATAAATGTGTCAAAGTTATTTTTTTTTCGAGACCATAATTTTTATTCACAACTCTGGCACGACACGAACTTCGGCGTGGATCGCTGCTGCTCTTCCCAGATGATGCATCTGCAACAAAGAACTGAGGATTGAGGAATGACAGAGCGTTTCAAGTTCACGCTCCAGCCCTCGCGCCCGCAGTCGGAAGCATAGGCAGCCCAACTTGCTACGGTCCCTGCTGAGCGATTCCGAATCCGAAGACCCGCTTCGTCGCTCTGTCTCCCTCGCACCCCTGCCGGCCGCCCCGTGAGCGTGACAGAGACGCAGAGCAACGAACGGCTCTTCGGAATGCCTCGAATCAGTGTGCTGGGCCCGTGTGGCGAGTGGCGCGCGCGAAGGTGTGCCTACCTCCAGGGCGCCGCCTAGCCGCGCTGCGCATGGGCCCCGCGACGAGCGCCTCCGCCGTAGCCGCCGTAGCCTCCGCGGTAGCCGGCGCGGTAGCCGCCGGTGTAGGCAGCGCCTCCGGTGTAGCCCGCGCCGCCGACGTACCCGGGGGCCGCGTAGCCGCCCACCACGGCGGGGCTGTAGACCGCGGGCCTGGCGGCGTACACCGCGGGCCGCGCCACCACCGCGCCGTAGCCGCCAGCAGGGTAGGCCGCGGGGTAGGCGGCGGGGTATGCCGCGGGCACGGCGTACACGGCGGGCCGCACGATGGCGGGCTGCACCACCGGGGTGGAGTACACGTACCTGCGGAAGAGAGACACCAGTTTCAGTCTCGGGTTCAAATACCGGCGTGAAAATATTTTTCCGCCGTGGCGCCCGATGACGATCGTCCAGACCGCAGCGCCCCGCCGGTCGCTTCCAGATCGCGGTCCTGTGGTTACCGACGGCGATAATCGCGCACGGCGCGTGGAGCCGTGGAGGAGGTAGGCTGATTCCGCGCAGCGCTTTCGTCGCTCTGTCTCTCTCGCACTCACGGGGCGCGCCGTTGGTAGCCGCTGGGTGGGAGAGAGACAGAGCGGCATCAACCAGCTGGTCCAACTCACCGTTTTCTTCGCATGTCGTCAGTGCCGACGGCGTCGGCGTGGTCCTGGCGAACAGAAACAACAACGTTGGACGTCGGGCCTGCAGACTGATTCCGAACAGACTTTTTGTGGCGCTGTCTCTCTCACACACTCACTGGGCTGACCGCATGGGCGTGAGAGAGACAGAACGACAAAAGCACGTTGTGGAACCAGCCTGCTGGCAGAGGTGTGCTGGGCTACAGATATGGCTGGATGATGGATCCACTACTCACGTCGAGTCCGTGGTGCCGCACCGCCGGGGCCTCCGCTGCAGTGTCGAGAAAATAAACACAGAATTAATCCGCGGTTCTCGGCTTGGCCTCTAATTGCACACACAGGTGCTCGAATAATGAACGACGATCGAGCACTTGCGCGGTTTAGCGAGAATCGAAGGCTGCTATCCACTTCCGGGAAATTGCGGCCGGTTTGAAAATATCGGTACCAATGCGCATAAAAACTCAAGTCAAATTGCGACGCGATGTGACATAACGAGCGACGTTTGTCCCGGACAGCCCTCGTTGAACCTCCACGTCGCAGGGGTGGCGGCTGGCCCCACAATACCTCCGCCCTCCCCGCCACGAACCTGAAGAGTGTGGGTCCGCCGCGGACGCCACGGCGACCACCGCCCCCAGGACGCACGCCAGGACGACGACGGACGGCGCGGACATGCTGACGGCGAGGGTGTCGGAGGACAGGGTGCGGGAGGGATCCCCGCCACCGCCTTATATACGAGGCAGGCGCTGCGGACGACACACGTGGGCACAGTGGAAGCGCGTTAAAGGAGCCATTACTCGTCCTTTACTGCCCCATTCGCGGATTCGCGCGCCTCGGGGTACGTCCTGGCAAGGTCCTGGCGGTGGCGGCGCGGTCTGCGCTCGCGGGATCCCTTTCTGAAATCCCCAGCAGCGCTGGCCGGCGGATCCGGCGCCCCTTCCTTCCCGGCACGTCCTCGTCGTCCTCCTCGTCCTGGAAGTGGGCGCGGGGGAGTTGAATTGCGTGACGTCATCGCCCAGCCACCGTGAGCCGCCGCGAGACCACGTAGTACGCGTACGGAGCGCGCGGCGGCTGCCGTCAGGCCGTCAAACCACGCTGACGTATGTCCAGCCAGAGAACGAAATCCGCGCGAGACGCCGACAGGCCGACAACAAGATGCAGTCTCTATTTCTGGCCGCGCCGCGCCGCTAGGATGCGGAGGATGCTCCGAGGATGCTGCAGGTCCACCAAGGTCACGGCTGCAGCCCGCACTGCACTGCCTGCAGCGCCGCCACCAAGCGGACCGAAAACAAACCAAACAGCCGGGCAAAGTCTGTCTTTGGCACATGGCTGTCGATGCCGAATCGTCATGGCGCAGGCCCTGGGCCACGCCACCGTCACGACGCCTCCGATTTGTCATCCGTTCCGAGACTGCGCGTGGCTGGCTGTGTTTGTGCGCGCGCGCAGTGTCTCCCAGCTGCTCCCAGTTTGGCCGGATGAAATCGGTATCGGCGCACGTGGCGTGGGGCGCACACGTCAAACGCCGGCGAAGGACGTTCCACGTACGCGCAGCGTACATCATTTCGTTAGAACTGCACACTACGAGGCCCAATGTGTGATTGCTTGCGTTAGTAGTACACATCTTAATGGAGAAATTAAGTTCCGGAAATAAAATCAACGCGATACAGAAAATTTCAGCGAAAGAGGGCACCCCGGCGAACCGGCCCTCTTTCCTGCGGGAGTGGTGCTCATCACACTTTGCGGGGTCAGGCAACGAGTTTGATGTGCAGTGGCACTCTATTTTTGCGTTCGCTGTCACACCCTTCAAGACACCGAATGAATGGGGCGACGTCACACCGAGGCCGGGACCACTGCGACCGTGAACTTGGCTACAGTCCCCACGGCCAAGGTCGTCATCCTCCTGCAGGCCTGCAGAATGCAGAGAGGGCAGTGGCGTGAGCCTCGTACCCACCCCACCCGCCGGCTCTCGGCACTTAAACACGTCGGCGACGCAGACACAGACGCGGCATTGACAGCCGCGGAGGAACATAAATCAGTTCGGGTTCAAACAACAAGTAACCTGCCAGCGGGCGGGCCCTGCTGAGCCGGCGGCACGATTTTCGACCAAAATTACCCCCACCCCGGCAAGTACGCCGCTGGAAAAAAATTTCCACGCCGCACTTGAGGAGGTTGAGCGCTCTGGAGCCGAGCTCGAACCGACTGGAGCCGACTGGAGCCGAGCTGGAAGCCGCGATGATGAAGTAAAGTTCTGCCTCATCACTGCCCCACTGATGGGAACGGGCCGATGACGTCACGGGGTGCCCGCCGCAGACTGATTCCGCGGGAAGCCCTTCTCTCTCGCACTCGTAGGACGTCCCGCACAGGGAGCACATTTCGCACTATCGCGCAGGCATTGTTGGATCCATCAGTGTGAACGCCCCGGCGAACAAAACAAAACCCATCTTGTTTTCTTCGAATTGTAAATGCGTCTGCCTTGGGCTGGGTGGGGCTTGCCACCAGGCTTGCCACCAGGCTTGCCGCTGATAGCCGCCAGGGTCACCCCTTCAAGGTGGTTCTTCGCTATCTAAAAGCCTGTGTGACTTTGCGTTTCTCCAGCACGCTCCAGCAGCAGACTGCTTCCGAGGTTCCGATCGCTGCTTTCGTCCATCTGCGTCTCTGTCTCTCTCACACTTCTGAGTCGTGCCGTAGGGGTGCGAGAGAGACAGAGAGCGCTGTTTGGAGGATGCAGGCCGCTCGAGCCGAACCGCCGGCTCTGGGCTTGCAATATGAGTGGTGGCGCTGCACTTGTTGCAACTGCACATCACACACACACAGAGACTCACACAGACGCTCACCCACACCCACACACACACCCACACACACACGTGCGCGCGCGAGCAAACTTTCGCAGACTCCCGGCCTGATTACGAGCACGCGACGTACACTGTGCGGGGGATCCCCGGCGGGCTGCCGCCGCTGTCCTGATGGTCCTGATTTGGAGATGCCCTGCGATAGTGGCGCCGCGGCGTGCGAACCGCGACCATTTCCCGCGGCTTCCCCGAACCGCCGCCGGATTGCCATCCAGCGAGCCATCCAGGCGGGCTAACGAGTGTCATCGGTGTCAAGCAGCGTGACTCACCCTGCGTGGGTGGAACCCAGGGAAAAACAACCTACTCCGAAAAGGAGCGGCTTCTGCCTGTCCTGGGTGGTCTCGAAGGTCCTACAGTGCGCGTTCCCTCACTAGTGTGGATCCAGAACCCAGACTTCTAACCACTCTGGAAGCGAGACAGAAAGCCTCGCCAACTACTTGGCAAGACTTTTTGTCTCCTCCATGTAATGGCGCATAGCCTTTCCGTTCAATTTTCAGTGCCGGCTCCGCGGGCATGTCGCTTGCCACCGAGTTGAAAGGGTTACTTCCTCGGCGTCGAGGTGATGGGCCGGGCCAACGCGTGGCCGCTGGAGCGGCTGGAGCGGCTGGAGGTGCCGGCCGGGGTCTCGGTGCGCCGCTGACGCCCGGCTCGGTGCCCCCTCCCCTCCTCCAGCACGCCGAAAGCAACAACACGCGGAGTGGGACGGCCGACGCGGCGTCGCGGGACGGCCTGGCCCGGGCCTGGCGGGAAAGCCAGGAACCCATCCGGCGGGAGGCCAATTTGAACCGTAATCACTAGACAATGAATATATAAACGAGCAATGGAGTGTGTGCCTCAGTCTGGAGTGGATCGCGAACTCGGCAACATGAGGACGAGCACCGTGCTCCTGCTGTGCCTGGGCCTGGGGGCGGCCCTCGCCCTGCCCGTCGACAACGCCCAACGTGAGTAGCAGTGCGCCTTCCCCGCCGAACCTGGGACTCCGACAGCGACACCGGGACTCAACTCTACGGTCTCTTTGCAGCCGAGAAGGAGGAGGCCGTCGCGACCCCCGCCGTCGTGAAGGAGGAGGCCCTCGCCGAGGCCGCCAAGGAGGTCATCGAGGAGGCCGTCAAGGACGTCGCCAAGGACTCCGACGAGGAGCCCTCGGACCACACGCACACGCACACACACGCCGTGGAGGAGGAGAGCCAGAGCAAGCTGGCTGCCATCCTGATGCCGGTGAGTGAGACAGACAGAGCGAACCCAGAACCCAGTGTGGTGGCCGATAGTCCACTGCTCGATTCCCGTCCGGACGATCAATAATGGATTTGAATTTGGCGTGCAGGATCGTGCCAAGCGATCGCCCACCTTCAAGGGCAAGTACGGCGGCTACGGCGGCTACGGAGGCTACGGCGGCGGCGGCGGCGGCTGCTGCAACCCCTGCGGCCAGTGCGGCGGCGGCGGCGGCTACCCCCAAGGCGGCTACTACCCTCAAGGCGGCGGCGGTGGGCAGTCTTACTCCCAGAGCTCCTCGCAGAGCTCCTCGCAGTCGTCCAGCTCCAGTGGTGGCTACGGCAAAAAGTGATCAAACTAGTGACTTAGTGGTGTCGGCATATCAGTGACCAAGACGATAGTGACTACGCAGTGAATACGGACCGAGACGGACGGACCCACCAGCTGATCAACAAACGAAAAGTGACATCTTTCCGAAAAGAAGTGACAGATTTTCGGCAAGTGGACACCTCCACGTCGATACTACTACTGTACCTGTATTCTCGACTCATCTGGAATCTCGTGAAAGTGACAGAAATTTTTATTGTGTTGACTTCTTCCGGATGCCGATTGGATGACGATGACTCAAATGTGATAAATGTGTATTGGATCTATGTTTCAATAAACAATAACTTATTAATATTGGCGGCATCGTTTTTGAAGGCACATCCACATCCGCATTGAGTAAATACGCATTTGAGTAAATATCCATAAAACTGGCATAAAAATCCATATTGAGTAAATGTGCAGTTTCCAGACTCGCTCTTAGTCCAAAAAGGGCTTATTCTCAATGCATAACCCAACGCACACAGTAGCTTAAAATGTTAACAAATCGACTCATCCCAAGGAAACGTTCCTACCAACAGCTAGTTTGGGAGCAACAGTCTCGTTCCAAGCCCAGTCTCGCATTCTAACTCCTGTCGGGACGGAGCACTCCATGAGTGGGGAAAGAGACAGGAGATAGAGCGAGGAGTTAGGGGATCGACTTCGCTCGCGAGTACCTGTGCCGCCCGACGACCACGCCACCCTCTCTACACGAGTCGAGGTGCGCCGTGCAGGCAGGCAAGCAGGCGGCCAGACATGCAAACAGACAGTCAGGCAGGAAGGCAGGCAGGCAGGCAGGCCGCCGCGCGCGCTGGCCGCCTGGCGTACGCGGCAGGCCGTTGGGTGGCCTGCCTCCAGGGCGCCGGGCACCGCGTTGCTCCGTGCTCTACGCCATCTCCTGGACAGGGGCGCGGATCACGGCCGTGGTGGTTTCTTTCGGCCTCATTGAAGAGCGGCCCGGCACGCGGCAGGCGGGTGGCGCGGCAGGCGTGCGTCACTTAGTGAATCAGAACAAGGTCCGCCCGCCGAGCGAATCCGAAGAGTCGTTTCCGTTGCCCTGCCTCTCTCGCACCCCACCGCGACGCCCCACGAGTGCGACGGAGACAGGGCGACGAGAGCGACTCGTCGGTATCGGTCGCCTGGCCGCCATCGGCTGCCTTTGTTCGGCTGACCCCGCGACCCGCGACCCGCCGCGACCCGCCCACAAGGTGTGGGTGTACGCCGCGCGCGACGAAAACAACCTGGGGCGGGTTGATAAACTAGCGGCAGCGTGGAGTCTTGTTGTTGAGCCTTAGCGCCCACATGATTTGCTCGCTCTGTTTGTTTCCGAAACGCGAATTGGAAAGCCTTACTTGACACCGATTTAAAGTGAGTTTGTAATTTCAAACCTCTCAGTAGACTGATTCAGGGAGTCGTCTACGTCGCTCTATCTCTCTCGCACCTATACAGGGCGCCCCATAAGTGCGACAGAGACGGGGCGACGAAAACGGCTCTCGGAATCAGGCTACAGTGAGGGTCTCTAGCGCACGCCGAAGACGCCGAAGACGCATGGCGCTGTCCACCCGTTTAAGTACTTCCTGCGACACGGCCGCCACGCCACCACACCGCAAACCAGTGTCAAGTGCACGTCAGCCATTCGCGCCGCGTTGAGGGCTCGGCGCTCGGCGCTCGGCGCTCGGCGAGCACGCGAAGCTAGGAAACTGGATCGGGTGACGTCGGCGCCAAGGCGGCAAGGCGGCAAGGCGTTCCCGCACGCGAGCGCGGAAACTGGCGGACGAACGCCCCGGTCAAGGATGACCGCGCCGCGAGGGTCAACGGACTCCACGCCGCGACTATCATCCGCGGATCGTGTCAGATTGTTTATGAAGAAGAGGTAGGCTTCGTTAGAACGCAGTTTGTGGAACACACGGCAGCGAGGCCCCTTACGAAGGCGGGGTAGGCAGTCCCGCATCGCAGCCCTGTGTAACGGGACGGCCCACCCTCCAGGCGATTGCGATTGCGATTGCGATTAACGGCTGGACCACAAGTGATCGTCTGCCTTTCGGGCCCGCCCGGCCATGTCGGTGATACACCAGCACGTGACGGGTCGTCCCTACTGAGAGTAGTGGTTTTCTCGGTAGACCGGGAACATACGCCCCGGGAAGGCCCCTTACGAAGGCCGGGTAGGCAGTCCCGCATTGCAGCCCTGTGTAACGGGATGGCCCACCCTCCATTACCATTACCATTAAGGGCTAGACCGTATGATCGTATGCCATTTCGCAGGCGGCATGGCCCCTTACGAAGGCAGGGGATGCAGTGCCGCATCGCATCCCTGTGTAACGGAACAGCCCACCTTCCAGGCGGCGTATGAAAACATTTGAAATTTAAAGTGTGGCGCTACGAAAACACGAAAAGCACACGCCAGCTCGGACGGTGATCTTCGTGAGCGGGACTCTGTCCTTGGCATTGGCGGCGGCGGCGGCCTAGCGGTGGTGCGACGGGGCGGCGAGGCGGGTGGCCAAGGCGAGCCGGGCGACGCCGTGCTCATTATCAGAGCGCCGCCCTGACCCTGCGTGGCTCTGTCTCTCTCGCACTCACGGGGCGTTCCGTAGGGGTGCGAGAGAGACAGAGCGACGCGGCACTGCCGGTGAGTTACTTGGCGGCGCTGTAATGGCCCGGCCATCACGGGATAGAGAGAGGGAATGGGCTCGGGGGCCGCGCCGAAACTACTCGGCGAGCTGCGCTGCGCGTCGCAAATAGGCACTGAGTCGCGGATTCTGGGTCGCACGCACCACATTGCTTTGGTGACGTCTCAGGCCGAGAACAAGTACATATCTAGACGCACTCGCACTGACTAGCCTTGCGTTGCATTGCGTTGCATGCGTTGCACCGCGCCGCTGCGTCGAGGCGCAGCGAGGCAGCGCGGCACTTCCCCGACGTCCTGGCCTGCGGCTGCCCGACTTCCTTCCGCGCCGCGGCCCGGCTACACTGTAGCGCCGCCGTGTGGTGAGCAGCACCTCCACTCAAAGCGAGCGGGTTCAAATCCCGACTGTCCGCCCCAAAGTCGTCTGGAGTCGTTGAGGCTACTGCCAGCCAGCGCTGCTTCCCCCTTTCGGGTCGGCAGCGCCTGCAGGTTGGCGAGCTCGCCGCGCCGCCAAGATAATTGTTTGGGTACAGTATACACTGTGCGGGTCGCTGCGATGCACAGGCGGCCGCAGCACGCATACGCAGGTCAGGGACCCCCGCGCAGCCCAGCCAGACGACAATAACCCGTCGAAAATGTGTCCAAGGTGTCCGCCACGTCCGACGCAGCCAGTTCGACGCACCCCGGTGGGGGCCCCTCTTGGGGTGTTGAAGCTCCTCATTATTTCCAAATCACATTCCGTCAGATCGTTCTAGCTAGTACGAAGCGCCACATGGATGCGGATAGGCTAGCCACCTCCTGCGGTCTGGGAGTGACGGTGTGCTGCAAGTCGGAAGCGGTGAGAGTCGGAGTTCCGGACGCCGGCGCTGCGGCCTGCGCTTCCCCGGCGTGCGGCGCAGGCGGCGGCACACAGTGGGCCAGAAGACCGGTGGAGGCGGCCGAAACTCTTGACGCGTTTTGAGCTCCAGAGTCGCGAAGCAGGACTCAAACCGAACGTGTGACCCCACCAATGGATTCCTCGCTCGGAGAGCAATCCATTGGTGGGGTCACACGTTCGGTTTGAGTCCCATTTGGCGACTCTGGAGCTCAAAACGCGTCTAGAGTTTTGTCCGCCTCCACCGGTCTTCTGGCCCACTGTGCGGCAGGCGGCGGCAGGCGGCCCACCGCGCGTTCATGCAAACGACGGCGTGCTGCGACGCACGGCGCGGCCACGCGGCCACGCGGCCAGGCGGACAGCTAGGCAGGCAGGCCGTTGGCCGTCGGCTTGGCAGCCGTCCGCGAGCGCCTTCGCCTTTCCTCTTCCTGCTTCATTTAGCGTCCCGACGCCCCCCTTTCCCCCGGCCTCCGCGCCCTGCGGCGTCCTGCCCGTCCTGCTCTTGGCGGCGCCGGCGGTGTGTGTCGCCCGGTGCAAGTGCGCCGCGCGCCCCTGACCCTGGCGACGCCGCGCCCCTCGCCGCGCCCCACTCCGCGGCCCCGCCCCGCCGCCTCGCGCCGCCTCGCCTCGCCGCGGTGGCGGCGCTCACACACGTGCTGGACGCGGCGCGCGGCGGCAGGACTGGCAGGACTAGGACGTCGAGACGCCGAAACGGAGCAGCGGCGGCCAGTGCCCGAAGATTACCCTCATCACCATCGGTACATATTATGTGGCGGGGCGGGGCGCGGCGGGGCGGGCGGGGCGCGGCGGGGATGCGTGCCGCCTAGCCGCCTCGCCGCCGTGCCCCCCGCGCAGACGGCGCAGACGAGCACCACGCCGCGGCCGAGCAGCAGAGCAGCAGCCCGGCGTACTGCGCCACCGCGCCGCGCGCCTCCACCGAAACCAAGACGAAGACCACGGCGTCGTGGAAGTGCCCTGTGATTGTGCGCCGCGCCGTGTGTAATTTTTGGCGGCCGAAGTGCCACTTCCCCGCCCTGGACCCGCGGATAGAGTTTCGCTCCGTGCCGACGCGGCGTTGTTGGAGTGAGTGCTGCTGAGTGCTGTGCGCCCAGGCCAGCCAGGCGGCCACGTTCAAGTGCGAATTGAAATTGTAGGCATCTGGCCGCGAATGACGGCGGCGAGAAAATGATTTAAAGTGTGGAGACGCTGGGTGCGCGAGTGTGTTTGTGTAGAGGGGAACAGTGTTTCGCTGCGCGATCGCATGCTCTCTGTGTCCGCGTTAGTGAGTGTGTGCGCGCGCGTGCGTGTGTGCGCGAGTGTGTGTGTGTATGTGTGTGCAAATAAGAAATCCTCTCCTGTGACTGTACAGCAAACCAAAAGCCATCGCGTTTTCCTTTGCCCAGTCCGAGTCGAGTCGTCTGACCGGACAGCGTCGCCGTCGCCATGAGGGTGCTGCTGCTGGTGCTCGCGGTGGCCGCGGCCGCCTCCGCCGCCATCATCCAGCCCAGGCCCGTGGACAACCGGCGGGACCCGCACGACGGCGAGCCCTTCGAGTGGGAGCGTGAGTAGAACGACGGGCCGAACGGGCCGGGTGTCCTTGGCGGGGTGCCTACTCCACTCCGGGGCCTAGGCCTACTTCGGGGGGCGCGGAGCGCTCTGCACCGCCAGCAGCCGGCCAATGGCGGCACGCAACGACGCCGTGCTGCAGGCCGCGCCGGGCTGCCAGGCTGCTAGGTCCCGCCCTATTGCAAGAGTCCGCCGAGTCTGTTGAAAATGCAGCGCCAGCGCAGCCAGCGCAGCCGTACCACGTGCAGGCCACGTGGCTGCGCCTTGCGCCTACAGTGTAGGCCGGACCGGGCTGGCACGGCGGCGGCGTAACAGCGCATTTATATTGAAAGTCCTGACGGCCCGCCCTGCACTGGTGCGGGCTCTATACTGCTACGGGCCCTGCACTGGTGCGGGCCCTACACTGCTATGAGCCGAAGAATGTTGCGGCTGCAACCGCGTGGACTCCAAGTAGGGGCAGACGAGACGGTGCTGCAGTGGTGCCGACCGCCGGCGCCGACCTCTTGCGTCACTTCCTCGTCGGCCACGTCCAAAGCCGGCCCTTCTCGGTAGAGGGCAGCTGGGCAGCGAGTGCCCCTCTGCGTTATCCCGCGAGGCAGCGGGCTTCGTGGCCCCAGCAACCTGCCAGCCGTCTCACCACACACCCACACGCACTCACACTGACGCCACGCACCCCCTGGAACAAGCGGAGGCGGTGCTCCGTCGGCGAGGACGCGCTACATAACACCAGGATGACGTTCTCGACCCCGCCGGGCTGAGCCCCACAGTGAACCGGTAACCGGTCTGTCGTCCAGAACTTTCGTCGCTTTCCCGGTCATTTCATTTAATGCGTCTGCGCGTCACGTTGGCCGATTTGAGCAATGGGCCCGGCTGGCACGGCGGCGCGCGCGTCTCGCAAGTCGCAAATTGATTTTGAAAACGTGTTGGCGGTTCGCGGCAGGCTGCGACCGCGTCCCGACAGCGTAGCGCGGCGGCAGCGCGGCAGCGCGCGTAGCGGCAGTTTGTTGCAGGCCACTTGCCTGGCCGAGAAGTCCGGCATTTGCATGTAAATGCTGTCTATAGCCAGCCATATATAGCGGTACATGTAACATGTCGTGGAGATTTCCTCCCCCCTCTACGCTCCAGTGCCCCACACACTCGCGCCGCCGTGTTTCTTCTGCCTTTTTTTCGAAAGTAAACACGGCCATCCACCGATAACAGGAGCTCCGTCCAAAAAAAGCAGTTTCTTGATCCAAGAAAATTGACCAGCAACTGGTAAAACTGGTACTAGGTGCATGTACATGTTGGTTCAAGACACGGCTTTTTTTGGTGTGTAGGTCCCCGGACCGGGGTGGCTCTCGCGTTGCGTCTCACGTCCCCGCCGGCCGCTGCTTGCTGCTTTCGCGTCCCCGGGGTCGCCGTCGCCAAAACGACACGACAAACGGCGCCGACGCCACTGGGGCGGCTTTCTCTCGCCGTATCCAGGAATACGGTTGCTTCTGATTGTTTCTTTCGTGTCATCACGCCCGCCCCGCCTCACCCCGCCCCTTCTTACCCCCACCTCGCCTTACCCCGCCTCACCGGCGCCACCCGCGGCTGAACACTAAACTTCCGCGTTGCTGAATTCCCCCCCCCCTCCTCCTCCGCCTCCCCTCAGACACTCGGCGTTTTCTTTGTTTACTTTTGTTTTTCGAGTCGGTGCGTCTTAACTTTAATGATGTGGATCTTGCACTCGAGTAGAATGATCCGTTCTCGCATACCAAAGCGATTTTTTTAGCCGCCGTGTGCGTGTGTGTGTGTGTGTGTGTGTGTGAGAGAGAGAGAGAGAGAGAGAGAGAGAGAGAGAGAGAGAGAGAGAGAGAGAGAGAGAGAGAGACGGGGTAGACAGACGGGTAGACAGACAGAGAGACAGAAAGAGATAGACATATCGTGGGTGTTTGTGTGCAGGCGCGTCTGTGTGAGTGCGTGTTTGTGCAACATTGTGATGCAGGCACGATCGTCGGGCCGCTGTCTCGCTCTCCCTCGCTCTCTCTCACGCCGCGGCCGAATTGTACCGCCGCGGTATGTCACAGGCCTCGCCGGACTGCGTGCGTGAGTGTGTGAGTGCGTGTGCGCGTGTGTGTAGTACAGTGTGTCGTGGGAGACGGCTACTGGGAGTGCGTTTGACCTGTGATCCGCACAGCAGAAAATCACTCACCGCACGACATGATGAAATAAAACTAAACTCGAACGACTGTCGCTCCGCCTCCAACAACAATCGCCGTCAGGCATAAACCGGAGTTCGGCGGATTGATTGATACCCGTCTTCCCCGCAGCCGTCGACGACGACCCCTGGCCCGGCCCCTCCTTCTCCTTCGCCCAGCTGCCGGGCGTGGACGACGTCGGCGTCCTGGCGGACTCGCGGCCGTCGAACCTCGCGGACGCGCGGGTGCGCGCCGCCCTCCTCATGCAGGTCCTGCGCGCCGTCTTCAACAACGGCCGCCGCGGCCAGGGCGGCCAGGGCGCGCCCGCCAAACCGGTCTCCTCCAACGAGGTGCTCCCGGCGTGGCAGCAGCAGCAGGTGAGTGCGGCGTGGCGGCGCCGAGCGCCAAAACGAGCCAAAATCAACAAAACCACCGAGACCAATCAATTGCCGCCGAATCTGGGAGATAAGACTCTACGCCAAAAACAGTCCCAAGACTTTCCAGAGGGTTCCGTAAAGGAAACCTCGGATCAATCGAGTTGAACTCCAGTTTTTTGTTTTTGTTTCTTCCTGGGAGGATCAGGACCAATTTGATCCAAACACGGAAAAGCCGTCCCAGAGATGACCTTAGCACCAGGTTTGGCGGGTTGAGACTAGAAGCAGGACCCCGACAAAAACGACACAGGAGCCATCGGCGTGCCGCCGTCCCACCGGCAGTATACACTGTTCGCTTGAAGCCCTGCCCTCGCTTCGTTGCGCCTTTTAATTTAAATGCGTGAGCGATTTCGTTCACCTCCAGCGCCCACCTGTCCCGCATCGAGTGCCCTTGACCTTGGCCGTTTCTTGTCTCAACCCGTTTTTTTTCTTTTTTTTCTGTTTTATCTCACTGTACGCTAAAAATGGCGACGCGGACGTCGTGAAAATTGGGCCGTAAATAAGTTTCGGAAGCATCACCTGACTTGTCCAGCCTCGAGCGTCAGAGCCTTACAAAGATTGCAAGCCGGTGTGGGCGGGATGGATTGGCATTTTCCAATGCATCGAAGCGCTGGCGGCGTCAGGTGTTCTTCCATTATTCCTCATTTAAATCTTGATTGCATTTTTGTTTTGTTTTTTTATTTTTTTCAGAAGTCTGACAAGCGTGGTGACAGGAACCGCCAGTGAACCCCGACCTAGGCCCCTGTGGCCCATGTCTGGTGCATCGTGACCACGTCGTGACACCCCTCCCCTGCCCCCGGCCTGGGGCCAGGACAGCCAGGGGCCAGGACGGCCAGGACGGCCAGGACGGCCAGGACTTGCTGCCGGCCGGCCGCGGCCCTTCAAGGAGACCGTGCGGCAGTCCAGTGCAGTGGGCAGTGTACTCGTGGGGGGAAAAAGGACCACGTCGGTCGGCGAGGGCAGAGATTGGACTGATGTCGACCGACTGAGCTTGTTCTGGTCCGGTGGAAATTTTGTGGCGGTGCAACACTGTGCAACGCAACCCTGCCGCGGCCGGCCGCGGCCCTGCCCTGCGGCGGGCTGGGCTGGCCGAGCGAAACCTGCCCGCCCCGCCCTACCCCAAGGACGTCTCCACCAGTCCCCGCCAACCACTGTGGACAGTGTTGGCGTCAAGTAGACACCCCCCAGCAAAAGTCTGCTATCTGTGCGAGGCTAAAACATAAGCCGCTATCTGCGTGCGAACGATTCTAAAGCCGCCATCTGCGCCGGACCAAAATAAAAGCCGCTATCTGCTTTCCCCACCTCGCGACTTTGACTCTATATAGTTTAAGAACTAATACAGACATCGCTATCAAACTTTTACCTGTTTGTTACTAAAGTTTGTCAGAGTAACTTTGCCACGGCCCAGAAACATTGTCCGAATGGTTAATTAGTAATTTGCTATGTTTATGTCAACCCTAACCTATACGGAAAGTTGGTTAGCGGCTTTTATTTTGGTCCGGCGCAGATGGCGGCTTTAGAATTAGACCGCACGCAGATAGCGGCTTATGTTTTAGCCTCGCACAGATAGCAGACTTTTGCTGGGGGGTGTCGCGTTTCCAGAGTAGGTGGTTGTGAGCCGGTGAGCCTACTCGTTCTGATTGTTTTCCGTTGTCATTACAGCTACTTACGTTTTTTTGTACATAAAAGGTGGTTAAAAAAGTAAATGCCTGTGTTGAACGAACTGAGCTATATTGCACATATTATTTACGTTTCACATATGTCACAGAAAAATGTATAAAACAATCACTAGGCACACACAAAATAAAATATATCCATAGCCCGAAAAATGGGACGTCAAAATCATCTCGAAATCGTGTAAGTAAAAGAAACGGTTTTGAAATGGTTTTAAGGCCCTCTTTGGTCCGCTGGCCGGCTGGGTCGTATCACGCCGACAAAAACTTCCAAATAACCTAAATCACTAGGTGGTGTGCGCTACCACATAAAAAGCTAAAATTCCCACGATACCAGTTTTGGGAGGGTTGCCAACCTCAGTCTGCTCACCAGGCAATGTCTCCATTTTGCTTTCGAGAACCTGCCTTGTTGAGGTTGACAACCCTCCCAAGACTGGTGTACGGCGGGCATTGCCGCCCGCGCATGCGGCAATATGACGGAGGTTCGCGTTGACGCAGGCTGCGATGCGACGCCAGGCAGGCTGCCCCTCGCGGCGCAGTTGGTAGGCAACCCATCTTACGGGGCGGGCGGAGCACACCAGTGCCGCCTCCCGCAGCAGCGTTGGCCAAGCGCAGCTAGAACCATGCAAGCAACCGCCGCTTGAGGGGCGGGGCGCAGGTCACTGCCGCTGGCCTCCACCTCCACCGTCGGCACCACCGAGGGCTTCTTGCAGGACGGCCTCCGCCCTACGCCAAAGGGGTGGTGGGCAGCGCTGGCCTTGCGGTCGTGAAGTGCGCCACCGTCTCGGACGGCAGCTGCAGGTACTCGGAGGGCTTCTCGACGGTCTCAGTCTTCTGCATCATCTGCTCCGAAAGGTCGTCCTCCGGCGTGAGGAACGCCGACTCCTCGCCGGTCTCCTCGTGGATCGGCTGGACCAGCGCCTTGGCGAACTGCGTCCTGGTCATCGAGTCGAAGCTGGTGCTGCCCAACCCGGAGAGGAAGCCGGGGCTCCCGGTCATGGCGGAGGAGTCCGGGAAGAACGTCGAGCTGTGCAGCAGCCGAGCGGAGCCCGGCGACGCGGCGGTCGAGGTCTTGGCGGCGTCCAGCAGGACGGGGCTGACCTGCGGCGCGTAGCCGCTCTTGGTTTGCTTCCTGCTGTGGCTGGCGCGGACGCCCGCGGCCTGCAGACCACCAGCCACCTGGTCGTACTCGATGTACTTCTCGAACTTCCTGACGGTGCCGTCGGGCTCCACGACCGTCTCCTCGGAGCGCGCTGGCGGCGGCGCGGGGCCGTCGAACGCGGGCACGTCGACGACGCGTCTCACCGTCTCCACCACCACCATCTTGCCGATGGACTTGAGCTTCTGCTCCTCGGTGGCCTCCTCCTTGGCCTCGTCCTCCTGCGCCAGGAGTGTCTCGGTCGGAGGCGGCGTGCTGGTGGGCTCTGCGATGATGGGCACGGCGGTGGTGGGCATGGCGGTGGGCATAGCGTTGGTGGGCATGGCGTTGGCAGGCATGGCGTCGGTGGGCATGGGGCTGGTGGGCTTCGGCGTCGGCGCAGCCAGCTTGATGAGGTTGTACACGTTCTTGGTGGGGGGCGGCACGACGACGAACGGTTGCTGGCGCTGCACTGGATGCTGCACGAAGATGTTCTTGACGAACTTGTTGAAGACGGGCGGGGAAGCCTTCACGCTCTGGACCACTGGCGGCGCGGTGAAGTACTTGCGGATCACGGGGGCGGGCATCACCTTGAACAGCTTCTGCACGACGGGGGCCGGCAGGATGGTGACGGACTTGCGCACCACGGGGGTGGACTCCATCTCGGCGTACTTCTTGATGACGGGGCTGGGCAGCGCGGAGTAGGAATTCCTGACGATGGGCTCCTGCTGTTCAAAGTACTTCCTGAGGGCCAAATCAGAGTCCAACTCATAGTTCTGGCTGACGATGGGCCTCTGCTGTTCAAAGTACTTCCTGAGGGCCAAATCAGAGTCCAACTCATAGTTCTGGCTGACGATTGGCCTCTGCTGTTCAAAGTACTTCCTGTGGGCCAAATCAGAGTCCAACTCATAGTTCTGGCTGACGATTGGCCTCTGCTGTTCAAAGTACTTCCTGAGGGCCAAATCAGAGTCTACCTCATAGGTTTGGCTCAAGATAGGCTTCTGCTGTTCAAGGTACTTCCTGTAGGTGGAGTCAGAGTCCATCTCATAGGTCTGGCTGATGATTGGCTTCTGCTGTTCAAAGTACCTCCTGAGGGCGGAATCGGAGTCCAAGTTGTGAGTCTGGCTGACGATGGGCTTCTGCTGGTCAAAGTACCTCCTGTATGCGGAGTCAGAGTCCAGGTCGTAAGTCGTGCTGATAATAGGCTTCTGCTCGAGATACTTGGCGAAGACATCATCGGAGTCCACGTCGTAGGTCTGCTTGACGATGGGCTGTTCCAGGAACTTCCTGAAGGTGTCCAGGGCATCCACGTTGTAAGAGTGGCCGAGCTCCGCTGGCCGTTCGGACTCGTAGGTCTTGGTGGTGACAGGCAGTCCGTGCAGCAGGAACTCCCGGACGTCGGCCCCGCCCCAGTGCGTAGTGCCGGTGTACTCCGAGGCGGGGCCCTCGAAATGCAGCGCGCCGTTGTGGCCGCTGGCGGTCGGCGCAGTGCCGAAGACGCCCTTCCAGGACCCTCTGTCCGCGTCCTCGCCCTCGGCGGGGTCCGGGGTGTCGGTGTAGCTGTCGGTCCCGAAGGCGGAGCCCGCTGCGGGCGACGGCTGCGTGCTCTGCGGCATGGCCAGCATGTACTCCTGGCCCCTGCGACAACGCGGGAAAAGCGTGAAGGGATGTCCCTCGGCCTCGGCACGCCTCGGCACGCCTCGACACCCACAGCGCAATCGCTCACTGACCTGTCGTACTCGTTGTCGTCGGTCCTAACCCCGTGATGGCTGAGGGACCCCGAGAGCATGGGCAAAGACTCGAGGGTGGCCAGGGCCTGGGGCTGTGGTCCTGGAACAGCAAGTCACAGTGTAGAGACCACTGGCGGCGGGCTTCCGCGCTGGCCTCATGCGCGCGAACCTACTTCGGTCTGCAGAGGCTTTGGCGGCCAGCAGCGCCAGGCCGAGGCAGATCGCCCTCAAGCTGCTCGAGCAGGTCGTCATGGTGGACCTGGGCGTCGTGGAGGTGGCGCAGGGGGTCCAAGCACTGCTTGGAGGAGAGTGTGAGGTCCGGAACGGGGCGCCACCGTTAAATAGGAGCGCGTATCTTCCCCCTGCTTCCCCAGCGATGGCTGGGCGGGAATCGGCTCTCCAAAATACCTTCGCCATCAACGCAGTGATGACGCTTGCCCAACCCCTTCAAGTCCCGAAACACAAAAGATGTACTGTTTTGAATCTTACGTTCATGTAGGTATTTTAGTTCTTTAGACTTGCTCCAACTTTAAAGCCGCCCCCCCTTTATTTGATTTTGTGTGACAGCTTTATTTTGCCGTTTGGTTACTTTTGGCGCGCGCGTAGCGAACAGCCGTTCTGGGGCTCTACGCGCGTCTATTTTGGCTCCAGTTTGAGCGGACCGCGTAGTATCGTGGGTTATTCACGCGCCGCGGCTGCGTGATAGTTGGAAGTACATTCACTAACGATGCCTCCGGCGCGCTGCCGCCGGCGTGCCTGATGGGGCGGCCTCGGGACATCGGCTCTACTCCACGGCAGCCATAACAGCCACCAAGCTATAGTCGCTAAGCTTGCCGTCACGCTGGGCCACCACGCTAGCCGCGCCGGGGCGACAGGCAACCCAACCATCACAACCGGAGCCGAGGCAGACGCAGCTAACGCAGCGCGCCGGCGCCGTGGAGGCAGGCAGCCCACGTGGCACGGCCGGAGGCCCGGAGGCAGCGCAGCCGCGCTGGGCCGCTGGCTCAACAACGAGCAACAATCTTCACCTTCACCGCACCGATACAAACAGTAGTCTTTGTCCAGATGCGCACTGATACGCGCCCAAAATATCTTTCCGTGGGCTGTGCGGCAGTGCGCGTGTCTGAGTGTGTGGAATTGACAGGAACGTTGTTTGCCGTCTGTGGGCCCAACAACGCCCGTATTCGGATAGGCGAAACGCACATGAGTAGTACGGTACAATGAGATATTGAAAAAAAGAGTCGCTTATACGGGGTCTGCCCTACCAGGTTTAGGGGGAATGGGAGACTGCAGTCTGAAGTCTGGAATGCGAACGCGCGCTTCCTGGGAGCGTGACGCTACTGTACCTAGACCTAGACGTTCTCATAGCTCAAGAAAAATGACCTGGTTTTTAATAGCATTATTTGCATCCAAGTCGCGTGTCCACCGCAGCGGGGAACGTGCCTGCGTGCACGCCGGAGCCGGGCCCTCCCTCTCCCTCTTACCCCTTCCCCCTCCGTCCCTCTCCCTCCCCCGCGCGCCTCTCACCGGTCGGCCACGCGCAGCCCGCGCAGCCCCGCGCTGGACCGGCGTACAACAGGCACGGACACAGTCTTCTCGCAGACGGTGGCACGGCAGGTCCACGATCACACTGCAGAGTCCTGGACTGGACTGCGTGGTCTGCCCCGCAGGTCGTGTCCGCGCTCCCTTCCTCCGGAAGTCCCTCCTCCTCCTCGTCCTTACTTCCGCCGCCGGCCCGCCGGCCCGCCGAGGCCTCTAGGAAGCCGCCAGGAAGCCGACAGGCCGACCCAGGCCCGCTCCCAGGCTCCGCCCGCAGGCCGAGACCCCCGAGAACCCCGCCACGACCATGGCGCCGCTCCTGCCCGCCGTCTGCCTGCTGCTGTGCTGCGCCGCGGCGACGGCGAACCCCATCCTGGGCGTGGCCCCCTACGCCGTGCGCGAGGACGCCGTCAGCACCAGCGCCGCGTCGGAGGGGCTGGAGTTCGCCCACCTGGTGGTCACCACAGGTAAGACGGTCGGGACGGGCGGTGAGGCCAAGGGACGCGTCCCGAGCCGAGCCGGTGTCGAGGGCGTCCCTCACCCCGACCGGGCCGGCCGGGGTCACAGTCCTCGGTCCTCGGACCTCGGCGTGCTCCCCATGCCAACCGGATTGTTTCCGATGAGAGGGCAAGGGGGAGGGGCCGACCGCGCAGCCTGTTTGTCTGCCGAGGATGCCGATGGCCATGGAGTCACGGTGCCCGATGCAGCCTGCCCGAGTCTGCCCGCCTTTTTTTTCGACGGATGGCTGGTTTCCAGGCATCCAGGTTGCCGCGCTGCCGCGCCGAGTTTGATGCAAAGCAAGTCGTGCCGCAACACCGCAGCGTCGCGTCACCGGCAGGTCCTCAAGTCGTGCTTCTCGGCCACTAAAAGTCCGCCGCTGCGTCGCACGACCCGTGGTCCCGTCCGATGGTCCTCAACGCTGTCTGTCTGTAGGCGTTCGGCACACAAATTAGCACCTCCGGCCGGACACTGTTTGCCCTCCTCTAACAGTGGCGCGGCATGGCCCGGCACAGCCCGTCACGACACGGCTCCGGCGCGATGCATGCGTGCTTCCTGCCCGTGCCCCCTCCCTCCCCGCCCAGCAAAAGCGGTCGTCCTCCGGGTGGCGTCGCCCCCGTAGCCCGTCGCCATGGCGTGGCGTGGCGTGGCGTGGCGTGGCGTGGCGTGGCGTGGCGTGGCGTGGCGTGGCGTGGCGTGGCGTGGCGTGGCGTGGCGTGGCCCCCGGAAGAGAGGCGGCGGCCGGCCGGTCGGCGGCGTCGTCGCGGCCGGACACAGTCAGCCTTCCCCGGAACGCGACGCGAACGCGGCGGCCAGGCTCCATTTCCATCTCCATTTCCATCCGCACGTGTCCGGTGTCCAGCCGACCGGCACGCCGACCGGCACGGCGCACCAATTTGGCGCTATTTCTCGCCTCCTTTGCATAAGCCGCGCCAGAGCCACCGCGGCCGCCACTTATTCCTCATCGCCGCCATTGACGTCGCCGTCGCCGTGTTTGCCGCTGCATGTTTGCTGCAGGCGGGCCGATTCCGGAACGGTGCGCCGTCGCTCTGTCTCTCTCGCACCCCTACGGAACGGCCCGTCAGTGCGAGAGAGACGGAGAGACGGCCGGCGGTGCAGGGCTCCGGGCCGCTGCGGGCAGTGCGATGGCGATGGCCCGATGGCGATGCGCCTCATTACACTCGCCGGGATAATCGGGGAAAATTACCGCCACCTCCCCGGCGAGCAACAAACGGCACGCAGCACGCAGCGGTCCAGCCCGACCACGGCGGCGCGGCGGTGGCGGCGTGTTGGCGGTCGCGACCGCAGGCTGCCGCGGGCGGTCCGCAGCCCTTTGCCGACGCTTCGCTCGCGGCGTGCGTACTCGCCGCGCGGCTCATAAAAATGCCATTAAAATGTTTTCTGGAATCTTCCGCGCAAGAGCGCACGTGCTCTCACACTGTACCGCCAAACCGCCTCAGTCCCAAGACGTGATGCTCGGTTCGAAATTTTGGAATTGACAGAGTTAGCGCTCCTTTGCGTGGCACGCTGCGGCGGCCGGCTTTCGAGTAATCGATTCTTCGATTAGATAGGAACGCAGATGTGCGGCCGCAGAATCAGAGAGGTGCGCGGTTTTGGCCGGCGCGAAGCGCGAACTCTGGGTTACCTTACTCGTTTTCGAGGTCACAAAGCCATTTTCTTATTTTTAGAAACAAAATTGCAGGACTTTTTCGAACGGAATTTTCAACTTTTTCTAAACTCTGTTTTCTTTTCTGTTTGGTCCTCAGCGAGCCCCAGCAGCACCGGCGTGCCCGACGACGTGGTGCCGCTGGACTCCGCCATGGAGCGCAGCCGCTTCCTCGTCTCGGTGCTCATGCTGGAGAGCCTCCACGACAAGCCCTTCGGCAAGAACAAGAACGACCCCAAGATGCAGAAGGAGCTGCTGGCCGACGAGGAGGTGATGCAGGAGGTGCTCAAGCTCTACGAGAGCCAGCAGGTACGCACCTAGGTTAGGTTAGGCAAGCGCCGATCCAAGGAGTGAAAAACATGAGAGCAACGACTTTTTTCTTTATTTCAGGAAACCAAGGGACAGCACTACATCAAAATTCCTCCGAAGCTGATGAAGAAGATCAAGAGGAAGATGAAGGAGCTCCTCAGCAACTGAAGAACTCGCCACCACGGCCAAGCCACCTCTGCGGTGTCTTAGCTTGGGTACAGCGAGGTCAAAGTTGCGCCTCGCAGTTGTTAAGATGACAGATAGTACGATTCCAGTATTTATTGACTCATTCGAGTGCCATAGTTGTACATATTTCATAAGGCCTGTTACCATTTCATCGTCTAGTATTATTATAACAATAAATTATTAGAATAATAATATTTATTTTAGCTCAAAAAGGTATTATGGTACAAACAACGCTGTAAACAAAACACAATAAAGAGCATGTTTCTGTACAGCTGAAATTCAGCGTCTGTTTGATGTTTTTCTTTCCTGAGGGAAGTCCCTACGTTCCTTTCCTCGTTTTGAATGTGGCGCCTTCCTGCCAATACACACCAGTCTTATATGCAGTCACACCCTCTAGGAGCATAAACAGAAGGCTGTGAGTTTCATCCCTTCCAAGCTTTTGTTTGGTTATTGTACAGTTATTTTGACCGATTAACACTTTTCTTTTTTGGCGATTCATTCTTTGAATTGAGGTCTGATTGCCCCATATTTTATTCTATATTAGAGATTCAACATGTCCGTTCGACGCGCCTCTCATGCCGGTAGCTGGTACTCTGATTCTGGTAGGTGTTTCTGCTCTTTGTTTTCCTTTTGTCATTTTCAGATAACCACTCTTTTACATACATTCCTATTAAAAAACTGCAATGAACTCTTCCGATCTAGTCTTATAAATTTTTTAAAAAGTCTGGTTAAGTTTTACTGTTTGTGGAAGTTTTTAAACACTTACATGACAAAACTGTAACCCTAAACAAGGAACACCTATCTTCTCTTGCCGTGAAAATCCACTTCATTTCTGTGTTTCTGTCAGGCAAAGAACTTTCAAAGCAGCTCGAGGGCTGGCTAAGTGCTGCCGATCTTTCTCACGGTCCTGCTAGAGCCATCATTGCCCCGTAAGTACCATATGATATAATGCTTGTCGCCTTGTTTGAATGATTCCTAGCCCATTGGTATGATTTTTTCCTCTGTCCAAGACATGCTGGATACCAATACTGTGGAGCTTGTGAAGCATTTGCGTATCGCCAAGTCAGCCCTGTTTGTGTGTAAGTACACTCTGTATTATGTCAATTTCATACAACACATTTTTTTTACATTTCTTCTGTCATTTTTTTGTTTAACAGTAAACGGGTATTTATCTATGGGCCCTCTCATCATGTCCGACTTGCCGGATGCGCTCTGTCATCTGCTACCAAGTATCGAACTCCTTTGTATGACTTGAAGATAGACACTCAGAGTATGTATCACATACTTTCTAATGCCTGACTAGTTTGATTAAAATTGAAATTTAACTCATTTAACTGTTCGTATCTATCACAGTTTATGCTGAACTTGAAAGTACTGGCCACTTTGAGAGGATGAATATGACTGTTGATGAAGACGAGCACAGCATTGAAATGCATCTGCCATACATTGCGAAAATTATGGAAGAGTAAGTTCAGTTCAGCAGCCCTGACTCTTTCATTTTAGTTCTCTTCTTGTCTTATTGTTTTGCCTCTTACCTTAATTTTAAAAATAAATTAAAAATATTTTTTTCTATTTTAACAGCTATAAGGACAAGTTTACAATTGTTCCGATCCTTGTTGGATCTCTTTCTCCTGAGAAAGAAGCTCTTTATGGAAAGGTTCTTGCAAAGTATCTGGCTGACCCTCAGAACCTCATTGTTGTGTCATCTGATTTTTGCCACTGGGGCCAACGGTTTAGATACACATTCCATGAACGTTCATGGGGTCCAATACACCAGTCAATTGAAACTCTTGATCGCAAAGTAAGAACCTTGCCACTCCATGATTGCTTTAGCTGACAATCTACCAAATTTAACTGAAACTCTGTGTCTTAGGGTATGGACATTATAGAAACTCTGAACCCATCTGCCTTTACTGATTATCTGAAGAAGTATGGTAACACAATTTGTGGCCGCCATCCTATTGGTGTCCTGTTGCAGGTTTGTTCTTATCACAATTATTTTTGTTTTTCATGTAAAGTAATAATTATCTGTCCAAATATACTCATTTTTCATTTATTCTTTTTCAGTCTGCTGCTCATCTCATTAAAGAAGGTGGCTTGAATGGAGAGAAGCTCTCCATGAAATTTTTGCAGTATGCTCAATCAAACAAGTGCTGTAACACCAGTGACTCGTCAGTTAGCTATGCTTCTGCTGCTTTGGTGTTTGAGTAGTACATGAAAAAGGAAAAGTAGAGGTGTTGTGTTCTAGTGACTCATGAGTTCAGTGCAATGAACAGTTGTATTATCCTTATTTTATTGTCTGCATAGAACTACAGATTGTACTGAACGATAATCTTTGACTTGTAATTTATTGAACATAATTTTCTTGTCAATGTGCTGCTTCACCAGTAGAGACGTTCCTCATGGTGGGACGTAATGTGTCAATGTGATAATGTTTCTTCTCCCATATCTTCACAATTGATTGTCACCGGCTCTTATTGTCCTAAAGGTGTGATCTGCAGTGGATCAGAGGCTTTAAGTTTAGATAATTCAAAGCTAGGCTCTATTATATGTCTATTGATTTAAATAATTTCTGAGTTGAAAGTATGACTTCATGCCCAATTTGACTCAGAATTACATTTGAAGGCAATGAATTTAGTTATTCATTGGCAGATGCTAAGTTGTGATTTTTATGAGAAAAATGTTCTAGAGACATAACGAACTTCTTAATTTAATTCATCAGAGGATTGTTTGAGTCCTTTCCAGCTATGAAGCAGAGTTTTTACTTTGCTCAGAGGACGAGTAAAATTGTCCATGTATCCCACTTGATGCATTTCATTACCTACTTTTGGTACTAGACAAATATTCCCTGCTAAGTCAGCAGCTTTGAACTGCTGTTATTCGTCTTTGGTGGCTGAATTATTACATGTATCCTTTAGGAATATTTTATTTTTAACTGCCATCATTTATCAAGCAATCTGTGATTTGTGCCCTGCATTCTGTCAACGAAGACTGTAAAAGGTTGTCTGGCCATACTCAGGGATGCAGGTTGTGTGTCCTCAAGCAGTGCGTCTTAACATTTGGAATGCCTCATGTACTTTACTGTGCCTTAAATTTTCAATATTTCTTTTTTTTTCTTTATGAGCTGCACTGCTTGAAGGGAGTAAGGCTTTATACATGTTGTGGAGGATTTCTTGTGAAGAATGATTTTTGTCTTCATTTTTCATTACACCCTCATGGCACTGAGTGGGGCCAGGACTTAAAAAACATATGTGGGAATTTCTAGAACCTTTCCTTCAATGCTCTTAGTGATTTTTTTTACCAGTGTGCTCATTTTTTAAAGTTTTGTATGGGACTAGAAACATGTTTAGTCTAGTATGGCATTTGGTTGGTTTAAATTGAGATTTTCACATTTTCATGTGGGTACACTCCTTTATATCCTGCTGTGATCTGAAAGGTAGTGATTTCACTCTGTCCAAGTAATGACTTAATATTAAATGTTTTAGTTGATTTGATATCTTTATGCTTAAAAATCTTGGAAGAAAGGTTGTGAATGTTAATGGATCTGAAAAAGAGTTGTGTTATTGAAGACAAGTTCAATTACGTGTAAGCAAAGGCAAGGCTGTCATTTGCTGATTTAACTGCCTATGACTTGAGTGAACTTTCCATGCCAAGAGATAGCTTTAATCTGTACTGTGACTTATGTGAAGGGAATCTCGGTGAGCTCTGCGAGATGCTTTGACTTGGAGTTTATTCCTACAATTAAAAGAAAGGAACAAGAACTTGTGACTTGTCGTTTTTTTTTCCCTCGATGTGCTTCCTCCACGGTCCAGGCATAAGGAGAAAGACCCAGGGGGAGAAGGGGAGAGGGCGGCTCAATCCTGCAACTGCCCCACCAGCCCCGAGTGTTGTCTCAGCTCTCCTTGCAAAGTAGCACTGTCGGAGGGAGCGGCGTGGCCAAGGCCTGGCGTGGCTCGGGGTGTGGGGCGTGTGGGGCCACAGTGCGCCGCGGCCTGCTCACTCGCGCATCCCTTGCCCTACCGCGGCACGGCGGCACCGCGGCCGCGGCAGCGTCCAGGAAGGGCCCAGCGCGCGGCGCGCCTGCCCGCCGAGATGAGAGAGAGGCCCGACGCGCGGCCGCGCCCGCGTACGCCCGCGGGGCGAGCGAGATGGAAGACGGCGCTGCTCCACAGCCCCCTCCCTGAGTCCCTGCCTGCCCTGCCTGCTCTGGCTGGCCTAGGCTGGGCTGGCCTGGGCGCCCGGATCGATAAGCTGGAAGAGGAGGGAGTCCTCCATGGGGGGCGTGGCGGGGCGCGCGGCGGAGCGGGGCGCGGCGACGGAGCCGTACTTCGTAACGCAGTCTGGTCGCGGGGCTCCGCAGCAAGTCTACCCCGGTCCGCTCCGCTCGGCTCGGTCCGCCCCGCGCCGCGACGTGACGCGCCCCAGCGGTCGACGCGGGCCTCGCGGGCACTGCACTGCACTGGGACAGTGCCATTGCGCGGCGAGGAGGATGTCCGGGTGAGCACTGCGACGACAAGTCCCTGCGCCGCGGCCGCCGTCACGCCCCCGTCGTCACGGTGTCACGGCGGCCGAGTCGCGCGAGTGGCGCGCCCCGTGCGTGCGCGGGCCGCGGGGTGTGCGCGCGCTGCCGCGCTGTGCGTGGGCGCCCACCCTCCCTCCGCCCCCGTCCCCCCCGTCCCACGCCCGAGCGAGGCACCCCGCGCAGCGCACCTCAGGAACCGTGCCGTGTCTGTTTCCTTGGCTAGTTTTAAGTCGTTGCTTTTTTAGGCGGGTCGATAAAACACGGTGCAGGACAGGGTCGCGCGTCGCGTCGCGCGGCCGCCTGGCAGGACAGCGACAGTCATGACAGCCCTCCGCGTTGCCGCCGCGTTTTGAATGGGGCCTTCGCCAAAGCCCGAAAGAGCGCGCCATGACGCCGTCCGCGCGCTGGGGCGGTGGGCGTTCTAACCTCCAAGGAGGCCGTGGCCGAGGTGGCCAGCGTCACTCCACTCCGACTCCCACGACCCGCATGCTTCCGCCACACGCCACGGACGAGGGATTCCGGAAAGTCGAAAGGTCTGTCTCGACCGTGCCGCTACGGGACGCCCCATGAGTGCGACAGAGACAGGGCGACGCAATGACGACTCCTCGGAATCTGCTGCCTTGCCCTGCAGCCAAACCTAGCCGGCCGAGCCGTATCCTGCCGCCCCCGCGGAGTGGAGGCTGCCGTCGCGACGAAGGAGTCCCCGCGGTCCTCGCGCGGGGTGGCGTGGCGTGGCGCGGCGTGGCGTGGCGTGGCGCGGTGGACAACAGGTAGGCACCACGCGCGCACCTGCGCTCACCGTGTTGCCTACCGCCCGATTCGCAGGCGCTTGGTGCTCGGTGCTCCTCGCCGTCCTGCCCGCCGCCCGCTCGGCCTGCTCGGCCTGCTCCGGCCCAGGATGCCACGCGGCCGTCCGCGGTGTCCGCGGTCCGCGGCGGGAGGGGAGGGGCGGGCGTCCCGGGCCCCAGGTGGTGGTGGTGGTGGTGGGTGGATGTCCTGCTGATGGGTCTATTAATAATTGCGGCTCGGATCGGTGGGTCGATATGCCGCGGTCCTCTCCGGTCGCCACGCCGCGCCGCGGGAACACCGCGGACCTTGTCAATTAGTGGAGGCGAACCTTGATCCCCCCCGGCGGGACTCGGGCAGCGCGTCGACGGCAGCCCACCTGCACCCTGCCCCGCATCCCCTGCAGCACCGAGCACTTGTACGGGGGAGAGTGGGAACGAGGACTGGAGGGGAGGGGGAAGCGGGTAACACGTGGGTGTCGGGAGTCACACGGACTGTCGCAGTGGCAGATGGGGGGGGGGGGGCGAGGAGGGTGGCGCGGCTATTTTAGGAAGTACCAGCAGGCTGGATGGGTGGGTAGGAGGGGCGGTGGCGGTCGCTGGAGCCAGGCAGCGAGCTTGGGTTCCCGGTTTCTTTTTTAAGGTCGAATCAGTGAGAAAACGAGAACACAAATTGAACATGTCGGTGGTGGACGTGTTGCAGCGTTTGATCCATCATGGTCACCATGAACTCTGACAAGTCTGCCGGGCGACGACGCATGGAGGAATCTGGCAACCAGACGACGGCCCAGGGAAGCGGTTCGCAGTCCTCGCAGGGCCACGGCCAGGGCGGCGGCATGGGCGCGCTCAGGCCCCCCAGTGTCCGGGTCGCCATGGGCTTCGGTGGCGGGGTGCCCTCCGTGGCCGAGGCCGCCCTGGCCGCAGCGGAGGCGGCCACCCCGGCAGCCGGCCACCGACCCACGCTGCTGCAGGCCAAGGAGGACAACCCCAACGCCGGCGTCTACAAAAAGGTACGCACGCCTTGATGACCATTCAGCATTCACCACCCCCGAAACAAAAAGACGCGAAAAATAATGGATTACCTTCTTTCAGATGGAGGCCATCATCGAACGGATGCAGGATGAAAACACCGGAGTCCCCGTCAAGACCGTGAAGAGCCTCATGGCCAAAATACCCTCGGTGTTCACAGGTAAGCACCACCACCAAGCCACCTGCTCTAACTTACTCTCGCCATCGCGATTCTTCCCCTGGCTTGTGAGTCACACTTCGATCCTCTGCCGCGCAGGTGCCGACTTAATACAGTGGACCATGAAGAACCTGGACATCGACGACATAAGTGAGTAGACCGTCGGTTCGGAGGTCAATGAGGGACGTTCGTTTGGGTGTCCCTCTAACTTTGACTTGGTCCCGCAGGCGAGGCGTTGCACCTGGGCCACCTGATGGCGTCCCACGGCTACCTGTTCCCCATCGACGACCACGTGCTCACCGTCAAGAACGACAACACGTTCTACAGGTTCCAGACGCCCTTCTTCTGGCCGTCGAACATGTGGGAGCCGGAGAACACGGACTACGGTAAGGATAGCCTCACGCATGTTCACGCAAAGCGGCGTTATTCCATGACGATAAAATGGATTTCTGGACGTTTCTAGCGGTGTACCTATGCAAGCGCACCATGCAGAACAAGACGCGGCTGGAGCTGGCGGACTACGAGGCCGAGAACCTGGCGCGCCTACAGAAGATGTTCTCGCGCAAGTGGGAGTTCATCTTCATGCAGGCAGAGGCCCAGAGCAAGGTGGACAAGCGGAGAGACAAGCTGGAGCGCAAGGTGCTGGACAGCCAGGAGCGCGCCTTCTGGGACGTGCACCGGCCCGTGGTGAGTGTCTCTCTCGCACCCAAACGGGACGCCCCATGAGTGCGAGAGAGACAGAGCGCTCTCCGAATGAGTCTGCAGCCGCGCCTCACAGTTCCACTCCTAGCCCGCGTTGCTCATGGCCTTCTTTCCCCGTGCAGCCCGGCTGCGTCAACACCACGGAGATCAACATCAAGAAGATCTGCTCCAACAGCACCAAGCTGATGACGATGCCCGCCGCCACGCCCGCCCAGCTCATCTCGAGGCAGATCCAGATGCTGAAGCAGCGCCTGGACCGCCGGAACATCAAGCTCTCCAAGGTGGCTGAGTCGTAAGTATTCAAACGTTTCCCGCGGGCCCTACGCCTCCCCTCCTCGTGCTGCGAACGCTGCGCTGCCGCGTCGCTACCCCGCGCCTCCAGTGGGCGCTAGGGGTGGCGCGGGGTATCGCCGGCCCGCGCGGCGTGTAGTGCTGCCGAAGGCTCGACGTGTGCTGCTGCTCTGTCCCAGGTACATCAGCTACTTCGAGCAGTACCAGGAGTACGACCCCTTCCTCACGCCCACGGAGGTTCAAAACCCGTGGTTGTCCGACAGCGCCGAGTTCTGGGACTACGAAAAGCAAGTGTGAGTACTCTGGACCGTAACTCTGAGTACTCTGGGCCGTAACACCCTGGGAGCTCGGCTTGTAGGGAAATCTGAACTGCAATGTGTTGGGTCTGAACTGCAATGCGTTTGCTCCGCGGCTCCGCGTTTGCAGGAAGGACGTGTCGGCGCGGCGCGTCAAGCGCTGGGCGTTCAGCCTCAAGGAGCTCCTGGCGGACCCCGCGGGCCGGGAGCACTTCGGCAAGTTCCTGGACAAGGAGTTCAGCGGGGAGAACCTCAAGTGAGTGTCGCGCGAACCGCGAGTGCGTTCTTTGGCGTGTGTGTGTGCGTGCGTTCGTGTGCGTGACGCCGTGGGCCGCTGCTGCAGGTTCTGGGAGGCGGTGCAGGCCATGAAGACGCTGCCCCAGGCTGAGGTGGCCGACGAGACCAAGAGGATGTGGGAGGAGTTCCTGGGCCCGGACGCCGGTATCCCGATCAACGTGGACGGCAAGTCGTTCGAGGCCACCAAGAAGAACGTCGAGGAGAACCCCGACCGCTGGGCGTACGACGAGGCAGCGGTGAGCAGCCTGGAACTTCCAGGGCCCGGCAAACGCCAGAAACTTGAATTCAAACGGAGCGTCCGAATCTTGTTCCAGGCCCACGTCTTCCACCTCATGAAGACCGACAGCTACTCGCGGTACCTCAGGTCCGACATGTACAAAGACTTCCTGAGCGGGTCCAAGAAAAAGGTACGTAGGTACGTGAAACAGACACAATCCAAGTACTTACAATACACCGATCCGTTTTCGCTCTTTCATTCCGTGTGCTCTGTGAACAGCCACAGGGTGCACACAAAGCTTGTCCACGTCGACATGCGCCTTCTTGCAGAGATTTTTGAAGTCGTCACCATCGAAAAACTAAATGATAAATTTAAATACTTCGCTCATCACAGACCTAAAAAAAAAAAAAAAAAAAAGAATCGCTAAATATTTGGTGAAATAGATTTTGACCTTTTAAAAAATAACGGTGGTGCAAACACGACAAAAATCTCTCGTTCAGGTCACATGGGTAAAGTACAGATTACAACACTCTAAATTTGTCGAATTGTTGGAAGTAGTCGTTTGAGCTTTCGTAAGCAACAAAGTATGCCTAGCGCGAGTGTTGAGTGTTTTATTTAGCAATATCTTAGCCATTTCACGTTTCAATGTACATTCTGGCCGAAAAGCGCGAGCCTTCTCTGGCCGACACGCCGCGGCACTGTGTGGTTATTTTTTTTTTCATTTGAACTTTTGCTTTCACTCGGCGCACTGTCACTGTTAGTTTCCACATCCTATAAACATACCAATCACCACACATAGTGCCTGGTTTTGGCCTGGGTGGTCCGAACATGATGATAGCGACACATTTACCCAAGTAGTGAGGGAAGTCCCACTCACTTTCCATAGAAAAGAAAATATGATTATTAGACACTGTTCCGCTTCGATTCACTAGTTTGGTGTCTTAGTCCGGAGATGCATTCCATCTCGTGTCAAAGCAAAGTGTGTCTATAGGAGCATTTTTTGTAGATTTTTTTTGTATTTGTACTTTGTTTTACTGCATGACTCTGTGTGTGTATTTTTATACGACAATTCTAAGGCTACACATGTAAATTTCGGTTTCGTTACACACATTCAAAAGAAGCCTGAACAAGCCCTTGCCTTACAGTTGCAGCAAGACTCGCCGCGCCGCGCTCCCGTCCGCGTTCCGTGTTCGGTCTCCGTGCTGACCCCCTGGCTCTGGTTGCAGACGTCGGTGAAGGGCATCCGCTCCATCGTTTCGTTTTCCGGGCGCAAGGAGGCCGGCGCCACGTAAAGAAGACCAAGAAGACGAAGAAGACCGCCTGCACCGCCATCTACTCTGTGGCCGCACCTCTCCGTGCCGGCACAACGTGCTCTGTGGCCGCACAACGTGCTCTGTGGCCGCACAACGGGCTCTGTGGACGCACCATGTACCCTCCGCCACCCTTACCGAGGCCGTGCCTTGCTGGCCTCGCTGGCGAGGCTGGGGCAGCTGACTTGCGCGGTCCACCTGCGGATAGTGACGAAAGAGAGGTTGAGATTACGTTACGTGTGCCAGATTGATCTCAAGAAACACCTCTAGCAAACTGTAACTTGTAGCAGACGTTTCTCTGAACGCTCTTGTGGTGTGTTGAGGGCTCAGACGAGATAGAGAGAGAAAAATTTGATCAAATCCTGTCCTGACGATGACTTTAGAGGCGATGCGGACCGGACGGGCACTGCGGTAGTGCGGCGTACCGCTTTTGTGTGTTTTGCGCATTCGTCCTTTTTCCGCCACCTGGAATCTTCCCCACCGCACTATTTCAAGTACATCGATTCCAGGAATGGTCTCAGTGGGGAATGGCATCGGACCTGCATTGTCGGGAATCAGTTCTATTAATTTTTTGAGGATGGGGAAAGATATTTTGCATTCGTGGAGGAAATGAAGGGTCGAGATGCAACTTGTATTGTACAGCAGCCTCGCATGGACTCGCACTGTCTCGCGTTACGTGGAAAGGCGGGGACGGTGTCGGTATTCCCTTTGGCGACCAAACGTCCAAAGTTTATCTGAATGAACCGGCCGCCTCTGCGTGGAATGGATATCGGTTTTGTAATAAAGCATAATTTTGGTACAAAAACAGAAACACGTTGTGTCGACTCTTATTATTCCTCGTCACTGCGGACACTCCCTTCCAGGACACCTCACTCCAGTGGCGCTCGCCCCGTCGTCCCACCCGCAACCCCCGCCTTTGTTCGATTTGGGCGCGGAGCGGTGCGAAGCGAAGGCTGGAACTAAATGTTGCACAGTGCGTTGCTCTGCCAACACTGCGCCAACAAACAGACTGCTAATGTTGGCGGAAGGGGATGCAGCAACGCAGCGCCCTGCTGCGCGTGCTGTGCGCTGCGGCGGCGTGTCCAATGCGGGCTTCTGGCTGCGACGGCGGGGTGCAGCGCGCGGTGCAGCGCCGCTCAAAGGCCCCCATTGTCCAGGACCGCGTCGTCGGGGAGGCCGGCCTGCCTGCCGGCCGGGGCAGGGGCAACGCTCTGCCTTCGCACTCCACGGCGCACGCCACGCGCAGTGCAGGTTGACGACCCAGGCGTGAGTCAGTCCAGTCAGTGGAGGCAGGCTTACCTGCCATGCCGCTGGCATCACGTGATCCACGACCGACACCGCGTGTGACGTCAGCGCGTCATTCACAACGGGCCACGGCGTGCGCGAGCTGCGCGAGCTAGGCGTGCCGGCCGGTCGGTATGCAAATGTTGCGGACTCTGGCCGCCACGCCGCCACGCCGCCGCCCGGTGGAGCGGCAGCCCACCGCGCACGCACGCTGCAGGGCTGGCTTGCGCGGCGGGCGCTTCGGCGGCGGTCGGCCTGCTCCACGACCTGGACGACCTCCGCGGTGAACTAGCCCAGCCCGGCGCCGGGTCACCACCCGCACCACCCTCAACGGACGCCTGCTATCCCCACCGTCGCCATCGAGTCCCGAGTTCAACCACAGTCATTCGGTTTAGTCTTTTGCCCCGAGTTTGCACGACCCGCGCTGGCGCGCTCCACTCGGACGCCGGTCGCTGATTTTTTTGCACTTGAGAGCTGCGCTGTCGCTGCCGGCACGCGGCTGGAGGATGCTCCGCTTGACCTTGACCTTGGTGACGTCACCGCAGGGCTGGTGTGTAATGCCGCGCCCGGCCGCTGTGTCGGTGTGTGTTGGGTCGCCGCGTCGGTCGCCGCGTCCGGCCCAAACTTGTCCTGCTTGTCCCGCCCCATCTGGCAGTACCGGCTGCCGTACCGTCCGTACCGGTCTGCTCGGGCAAGGCACTGGAGCTGGAGGTAGCTGGAGGTAGCTGGAGGCTGGCTGGCTGGGCGAGGTCCTCTCTGGTCCGGCCGAACCTGGCCGCCGACGACGACACTCGCGCCACGCCGCCATAGTGGCCGGTCCTAACCGACCGCCCCGCCCCGCCCCGCCCCGCCCCGCCCGGCCCAATCCGGCCAGACTCGAGTAAAGTACTGCGCAGCGCGCGGCGCGACAGAGGGTGGCAGAAACATCCAGAAAACACTCGAGGAAAGGGACGGAAAGAAACGAGATGGGAATAAAAAGTGGAAAAGGCGCGCGGAAAAGCGAAGGCAGGCCGACGACGCGGGCCGACAGGCACGCAGTCGCCTCGCCGTCCCGCCACAGCCAATCGTCAGCCAATCGTCAGCCAATCGGCGTCCAGGAACGGGCGACATGGACATGCAGCGCCAGCATGCTCCTGCCGCCTGTCTGCGCTTCCGGACGGCCACCGCCGCCGCGCCGCCGCGACACGCAAATCGATGAGCGCAACGCAGGGAATCGCTTTGAGTCAATGCCGCCTCTTCTTTTCCGTCTCTCATTTCCCTGGATTTCGCTTCGCAGCGCTTCTCGCAGCCACGGCGGCGGCGGCCGGGTTCGCCTCGTATTACACAACCTGACCCGGTTGTTTCCTGCTTCCATACGAACACACACGCACACACACACACACACACACACGCACACACACACACAAACACACATCTAACCCCCCCTCCCCCGGCGCACACACACAGTGCGGAATCGTGCATTTTGGAAGGGCACCAGACGACGCAAGGGGATTCAGCCAGCATTCAGTGACAGTCCAGTCGTCCAACTCAATAAACTTGGATACAAGAGGATGGGCTACACTGTAAACTTGCTTGACTTGCTTGCTCTTGCTGCTGCTGCTCTTTTGCAGTGCGGTCTCCGCGTAAGGACCCTCTACAGTGCAGTCACGGCGTCGGTGACGTCGGTGACGTCTGTGCGCCTCGCCGGTGACGTCCGCCGCTTCCGTTTCCAGGCCACGGATTCAGATTCAAGTTCACCGGATGCGTCACCGAGCGAACGCGGACTTGCCGGTGACGTCACGGCCTGGACACGGACTTGATGGACTTGGACATGGACAAGAGGGGCGCGTGTGCGGTATGTGCTCTGTCAGTGTGTGTGGTAGCACCGCGGCCTGCGACTGAGCAATAGAGTTCGATGGCTGACCCCCCAGGCCAAGCCCAGGCCATTCATTGTGCACTTTTTATCAGGCTTCTATATGTGTAAGAGTCATTACTGTTTTTTCCTTCGGCAGATAAGTACAAAATACGTCGCTCTCGAGTACACACAAGATTTCCTCGCCCATTGTCGTGTGATTTGGGCCTGTGTTCTTTTTTCGCTCGAGTCGCGCGCGTGGAAGAGGGTGAGTGTTACAGTGTGTACACTCCACTCCGTCAGGACAGCGTCGCTCTCACCAGTGACACGAGCGCGTCGCGCACAGTCCGGTCCAAAACGCGGCCGCCTGCTTCGCGGCGTTTTTGGAGAGCCCCGTCAGGCCCCATACGCACCGTCGCATTCATCAGATAAACCGCCAATGTCATCGCCATCGCCCATTTTATTTTGGAGCCGTTATCGCGCCGCCCTCCCCTGCGCGATACCAAGGTCACGGTAAATCACTCTTGTTTTCATTTTCCTCATTATCGCTTTCTTTTCGCAAGTAGGCTGGCTTCGGTAGGTCCGAGTAGGTCCGAGTGGTCCCCGAGTGGTCCGCGCGCCGCCCGACGCTCGTAGTGAGACGCAATGTCTCTCCGCCTTGCGCGCGGAGGCGGCCCGGCAGGGCCCGGCAGTCCGACTCCACCAGGAATACAACAATATAATCACAGTGGGGCTGACACGAATCAGAATGGGCGAACGCCATCATTAACTTTTATGGCACTAGTCGTGCGTGTGTGTGTGTGTGTGTGTGTGTGTGAGAGCGTCCGTGTGTGAGTGTGCGCGTGAATAAAAGCCCGCGGCGAGGCGAGCAGCGCTTATTTGCAAAGTCAGAGGTGTGTCCACTGGCGGCCCAAAAATCCGCTGACGCCGTCAGAGTCCGGGGTGGGCGGACCTGCGGACCTGCGGACCGGATTTCGCAACAGCGGATGCGCGTCCACGCGTCCACGTCCACGGCGCCTTCCATTCAAGAAATGAAAAATCAGCTGCTGGCTGGCACGCGCACGGCACTGGCCCCGGCCGCAGCACAGCAGCCTCAGCAGCAGCAGCGGGACAATTCTCATTGTTATCACGACCGAATTTTCCTAGTTTGCTTTTCAACGTCGCCGCGGGTTGCCAAGCTGCGACGCGGCAGAGCCCTCTACAGTGGAGCCAACACGAGCAGAAGGTGGGGATGTCGGGCCCTATGCCAGCCTATGAGTGCGAGTGAGAGGGTTGCTCGTGTTGGTTCGACGGTTCCGCGCAGTATGAGATTAGTGCGGCGTGCGCCACCCTCGCCTCGCCTCGCCTCGCTGGGGGGAGACGCGAGCTTCGCGTGAAGGCAAAGGCAGGTGTGGAAGCGAGAGCGACGATCTCACCGAACACGCAGGCGTTCCCGCGAACGGCGCCGCGGAGCCGCGGATCATTGATGCGCAACCCGAGACGCCGATTGGCCGATCGGCGGGGCGCGTAGCCAATCAGGGGGCTGCGTCGGCAGTCCGTCGGCTCGGGTTCCTTCCGGGGCGCCACGCTGCGCCACGCGACGGCGTCGTGCCCCGTGATCGCGACGGGGTTCCGCGAACGCCAGGCAGGCCGCCCTGCCGGCCGAGGACCGCGTCGTCCTCTGTCTATCTCGCACCCCAACGCCCTCTGAGTGCGAGAGAGACAGCGACGAAACAATCCTTTCGGAATCGCTCGCCTGGGAAGAGGCCGCGGCCTGCGGCCCGCTGGCGGTAAACATGGTGAATCTGGCCGCGCTGCCGCCATGCCGCCGCGCCTTGCCCGCGCACTCCGCGGCCATCGTGAGAACGCGGCGACAACGCGCGCAGTATCGCACCGCGCGTTTCGTTTCGGCCACTCCTTTTTCCAGAAACTAATTTTTGAACAAACGAACGACGGCCACGCTCCGCTCCTCGGCAGGTCGCGCCCCAGGGCAGTGCCGGCCAGGCCGGGCCAGCGGTATCTCTATCTGGCCTTTTATTTTGGCCGCCGAATCTCATCTCATCGCGCGACCTGCGCGTTTGTTTGGCCGGGGGGACCTGCCTATTGGACTGCCTGGCCGGTCACGTGACTGTGCTTCATTGGATGGCTTGGCGATACTAGCTTACGTTGCGCGCCGAGTTGCGATTCCAGCCTCCAGCGCCGCGGCCCGCACTTCGTACGAACGTGGGAACGGTGGCCGGCATTGCTGCGCACTGCTCGCTGTTGACTCGAGATTGGGCTAAGAAAGCCGAAAGCTGCGCGGCAATTGAACCTGCAGGCTGAGTTGTTTTTCGTCGCGCTGTCTCTGTCGCACTCATGCGGTGTTCCATGGACAGCGCGAAGGAACGACTCACGATTCGCGGGACGCTAGATAAGGACGTGTGCTTTTCGGCGGCGGTGGCGCGCGCGGTGCAGGACGAACGCAGGGAGGGCGGGCCAGAGAGGATCAAGACGACGACGACGGTGGCGACGGCGGCGGGGTGAACGGCCGCCTATCTCTCCTCTGCTCGCGTCGCCCCGCCGCACCTGTCGCGGTAAGGATGTGCGTATTTGCGTCCCGGCGCCACGGCAGGCGCGGGAACCACGAGTCGTCGGGCGTCGGGTGGTGGCTCGTCGACGCGGTGCCCTGCAGGTGCCCGTCGTCGGCGCGGTGCTGCGCGGAGCTACGGCGA